TCCATAACAATATCGTCAGTTAGAATATAGTAAACAGTAATATTTTCTTTCTAGAGTGACGAGAAATGATTTTCAGCTCACATAAAATGTAACTTATCTTTTCGAATGAAAAAAACGAGAGTTTCTGGGTAAACATGCATTTCTCATTTTTTCTAGCTTTCAGTTCGTACGAAAATCTACTAATTATTAGTAGTGTTCCATACTTGATAAGAAATACGTGCGATCGAACACGTGAACACAACACTTAGCTTGTTTCTTCACTTTAGTAAGTAGACGAATTATGTCTTACTCCGTACATCATCATTTTGCCCGACACTTTACTTACTTCCAACATAAATTGACCAACACTCGTCTAACATTTGTTTTGAATGTTAAATATAGATTAACCAGCATTTTTTCGGGATAAAATGATAAAATGCATGGAAGGAAATAAGTTGATTCCTTCCAAATTTTATTTCAGAGCTAGCGGTATTCCTTAGAAATTATTGCCACCCTCATTTTATCGCGTGCTTGGCACTAGTTCTTCTAATGTCAACATGGATAGCCAAGTGTCAACAAATACACCGCTTCATTGTACAACCCACCAGGCACGCAGTGAATTTATGACTTTCGTATTCTTGTGCAATCATCTTTGGAAAAGCTTTGCTTTATAAAAGGATTTGATATTTTTTGTGCCAAACAATTTATATTTTAATCCTTCGGACAGTAACACCTGATCAATATCATTTTGTTTCTATACTTTAGCAAGGGAGCTTTTTGATATCTTGATTAAGCCAAAATTGGCCATAAACTCATTTTCTGTGGAAGACATTCCATACATATCAGAAATGACCACCTGCTTGTGGCGAAAGATTGGAGCAGGAATGTACCTTGTCTCCTGTGACGTGGATGCTCCGAATACGTTGAAAACAAACAGCTTCTTTCTAGGCCTCGACGACACCAAAAGTCTTATCTTTGGAATTGGAACTGAGGCACAGCCGTGGTAAGTGATACATAAGCTGATATTGTTATCAGGCTGGACAACACTTAATTACAGAATGCACAACAGCGGTGACAGATGATTTCAGGCGATAGATGCAAAGTTTCAAACTTCACGGGGTATACTGATGGGGTAGTTATCGAATTGCTAACACAATTCACCGGTAGTGACATACACTTTACAGATAGAACTCTATGTGACAGGTTACAAAACTGTGCTGTGTTGTTTTTTACAGTACTTGATCACATTTAGCATGCCAATTTGCATAAGTGGTTTTCAAAGCTTAAAATTCATGTTTGTGTAGTAAGTAGCTAGAAATACCACGGACCGACAAAGACTGAAAACATCTCACGTGATACAAAACGTAATTTAATAAGTTACCTAGCTCTCTGTTCCTTAGTACTTTCGACGCCACTAATCTGATGAATGACCAATGGCATCATATCTGCATCTTATGGGAGGGCGCCGCAGATTCAGGATACACAAGTTACTACAGGGACGGAGCTGAAGTCAAATTTCAACCCTGTTCTGTCGGCACAAGGAACAAGGAGGAGGAAGAACAGAAAATGTTGGCATAAAAGGCTTTAATCAGTGGAATAGAATACTCACTGAATCTGAGATTGTTGAGGAAGCGAATACCTATGACAGAGGCATGAGGTATGGGTGGTCCCACTGTGAAGTGGAGGTAGTTGTACAGGAAGTCACTCAGGAGGAATTTTATTAGATAGTTGTCTCAGTGTATAGTTTCTGGAGGTAAATATCTCAGTGCATTTAAACACGTAAATTTGGCTTTGACTAAAAGTTCTTAGCACTTAAAAAATAATGGATACTCCTACTCAACAAGACTACATGGACGTCACCAATTCACTGGTAGAAAACTTTACACTCAGAGCAGCTCTCATCTGGGAGTATCAATAAGTACTAGCCACAAGGACACCTCCTCTCTCTGATTGACTAGCTTCCTGCATCAACATCACAGAAAATGGTATAATATCTGTAGTAATGGGCAAGAAGGCTCTTTGGACTAGTAGGATTGATAACTATTTTACATGCAGCTATTGATGGGGGCTACACTGGCTGGTCAGCAGTTTCTCAGTGCAGTGTCACATGTGGTGGAGGAATCAAGACTCTTGCCAGAACCTGCAACAATCCCCCGCCAGCCAGGGGTGGGAAGGATTGTAAACACCTTGGGGCAGCCAGGAAGACACAGGAGTGCAATACACAACCGTGCCGTACGTTCTACTTAACATATATTTAAACTATTAATTAATAATATTTCAAATCAATTCAAATTCGGTTCATAACTTTTTATTTAAATTCTAAAGGAGAACTTTGTACGAGTGCTCCTCCTTTTATGGTCAAAGTTGGGTCGAAACAGTTTTTCGTTTAAAATGATTGAGTCTTTACCAAATTTTGTAACCAGACAAACAAACACTCAGAACGAGTTTTTAGAATCTAACCCTAGTTATGCTTTTTTCGCCTTATATACAGAGTGTTCGCGCTATATTTGGGTTCAAAAGAGCGCTATTAGTAATGAGCATTTCAGGAAACTGCAAACTCAGAAAAACCGCTTTGGACAAAATCTATTATCTTTTGAGAATGTGTAAAACAACAACATATAACGTAAAACCTTAACTGGGCTTTCGCCACTCCCATTCCCCTCCAGTAAAATACACACCATTCCCGTATAAAAAGGGTGTTACAGTATGATACTGACAATGGTCATAGTTCATATGGGCAACGTCTGTCTGTTCAGCGCACTGTGTCATGTCGTAAGTGATTAGTTAAGTAAGAAAGATGACGTTGATAATGATAACTTCACTAACTGTCTCTATCTGCAAACGCATTGCTTTGCTCGATTAGCAAACGATGATTGCGAATGAGTAATGCATCCGTTTTTCTTGCAACAAGCCTCGTTTTCTGCTATGGCTGAAGCTTCAATCAGAGGAGTTTAAAAGGGACACAAAACACATCAACATGGTGGATTTCCGAACAAATTATGGCGACGTTTTTTACCTCAGATTAACCGGCGGAGGATATCGCGGAATACGCTTTTACACTTTCATGTACATCAGGACTGCTACATTTTGGTAAGTGTATACAAATAACTTTTTAGCCCCAATACAAATACTTTTGTAAGACCCGTTTCTTTCAAATTCCAGTCAACGAAGTTAGAGAAACCTAACCTTTTAAATATCATCATTTTGAAAACAGCTTTTCGAGAGAAGTTGAGGGGCTTGACGATCATCATTGGCATCAAGTCTGTGTAACCTGGGATGGAAATGGAATGGAAACCCAGGTACCATTAATCTCTTTAAAGATGGCACCTCGATTCCGGTTGGCTCAGAATGCGATGGAGGAGAAATTAAGCTACGGGGAAAACCAAAGAAACTGTCTTTGGGACATAGCGAGAGAGAGAGAGAGGGGATGAGGTTCGTCTGACTGGGACTCTTTGGAAAAAAAGAATTGCTCGACAACGCGAGATCTTGCCAAGAAGTTCAGGGTTCACCTGTGGTAAGCTGGAATGATTTCTACCAAGTAGCTCAAACAAAGAGTGCAACGTTCAAGGTTAATTTCTACTGGAACCAGAAGTACATCCGCTCATTTGGGATCTTTTCTTAACTGTCGTATTCAAAAAGCGTCAGAGATAGAATTTTTAAGGCACCGGTTTCTTGATCTTGTTTAAGTTAAACCTATTGAAGTTTATAATTTGCTTTTTATAATAAATTTCTGAAACCTCGCCTATCCTTGTACTCGTGACAATAAACGTTCAAAATACTGCAGGCGTGTTTGAATTGTTTTGGCATGTTTTAATTCATTACAATTTTTTCCCCTGATATTATTGCCTAAAGTTTTTCTGATGTCAAGTAGTTTTCAATGAACCCATGCGAATTGATGTTAACGTTTATCAGCATTGTGGGACAACAAAATAACTGCTTTAAACCCTTGCAGTTCCACATCGTACTCTTTGTTATCATTGAGTTTTAACCGTCTGACTCCGAGGAGCATCTAACTTTTTCTTCTAACATCACTCTTGTATGTCAGCGGTCATGTGGCAAGACGTTACGTTTTGACTACCGAGTGTAAATGACCGAAACTTGATGTGAAATAAATATCTGTAGACAACATTTCAGTGCTCTGTCGTTCTCTTTTGTATAAAATGGCCTCTACTTTCTCAAGTAATACGCCTTGAGCCTCTCTGGCGAACAAAGCTACGAGCAACATTACTGTTGTCGCATCATTCGATGCAAATCTTGAAAGATGGAGGAGTATTTACTACCATCAGATATCTAACATCAATGTTGACAAAGGCTCTAGCACTTCACGCGTCGCAAACTTTCATTTTTTGTTTCTCAGGTGACACTATTTCATGAACTCGTAAATTTATGTACTCTAATTCAAACAAAAAAAATGCGATATTGGAAGCCGTGATAGCAGTGTTTACGATACTTATTTCCACGATTCTTCTGATGGCAAAATTTTCTGTAAAATCGTTATTCATATGGCTTTAAGACATTCAGCAAAAATGGTTTGTGGTCGAAAATTTTAAAAGGATTCTTCATTTCAAAAATAAGGAAGATTGTAAATTTTACAATAATAAGGCTGTAGCGGATGGAGTAAAAATGAAATATTAACAAGCAGAAACTGTCACCTATGATTCTTTTACATTATATTGTTATCGGTAAATTTAATTCATTCAGATTTAGTTATGAGATAACAACCAATGAAAACAGTCCAATAGGGCATTGCATTATTGAAAGCAAATGAAAATTGACGGCGATGGCTCCGGGGTGATTTCCGCACTTAAAGGATTTGCGATTTTTGAAGCCACGGGATTTCTGTCAAATCGAAACCCAAATCATTAACAAGGTGATATACGTAACATGATTTACCTTCGAAGTTTTACTTTCTAAAACGTACGAAACGAGTCGTAAAGGCGACTGAAGTTGCTAAGATGGGTTTCAACACTACTGCGACAGGTAAAATTGATAGTTTGGAAAGTTCAGGAGGATTGCCGCTCACTCCGTTATTGATTGGTGTAACAAATTTGCTCGTTGGTATCGTGGCAGTTACGGGGAATTTTCTCCTCTGTGTAACAATTTACAAAGATCCCTATCGACGCTTGAGAAGTACTGCTAATTATTTAGTAGTAAATCTAGCGGCTGCTGACCTTCTCACAGGTTTGATAACTGAACCTTTATATGCAGCATTTGAAATATGCAACTTCATGAAGAAAGAATTCACCACCTTATATGTCATTGGGGAATCAACTGCATATGTTTTTGTAAACGCCTCGATTTTGTCTATCCTTTCCCTGGCGTTAGATCGGTATATTGCGGTAAAATATCCATTATCACATGAGCGAAAGATGAACCACGACTGCATCCTTAAAATTGTCATTCTATTGTGGAGTTACTCCCTGCTATTCAGTATGCTTCGCTTCATGGGTTTACCTCAAGATGTTTTTTACTGGCTTGATTTGCATCTGAATTATACCCTACTTGTGGGGATATTAATAGGGGTGTATGTATCGATATATTTTACTGTCAGGCATCAACTAACAGAGTCATTAAGAACACAAGGCTACAATAGCAAAACAAGACGACAGCCAAATCGCAACGAGATGGAAACTAAAATAAAATCAGAGAAAAAATTGCTAAGAACCATTTTCCTACTGTTAGTGGTAGCTATCGCGTGTATGATGCCTATCTACATAATGCTTCATGTAGAACTACTCTGCGAGTCCTGCATGGAAATAGCAGCAGTAAAAGCTATAAGCAAGTTCTCGGAGCCAATTCTGTTTTTAAATTCAGGATTGAACCCTTTTCTTTACGCCTGGACAATGCCAAAGTATCGTCGAGCACTTAAACAAATACTTCGCAGCTGGGGTCTGCGTTCGAATAGAATTAGGAAGCATAGAAATACAATTCCCCGCCAGGACAGGTGCGTGTTTGCATTTCAAAATCGAGGGATGACGCACGGAAATACAACTTTATCGGATTCCAAGGATTGGATCCCTGTGCAGCTGTTAAAAATTGATGTCAAAGAGATTATAAACGTCGTATGACATATCACTGCATGCTGTTTTCTTTAATCTAGCGATGGAACAAAAATTTAATCTCCTCGATACCAAGAGGGGCGAATTTCGAATCCCAATTAAATTTTTAACTAATTTGCCGCGTCATTTAAAAGCAATTGACAACTTTATACTCACTGATGTAAACACGACACAAGTTAGTTCGGCTGAAAGTATCAACCCTGAGAAAATTGCGACCAAAAAAGGAAAGTCATTATCCTACTAAATACGAAACGACGGAAATTGTAGATATAATACGCTTTTTTCGTCTGAGAATAACGTACTGTTCGTATCTAAGTAGCAGAACCTGACGTAGGTAGGTGGTAAATATGTAATTCCTAAACACGTTTAGTCTAAATCTGGCAAAAAAAGAGGATGTTTTTGCATATTTGGAGAGAAGTTGATAACTTCAGGAGAGCAACGAATGAATCGAATTTCCCTTAAAAAGCGGAATTAAGCCTTAAGTCTGCACCACTGGTCTTCACTTAACGGTGAACTTAACGTACCATAACGGATTATTTCTAAGTTGGGACATACATCTTGATTTATTACATTAAATATAATTCAAACTAGCGATGGAATAAGAGACTTGTTTCTCTCCGGTTACCATTTTGTGTAAAGGCCGGAGGAGCATGCACTAATCTAATAAATTTAACTTTTAAGCTTTCTTTTCTTTGAGCTCGGGATTCAGGACCTAAAAGATTGACATCCCTGAGGTTCTCTGCGAGTTCATTTCCTCTGGTTTCACTCTCATTTGGCTGGGCATTAACGCAATCTTCAGTGATTTCCGAAACACTTTATGTCTCCAAGCGTATATAAATGGATTCAATGCGCAGTTCATGTATACTATGGGCTCAGAAATTTTGCTGAGAACTAAAAGCACCCAGCTTGTCTGACACGAGGCACAGAACAGAAATACGTGCATGTAAATGTAGTAGGGCAATAAGCAAATATAACATACAGCTAAGATGATTAAAAAGGTGCAAATCGTTTTCTTATCGCGGACCAGTTGTAATCTTCCTCGCTGATCAAGTTGAGGACTTGAGTCAGTCATACCCGCTCGTTGATTTCTGGTTAATACAGAAAGTCGATAAATAAGAACGAGAAAAACAGTCAGAGTGAACAGGCTCCCAGTGACGTGGATGTGTAGATCCAACAAATAATACGCAGTGTCGTGCGTACCCATATGTGGCAGGAAACTGAACATTATGGAATAGACCCACAAGACGACCACGATTCCTACCGCGTTTTGTTTCGTCATGAATCTGCGGTAACGAAAGGGGGTTTTCAAAGCCAGGAATCGGTCGATGACAAGAACTACCGCAGTGCAAAGAGAAACATTGACAGTAATATATGAAGCATGATCGCCTACTGCTAAAACGGCCTGATAGTCTTTAGCTTGGTTGAAGCCAAAGTTGTAAGTAATGTACAAAGGATCCACGATAGAGCCTGTTAAGAAGTCGGCAACGGACAAGTTTGCTACGAAGAGCATTGGCGCGGAACGGAAACGTTTCAGTGGGTTCTTGTATATGGCCACGCACAACATACCATTCCCAGCGATAGTGATAAACGATATGACAACAAGAGAAATGCCAGAGACAAGGGAAAAGGTTGCCTCAATATCACTTTGACAGCATAACTGGCTTTCATTCGGCCTCAAAGTAATGTTGTGCTTGTCCATGATTCAGCTTACAAAGACTTAAGCGGCTGAAAGTAAGGAAACATCCGGGTTAACAGTTAGGTCCACGCCAGAAGTTAATGACCGTTGCGTTAACTGAGGTCATCGTTCATGCTTAAACAACGTATTAAATTAAGGCCGACATCTGTCGATTATACCATAAGGTTAACTAATAAGTCAAAGAAGTTCAATACGCAACTAGAAGGTGATCACTAGAGATCATGAAAACGAGCATAGACAAATTAAATTAACCCAAAGCTGAACACAATGTTAATTTTTTCCCTATCTATTTAACGAATGCATACCTAAATGAAAGGCTGGATATAAAAATGAAAATGGGAAGAATGGTTAAGAATGGTGAATCAAAGCTACCTATTGTGTTTTCTTTTCAGAGTTGGAAATTCGATTTTCTTCAGCGCAAGTAATTCACAATACAATGGGCCGTTTCGATCACAAGATCTCGAATCAGATATAGTGAATGTAGCTTGATTGATACGTGTCTTCTAAATTCTGCAATTTATTTGTTTGAGATCCTAGACCAGATAAGATAAACATTTCATATTGAGATAAAGATGGTGCTTTTTTTCTGAAATTACTGAACTTTTCATTTCAAATAATTATTGTTTCTAGTCCTATAAAGAGTAGTAAAATACTTTTTTAAATTTGTGCCTTATAATTTCGCTTTGTTCTGACATTCAGTCACGGAGCTTGTTCATTTTCATTTAGCTTAACCTCGTATCTGACTGACATCTCTGTAGAAATAAAAAATCCGTCATTACTTGCTGCATTAGTGAATGCGGATGTTTGGACTTTAAAGAAGAAAAAAGTACACAAGAAAAAAAAAACCAGTATTTATTTTTATAGCACAAGAGGTTGACAATCACAAGAAAAATAGAATAATGTAAGGTTTCATTAAATAATATGTCGAACAAATTAGAAGAACAACGCGACAGTCTTTAGACACCTTTTGAGTTCTTTCAGGTTACCAACATTACGATCTCACGACGATATGCAATCCTATTCACCAATCTTAAATAAAAGCAACAAAATTTTATCCTTAAAAAATTATCCTTATCACAAACCTATCAAACTTTCTTTTATTTGTTTCTAGCACCAGCAACGTATTTCGAGGAAAGGCTTAATTATGTTTGTACGATCGCTCATTCGCCGCATTGGGACGTGGCAGCTGTTCATAAAACAGCGAATGCCTCTTCGAATTGAAAGGCTTTGGTCACGTCGTCCTACAGAGCACGTCTTTTACTGCGTTAAAATACGATCAAGCACATTTGTTTATTTTTTACATCGTTACTTTAAAAGGCATGCACAAGCATGTAATTTTGGTATGAATTTTACAGTGGGAAATATGACTCTAGCCAAACACTTAATACCTACATCAACCAACAGGGTCTTCAAAATAGCAATGTGCAGAAAAACTGAAAAAAAAAACTTTTAATTTGCTTGAATTTTATTTTGTTGTAATTCAAAATTTTGAGTCAGACGTGCACTAAAAAATTTTTTCTTTTATATAAGGGTCTGTTCGCAGCTGCTGATAATGATCCGAAACAAACCTCAATATTGTGGGTATGATAAATAGACGAATTACCAAAATAATGAAAGCAAAAAATTACATGCGTACCCTTAGTCTATTAGTCTATGAGTCCCTTTACCATCGTCGTGTTGAATTTCTATCTTCGCCAGCTTTGTTTCTCGTGAGTTTTACCAGTATGAACAGTTTGACCCACACGAACCGTGCAGAACTACCAGCGACTAAATAAGAATGGCTTCTGTTCGCAAAAAGTGACAATTACATAGCCCCTCGTATTGATGTATGTTCGCATTCGTCCGCTTTGGCTGGCTTTAATGTGTTCAATAAATGGTGCTGGGAAAACTAATCTTTATAAATTCAAGATACTTTCGTAGAGTCCTTATGTTATGCACTACACGATTATTTAGACGGGTGGAAAAGTGGTTTCACTTACTTCAAGTTCAATCGATGGTACGCTCTCAAGTTTTAGCTCTTTCCCAGCCCCACAACTGAACTGGTTTTCATTCCCACCAGGAATGCATAGGGACTTGGGGAATCTATAGGATTTGAGGAGAGTCTTTCTTCAACCACCTGCGGTCCTCGAGGTTTCTCAGGAGTGTGTTTGGAAGAAATTGAAGCCGAAATAAGCAAATTGAAACAGCTGTTGTTATTTTTGACATCTACATAAGTTTGGAAACCATTTTCCCTCAGGATACATGTATACAACAGTGCTTCATACATTCTCAGTATGGATTACAAAGCAGCTTTTTCCCGAAACAAACAAATACTTGGCCAAGTAACCACTCACAGAGTTGTCGCATCTTTTTAAAGTGAAAAGTAGAGCAGCGTTTTGTCTTTTTATAAGTGGACTTAGAAACGTGCAAGTCTTGTTTTTGAAACGTCAATATTCCATTAACCAATCAATTAGATGTGTATAGTGTTTGTCACTGTTAAATAATTCAGTATTAACATACATGTTCCATACACCCACTACACGACCCATCAGGCTGGCTAATGTGGAAACTCAGTCTGATACTAGAAAAGCTATGACAATATGTAAAAAATTTGCTAATCTCTTCTGGCTTTTTGATTATTGATCAGAAGCATCTCAATCAGCATAACATAATTCTACCGGATAGAAATCAATTGCTACTGAATTGAAAGAAAGTTTTCGTTGCATCGTAACCAAATAATAACACTGCGCTTTTGTTAAATTTCATTTTTTTTTTATTTTCTTGATTGCATGAATTGTGATTGGCTGACTACGCATGTAGCTGAGCAAGAACAGATATTTTCCCTTTCACGCTGCAGCGCTTGCTGTCGTCAACCAATTTTCTTGGTTTCCTCTTGCGTGAGTGTTATGTTCCGAGGAATAAGATAAACATTTAAATTAATAAGAGGACACCGGCTTTATTTATATAATAAACAACTGGTTTGCTTGCCTCGGCTATCTGGTCTGGTCTTTTAATCGATAAATTGATGGAAACGGGTCTAGACGATCAAAATGCAGTAATTTAGAGAAAAATGCAAATGATTTCCGTAAGTGAATTACACATAGTGCCTGTGAGAGGTAGAATTACTTGAAAACGAGAGAGCATCGCGTTGAGGAATTGCAAATTTCTTTCTTCCTTGTTTCCATCTACTTTCCGCTATAAAAAGATCTACTACGATTCGTACGATCACAGTAGAAATAAAAGTGGAATTTTGTTTGTTTTTCTGGCAACAACAGGTCAATTTCATCAATCTTGGGACGGGAACACGTTGTTTGGGTGTAAACAAACCGTATTTTAGTTTGAAGCAAAGGAAATTGAGGTGCCAAGGAGAATAACGCTGTAGAAAACACACTCATTAACAACACTGACAGACTCGAAAACTTAGAAACAGGACGACATGGAGTTGACAAAACTAAACCTTTGGTATGTGACACCTCGCAAAATTAGGGGGCTGGGCGGATTAATTTGTCGATGACACTTGATTATAACTCCTGATCTGATTGTATTCTAACTGAGTAAACGATTCGATATTTCGTCTAAAGAAATATTCAAATACCACGATTTACTCTATATTTCATAAACATTAACTGCTTCTAGAAACACATAAGTATAATTACGAACCATTTGTAGTAAAAAGCCAACGCGCATAAACACCTACCTAAGTTTTGTTTATCACTTGCACAAGAGGTGGCCGAATTCTTGTGAACGTGAACTCAGATCATAAATTCTACAACAAACGCCTGCGTTCGATAGAGATCTCATGAATGTTCAATAAGGAAAATGCTAAAATTGCCTCAAATAGTGAACAAAGTAAGAAAAATTGGTACGATTTTAATATTTCATCCTAACCATAACTCCTTTGTTGAAGTTAAGATAGCGTTCATTCTCAAAATGCTACGATTCATTTGATTTTACATACATGCAGATCGAGGTTACGACGAAAAATTTCGTGTTGGCTAAGGCGTAAAACAAGAGCCTTTTTACAGAAAATTATATCTTTTAGCATCTCGAAAATAACTCTTCCCCCAATCAATTAGAGCGCATGTGCGTATGAAACATGTGAATTCTGGACCGATGGGGTTACTTATAATTCAGGGGGACTGCTTCAGTTGTTTATGTAAGACTTAAATATAAACAGAGGTTCACATAAAGAAGATAGAAGAAGAAAAAATGACAGCCAACGTCTTAGTTGATTCTGATTAATTAGTGTCACTGAACATCTCTCCCCCTTTTGCTTTCCAGGTTACCTTGCCTATTCGGTATGTTAATATCAATTTGCAGAGCTACAAAGAAACAACCACATCTTATTTTCATTCTGGCAGACGATTTGGCAAGTATCAAACATTAGAAAGACCTAAAAAGTAAACATTCAAAGCGTTTTTGTCAACTACTTCAAGTCTACGTATTTCTCGACCATTTTCAAGGGAATTAATCGATTTTGGACGATATACCAGATGCTCTCCTCATAACTATTTCCTTACTGTTCAAATACTATGTCAGTTTCTAGGCCAGTGACTGAAATCATGTATTTCGTTTGGGAGTGGGGTGGGGTTAACATAGACACCTGAAGATGACCTCTACAATCGATTGATTAGGTGCGGTTTAAAATCACCGCAGTATCGTCTCAGGAATAATTAAAGATAATTAAGATGTCGTAAATCATACTCTAGAGCTTATGTTCTGATGATGTAATTTTTAAGCCTTCTAAACCACATTGAATTTCTAGGGTTGGGATGATGTAGGTTTCCATGGCTCCCCTCAAATTCCAACACCAAACATTGACGCACTTGCCAACGAAGGCGTCATATTAAACAACTACTACGTGTCTCCGATGTGCACTCCAACTAGAGCGTCAATCATGTCTGGAAAACACCCCATCCATCTTGGTAAGATAAACATGAGCAGCTCAAACAGTTTTCTTTGGTCGTATATATATATATATATATATATATATATATATATATATGCCGACATAACTGACTGATTTGCAAAACGTATGAATCAAAGCAATACAGAATAATGTAAAATGATGCATGATAGATTAAAAGTAAGGTCATAGATAAATTGACAACTACAAGAGCAAGGTATGTTATGTCTTTTGCGACTTTGCAAACAAAGTTTATCATAACACGTGTTTGTTAACAAGTAACTGTGGATCCTTGTGGTAAGTATATTTCAGATCTAGATCAGACAAGACAGTCGCTTCATCCGAAAAAAAAAAAAACCGAGTTAGCGTTAAAAATAATTTTGGGAATCAAAGCTCATGGAAATGTCTCTTCCCTCGTCATTAGGTATTCAACATTTCGTTATCTTCGCCGCACAGCCTTATGGTCTTCCGCTGAAGGAAATAACGACAGCGCAGTATCTCAAATCCCTGGGTTACCAGACTCACGCGGTTGGAAAAGTACGCAAGTGCACAGCATACACGTGTCAAACTTAGACCATTAATTTTCCGTATTACAGCTCAAATAAGCTTGCACTATAAACTTTACACGACATTTAAATTATTTACGACAGTTCTATGTTCTGCTCGCTTTGAACTCATCTAGTACTTGAAAGATAAGGGAATGATGGGTGACAAGAAGTGAGGCCTAACTTTCTTTTTGGTTACAGTGGCATCTTGGATATTTCACTAAGGAGTATACACCTTTGTACCGAGGCTTCGACTCTTTCTTCGGATTCTTGGGTGCGAAAGAGGATTACTGGGATCACAGCTCTTTTGAGGATTACTGGGGCTATGATCTTCGAGATAACGAGAAGGTAGGCAAAGGCAAAGTATACGACTTGAACAGAAATAAAAAAGTCAAACGAAAAATAGATCGTTCTCCTCTACATACCACTCTAACTTCCCACTGAATTCTAACCATTTTAGCTTATGTAAAACCAAGAGGCAGTGGCAAAAACAGTAAGAAAGATTTTTATATCTTCCGATCCTAATAAGTAGATTTTTGTCACTACAGTTTAACTGTCATTATTCTATCATGCTTCAGCCAATCAGAAGAGATGGAGTCTACGCCACGGATCTCTTCACCCATGAGGCCATAAAAAAGATCAATGCTCACGACAATTCTAAACCAATGTTTTTGTACCTCGCTCACCAAGCAGCGCATTCAGCCAATAAGAACGATCCTTTGCAGGCACCAAAACATCTTATTGAGGTAATAGAATCAGCTAAATACTAATTTGATTCATTAAACGTAGACATCATCTGATTCGAGCATAGTAAAATTAATTTTAAACAAGGTTTTTATCCTGTAGACACAATGTCTATAGGTTTATTTTTATTCACCAGACTATTATACGTTGCATCTTTAACCAAATATGTGAAGTCTATTTAGGTCCATCAGAAAAAAAACACCATACCGGCACTAAATCAGCTTAAGTTGTCCTTATTTAATATTATTAGTTTTACGGAATAAAATTTAATGGGTATTCTCTCAATTTTTTAATGATTAATATTAATACATCTATCATAAATTTGTTTCAATGATCAGTCATTTACGGTCTTTCCTAAGAAATTCAGTTTTATAAAAGACAAAAGAAGACAAAAATACGCTGCCATGGTAACATCATTGGACGAATCGGTTGGAGCAGTGAAGCAGGCACTCGCAGATAAAGGAATGCTACAGGATTCTGTCATCATATTCACCACTGACAACGGTGGAGCTCCTTATGGATTCAACTGGTAATTACATCCACTAATCATTACTACTGGTGTGGTTCGCAAAAAGTTTTAAACATTTGATATTCTTTGAACCCGACATCGGACAATTAAAAGAAAATTTACAACAATTATCAAATCGAATGTAAATTAATATTAGCTCCGTTTTCAAAGAGGACATAACAGTTCTTTTTAGCGTCACAAATCGAGTAAACAAAGATTTGTGTCGGCGAGTTGACCAAAGTTGTCGGCAAATTGACGTCGGTGAGTTGACCACTGGTGTTTGCGAGTTAACCTGAGGTGGCAAGTTGACAAGTGGTGTTGGCGAGTTGGTTGTTGAAATTTGCAAGTTGAAATGTAGGCGTGTTGACATGTCGGAAAAGTGACCGGTAATCGAAGTGACAGTGTATGGAGTCCATGAATTGAGTTCGTGGTAGATTTCTTTTCTCTTAATGTCAAACATTTCAAACCCTCACGTGTAATTTCAAATAAGAATTAGTTGTTAGCTATTACTACGTTCGGTTCCTTGTCAACTGGCAGATTTTGTTTCTGGAATAGGAATGCTGGCTCAAACTTCCCCTTCCGGGCAGGCAAAGACACCCTGTGGGAGGGTGGGGTGAAAGGTGTTGGTTTTGTCTACACTGCTAATGATCTCATCAAGCAGAAAAACCGTGTTTGCACCGGACTGATTGATGCAACAGACTGGGCAGCGACTCTATACCACTTAGGGGGAGGTAATGCAGAGCTTATATCGGCCAGGACTGACGGAAAGAACGTTTGGGAGACGATATCGAACGACGCACCATCACCTCGGGATGAAGTGTTGCATAATATAGACCCCAGGTAAGCCTTAGACATTTCCTTATTTTAACAATAAGTACGAATATAATGATTTTAGATATATGAAATTCATATATGTCCACTGCGGTGAAGAAACGAATATAAGAGATCCTCGCAGCTAAGAACACAACTGAACTAGTAGTTTAAATAAGACCTGGAAAAATTCAGGCCCATACGGGATTTGATTTGGCTTAAAAAAAATTGTGGCAGGTCGGACACCATTCACTTCCAATAGCTGATTGACTTTTGCTGTTGCAGTATGGGTGAAAAGTTAAGTTTACACTTGCCCATTAGTGTCAAGATCAGTGAACTGCAACGTGGTCAGAGCAACATAATAATAGCGCGCGATCAGCTAGGTTGCAAATAGAGGCATGAGAGTTGGGTGCCGGAATCATTCTATTCATCGCAAAAACCTCTGAGGTCGATCAGCTTACGAAAAGAGAATGACAGAGAGGTTCAATTGGCAAAACATAACAGTATCTTACGATTTTGACCCGTTAACGCTTAAGGGTGATACGCATCTAACTTCTTCTCAGTGTTGCCCAGAAAAAAAAAACATTTAGGTCACGAGAATAAAGGAAATTATTACGAACAGAAGAAGTTCTTGATGGCTAAACAAATTCACCTTGTAAGTACTAAAGGAAATTCACAGAGAAAAGTATTAGGTTCCAGCACTGTTCGCTGCGCGGGCTCATTGTGTTGTGTTTTGGACCAAAATGACAATGTCTCTACCTTTTCAGTACAATAAACGGCGAAGCAGCGATAGACTGGCATTCTGCAAATAAACCTCTACTTAGCGCGTCGTTAAAAACAACAAAACAAACAGTATAGCCTTGATGACTGTTGGGCAGTTCACATGTTGTTTAAAGCAGCGCTCATACTCTACCAATCCATTCCACAATGTTTAACAGATAAGGCGAGTCGCCTCATACGTTGCTACCGTAGAGCTAAAGGTGAACAATTTGTGATAAAAAAGTGAGAAAAACTGGATCAAACTCGATTCTCGGTAACTGTGAACAGCTCCCCTCAAACGAATGTCGGCTGTTTGTCGGCCGACAGCCGGGTTTGCTGAGCGTGCTTCTCAATTATCCGATTTTCTGGGATGTGGACCGATCAGTTATGTAATTACAATTTCATACAGCACGACCCATAATCATTTTAACTTGTTTACCGTCTAAGCTCCAATATTCTCACCTTGATCATTATTACGCACAGACGAAATTTTGAAGCCATCCGCAAAGGCAAATTCAAACTTGTGGTTGGGATGGATGACACGTACCAGTTAGGATGGCACGCGAGGTACCCGACGGAACATCCTCCTCCCTGGGAGGCAAATCCAACACTTCCTGGAGCAGAAATCCACTGTGGCCCGTGGACGAATGGCAAAGGCATGTGCGACTCAAAGCATCACAAAGCTTGTCTTTTTGACCTTGAAAGCGGTAAGAAAACAATGGCAATTAACCAACGAACTAATTTTGATTAAGATGCCCGCTACTACATTGTGTAAAACATGCGTGGCTTTCAAAAGATTTACAAATGCATATGTATTTGTGATCTACGATTTCAAGAAATACTTATTCCCGGTTAATAGAACCCTGTTTATACAAACAGATGAAAAAAGGCAAACAGAAACAAAAGACACTAAAAATTACCCCCTTCCTTCCCTCGGTCATGTTGAAAACTCTGTTGCTGAAAGAGTCGAAAAGTTCAGAGAATCAAGCAAAAAAGGAATAGATGTCTTGTTGACAACATAGTCGAACACCGCTATTTGAGTGATAAAGATTTTACAACCTGTTTGCAGTGTGTAATCCTGATGTTTCTTCTTTTGATCTCACCGACGACCTGACTAAAAATCTCGAGACAAGAACCTAAATCATGCTCACGTAAGCATTATCTCTTGCATGATAAACATCTTAAAATAACTAAAGGGAATATTGATCCTTTTCCCTAAGATGAGAGTGGTTGATGTGGACATCAATCAATATTGCTCATATGAATTAAATGTACTTCCCTTGCATTTTTAGCCACCATAGATTAAGCACAAGGTAAGTGTACTACCTGACTTTCATTGCCCACTCTTTAGGGAACCCTACAGGGAAAATTTTTTTTTTGGCATGGAAATAAGTTCTCTTTTGGAGCTGGTCATGTAATGAGGTAAAGATGAAGAACTTGAAGTAACCTTAATAAGGCTTGTCTTTCATAATCAACACAACCAAGTATTATCATCACCCACAAAAAAAACACAAAACAATTAAATAATCTCTTCCCTTTTTTAAATCTTTTGTATTCAAAGCTGTATACCTACTATTAGTGTATGCCTATCACTAAGAAAATCACAGATTCTCTTATTGTCAAATTGGATAAAATCACACCTGCCACAACTTGTGTTTTCACCAATGAAGTCTTTATGAATATTTTCACTGACAATATTCACTTTGAGTTGTGAACCAGAGAACCTGTCCTGTAGTTTTCTCACCAAATATAGCAAAAGAGAGGCTTCAATTTTTTTAAACTTTTTTCCCACAAAAATATGCATAGGTCGAGGAAAAAGTCAGTTAGAAAGTTCATGCACTCTCAGATAAGTGGCTTCTGAAAATACATCACTGTAAATTAATATTACCAATATTGGTTAATCTATCTAAGAGAAAGATGAAGAGATGCTAAAATCAATCTGTCTCCCTAAAAAAGAGTCTGAGTTAAAAATATTAAAGCTTTTTAAGACATACCTATTACACAAACCAAAAGAGAATTTACTCCTTTGGCCAACTTCCTTTTTTCCTTTTTTCCTTTTTTCCCAGAAACCTCTTTCTCACCTCCTTTACAAATCATTGAATAGTCTCATATCCTAACACAGATCTCAAAGCAAGGATTTTATTGCAAATGAGATAATCAACTAACACGAAAGGGTAGAATCACATCCACTTGGTGGAGAAAACTGAAAACAGACTGAAAATTCTCTCAAAGATGAGTTTCCACAATTAGCCACAGGCTAGGAAAAAAAGTGTACATGTATAATACATAACTATATAATTTATGTACTGAGTTATAAACCACCAACCATTTCTGCTTGTGTGTAAATGTAAATGTATCACATGACCAAATATTTTCCACTTTGTATATTTGTCCTTGAAAATTATACGTTTCTTGAAGCTCTAAGTTTTCCTTAGAAAAATATTGGTGTATATTTTCACCAAAAGGAGGCTATCCTTCATAAAATGAAATTCAGGCTATTGCAATACTTATGCTTTCAATGTTTTATAGTTTCTCATTATAATAATGATTTAAGATTGTCACTTGCAGTGCCATTCCCCTACTGAATGACATTCCCATATGAACTGTAGTTTTACCTCAAACCAGAATGTTGCCCATCAAATTATATTTCTGCTTAAAATGTTTGACCTCTTATTTTTGTCATTTCATCAACTTTTTTGTTCTAAAAACCACCTGGCTAAATATGGGGCACCAACAATGACAATTTTCATTTACATTTCTACATTACTTTTACATTACATTTCATACTTTAACCCCAAAGGTGACTAACATGTATCTTAATGCATCCAATAATATCCAAAGATTATCAAGAAAAAAAAATAATGAGAATGCTCAAACTCATCATGTAGAAGTTGCTATCTTGATGTAACACCACATTCTTGTTACTAACTAACTAGGAAATGTGTAGCAGCTTCAGAGGGCTGAGATTTAACAATCAAATCTAAGCAGTTAACCCTTTAAGTCCCACTAGTGACCTAGACAGAATTTCTCCTTACACTATCAGTACAATATCAAGCAGACAAGTAATGAGAATAAAGAAAATATCAGTTAAGGGATTATTGGTTGATCCAATACCAAATTCTCCAAATTAGAATCATATGAATTGTATAGCAGACAGTAAGAAGAATTACTAATGAGATCTTGGGAGTTAAAAGTTAAAGGGTGAACTTCAACCAATGCTGAACTTGTTCCAAGTTTACATAGTGAATACCTGAACATCAGATTCAACCCTTTAACTACAAGAGGTGACTAACATGTATCTTCATCTTATAATATCCAATGATTATCAAGTAGGAAAATGATGAGAATGCTCAAACTTATCATGTAGAAGTAGCTATATTGATGTAACACCAAATTCTTGTTACTAATTTGCAAGGAAATGTGAAGCAGCTAGAGAGCTGAGATTTAACAATCAAATCTAAGCAGTAAAAGGGTTAAGTGATGCTGAACTTTTTCCACGTTTACATGGTGAGTGCTTCATCTTAACCAGAGGGTGATTGGGCGAATCAATGGCGGATGGCTATGCAAAGCCATGACAAAGTCACGGGTTTGAATAGCTTTTGAGAATTCCACATCTTCTTGAGTGTTATTGCACGAGGATATGTAAACAGCAAATTTCCTCCGTTACCTTAATAAAATATTGCTAAAAAATGCGCTCGAATCTAAAACGTCTCAAAGATGTTTACATAATTATACTTGCGAAAAACCCTTAGTAACCCATGATACTAATTTGTAAATACAAGTATTAGCATAAAGGTAAAACGGTTGCCGACTGCTGGTTGATCATGATATAACTAAAGAAGTTCAAATATTGCCACACATTGACTTCACTGAGTTGTACAGAAAACAGGAGAAATTATTGGCCAGAATCAGTGGGTGAAATGAAAAAAAACTACATTTGCCCGTGTCGTGAATTTGGACATAAGCATGTAGCAAAGTGGGATATAAATAATGAATCTTGATTAATTTTCAAAGGCTTAAATGTAAATATATTCAACTGATGTATCGTTCTTCGCAATGATAGCTACGTTTTTAAACAAACTCTAACCTTTCTCAGCGGGCCGGCAGACGCCTGCTCTGAATTGAAGTCCATTATGAAATCAAGCGAGCGCTCACAAAATAGTCGTCAACTCGACATCAATAATAATATGCTTAGCAAGAGCAAGAACAGTCCTCAATTAGATCTTAAGCAAGGCAACCAGAATGTGACTGTGACTTAAAAAGCCAAGTTCCACTCAGCAAAAACTTTGAGGTAGAGCTTGCATTAGCAATGTGTTCCAAGTCTCTCGCAGGTTTGAAAAACTACCGCGGCTGGTCACCGTGGCTTACTTAGAACTCCCGCCAATAGAGGCGATAGTTACGGCGGGGAGGGGAGGGTGTGGAACGCAATTCTGGTTCATCGTCATTAAGAGCACCAATTTTAAAAGGTCGGGTTTTTGCGAGAACCAATCAAATATGATAATTTTAAGTGAAGGTTCTGAAATAACAAACTAATCACACTCTTCAAGGGAGTGTGTCTTTAACCAGTTAAATTATCAAACGCTTTTGTTTACTTGAAGTAACAAGAACAGAATGATTTCAGAGGGTAGCACGGCCTCGGTGGACTTCTCTTCCCTCCCCCCTCCCCAACCTAGTCTGACAAGTTTCTTGACCCTTAACCCCACTCGGGCAAAATGAACGCCTCAAGGATCAGAAGTTACAGCTTTAAATCGAAACCTTTTTCTATCCCTTTTCGGTAAAACTTTGAGGTGGTATTTACTCTCGTTTTTCAGACCCTTGTGAATACAGAGATGTGTCAGATGTCTATCCACACAAGGTTCAGGAGTTGGAAGAGAGGCTTAACTACTACCGCAGCACGGCGCTGCCAGTTGTTTATCCAATGATCAGCCCGAAAGCAGATCCAAAAAATTTTAATAGTTTTTGGGGTCCCTGGGAAGTTCTCACAGATAAGTCGGAGTACTTTTCTGCAAAGAGTGCTTGTAAAGAAGTGCATGCAAAACAGGTCCAGCTTGGTTTACATCGGATGGTATACTCCAATCAAACCCTCTAAATCAGTGAAATGAAGAGATATATTTTCATAGTCAAGGAAGTCTGGTTGCAGACGGAGACGTGTAACATTTGATTCCTCAGTATCCGCATGTTGGAGTCACAGACGGCTTTTATGGACGTTGTTCATTACCCTGCTTCATCAAGAGTACTCAGAAAACATTATACTATTGTATATACTATTGTAACAAAATATTAGTATAGGTAATAACATGATTTCGAGTGCAATTTGCTGTTAATAAGCACCAGTAAATTTTTCAAGTCCATATTAACACCAAATAGCACTCGAAATCATGTCTTTACTTGTTAATAATATTCATAAAAGAACTTTACAGAAAGTCAAGACAGACGAAATTTTGAAAGCGTGCGCGCGCAATTTGTAATTTGCATTTGTGTCAAAACTTTACACACGTGTTAAATGAGAAAGCATTCGTTTTAAGCCAACCAGAAGCGCGTAATATTTTCATGTGCTTTATTATAAAAGAAATGATATTGTAAAGTTCTACGAGGTGACCCGATGGACGCCTGCCAGACTATTCTTTAGAGAGAATAAGAAAATCGATCTAACAGCAGATGTTTATTTGAACTTGGCCCGTTACTCTTCTGACTAGAACCCGAGCGATGTACTAGGATTTCATCGTCAAAACTTTAACTATTAGGATCTGATCAGAGATCTTTCCTAGTAGTTGACATAGTTTCATGAATGTAGAACTGTTCCACATAACACCCTTTGGGACATAGCGGGTTTTCTGCTCTCATCATCTGTTTCCCGTTAGACATTCCAAAAAAAAAGGAAAGCTACATAGTTGCTTCTGATTTTAAAGGTTTGAGTCCTGGTCACGAGTTTGCAACTGCAAATACATCTAAGGTAGAACATAACTCTCACAAAGCTCGAAGTTTCTTCGTGCATATAAGCGAGGTTCTCCGGAAATCCTTAGCCTTTGGCCTTCGTCTATAGCCTAGGAAATTAGCAACGTAAATGTGCATAAATTATCGACTGTTAAGAGCGACTATTCTTTACTCAACTTTCAATAGTGAGAGCTATTATCTAAAACGTAGGATACCAACCCCTTAAATGAAAATCCCAGCTAAGAAAGAATTGAATAACCAGAGTAAGTACTAAGATTAGAAGGTAGACCTGGTTAACAGCATAATTGGCACACTGTTTATACGGTGTGATTGTTTAGGAGTAAGCTCAACACACCATTTATGCATTTCATTTAAGGTAGATCTGTTATTTGCATCTTCCACTCAGTTTTAATTGCACCCTGCTGCGACAGGAGGTGCGAAAGGAAGCTAGCTTCGAAACTGAAAGACCTTTCGAACAATCGTAGTTTTCAAAATGGAGCCAGGAGGAATCCTTGCATATATGTGTGAATTGGTTACTTCAAATTCAACACTGAAAAAGAGACGTTAAAAATAGCCCTTGATAATCTGTTTATTCATGTAAAACAATAAGGTGACAAGTACTTGATAAGCCTTAAGGCAAAATTAATTAATGATCAGGCCGATTAATTTGTTGTTAAACAACTTCCCGTCGAATTGCTCAACAGTACACCATTGATTTGATTTCAAATGAAAACTGTTCTTATTTTCGGCTTCTATAAATGATTGGCCGACCCAAGTTTAGCTCGCTTTTACACGGAAAATCTGTGATTGTGGATGGGAGGAGTAGGAGGAGGTGTAATAACCTCACATATCTACAAAATTAATTTAAGAGAATTCTGCGACTATGGTCAACAACTATGTTCTAATTTACCCACAAGACTTCTATCCTATCCTTCTACTGTCACATTATATCGTAGATTCCATCTTAAATTTTGGAAGCTCTAGTTGTCACATTCCTTATGGTAGCCAGAGCAGTAACTCTTTTCTTTTCTTTCGTATTCGTAAACAAAGTCCAATTGTTCGCGCGTTTAGCATTGTTCGTGGTCTTCTGCTTACAACTACAGCCTTTTGGAGTCTGCACCGTATACAAATTTGTGAACGTGGTGGTCATTATGCAATTTCCCACTTAATTATTTTTCACTTTCGTCGAATAAAGCTAATTTCTCTCAAATGTTGCGACTCCATTTGGTAGTTAATATTTGAAGAGGTTTGTTTACAGAAGAAGTTAACTATGGCTAAATTTAACACAAGAAATTTTTTCATGACAAGCGCTACTGCTGAATTTTTTTTCGGAAATATTTACACGTAGTTCATCTTTCCACCGTTAAGACCAAGAGACCAAGAAAAAATTATGCCATTAACTTTCACTTTCGATCGCCTCCATGTTGGGTACAGCAGTATGGGCGATAGATCCACGATGCTTACGTTGGCTCATGTAGCCACCGATAGCAGATCCTCGTCTACTGAGGTACATACTGACAGAGGAACCCCGTCGGCTGTTCCCTACAGTTTGCTCAAGATAAACCCGATTAAAGAGTCGCTTGAATGCTCGCCTGTATGTGCGGTTCATACAAGTGTATATCACAGGGTTCAAACACGAATTTAAGTATTCCATCCACTTGAACATGTTGTAAACTTCCATGGGGTAAGTAAAGTTTTTGTCTGTTGAATGGCCTACCACAATAACGAAAAATGGAAGCCAGCAAACGACGAAAGCGCCAATGACAACTAAGATGGTCTTTGCTGCCTTCATCTCGTTAGCGTGTTCTTTCCCTCCAGCTGATCCGATTCTGTGCACTTGGATTTTGACAACAATAAAGATGACAGTGTACATCACGATTACAAGTGACAAGGGAAGAAAGAAACTTGCAAAGGCCACAAAAAGGCCGTAGCTTTGCCAATTGGCCAGTCGTAGACATGCGATGGTCGTTGAGTACAACCAAACCAGTGCGAGGATAATTAAGACCCTCTTCGTAGTTAATATCTTTGGATACTTAAAAGGTGTCACGATTGCCAACATTCGATCGATACTGACCGCTGTAAGATTCATAATGGAGGCTGTACCACAGAAAATATCGATGAAGCTCCAGAAGGAATACAGCCCCTCTTGCAACCGAGGCCATGGCCACAGTGTATTGTTAAGCTGAACAATGAGCCAAAACGGCATAGCAAGCAGAGCAACCAAAATATCTGCCACACTTAAACTAACAATAAAATAGTTACAGATCGTCCTGAGGTTGGGAAAAGTGTAGAAACTGATACAGACGAGAACATTTCCAAATAGAGTCACCAAGATCAATATACCGACGAAAACAGCTGCAACGATGCTATTCGGTGTAGGATTTATGCCAGTAGGGGGAGCACTTGTGATATTTCCTGCCTCAGACATGTTGAATACCAACCACCGGTGCCTTTGATGCGCCTGTGTGAACAAGAAGCGAAACAAAAGCTAAACGTCAACCTCATCTGCATAACTGAATAAATACAAACATTGATAATGAAAGGAACTTAGAAAAATGGACCAACTTCCTCAACGTACTGTGTTCAGTAAAGTCTCCAGATGCTCAAAGACATTTTACTCATTCTCTATCTTTGAACAAGCTCAGCCTGCAACGAGATAATGTCTGTTTTGATCAGCTATGGAAATAACTTCGAGGTCAACAAGCGCTTTCGTAGCTTAGGTAATAATTGGTTTCCGGAAACCCCAAAGGCTCAAAATACTTTAAAAGCTAATTTACACCTTTTCTTTGATTACTGATTTTAAACTGCTAAATCAATTAAGGTCAACACTCCATGGCTATCAATAAAGGGACAGAAAACATTCACATTAAGCTTTTGGTGGAACAACGAGATTTAAAAGGCTTTTTAATTTTAAACGCTCGCAGCAATAAAGGGTAAAGATCAATCTAATATGATAATTCTATCAAAAATTGCATAGAGATGAAATCTTATTGTCGAGATGAATAGGCTTAGAAACCAATTTACTTTCCTATCACACTTGTTTGTGAATTCAACCTTATTACAGTGGTTCAGGCGAGAAATACTATAATAAGAAGTCTGTTCGAATCTCTCTTTATTATGAATTAGTTGAAAATTTTCATCTCTGAAAAATCAAAAAGACATCCTTGTTCTTCAAACGAGGTCCCAGCAATGCAAAATCAAAGACTAAACATGATCTCTGTCAGACAGATATTTACTCCAGTAAAGACAAGTCTGTTATGATGAACCTTGGTAAATATCTAAAATGTAAAGGCACTGTTTGTTTTCTTTTCCGACCCCAGTATCCTATTTTCTCACACTTGAATGCTTTCACCGTGCTCGTACACTTAGGTGTTAGGTGAATTTGGCAAACCCTTCCTGCATAATATGTTCTCATTTCAAACATCGATGTCAGATTGCTTTTAGGTCTGTGCGGCGAAAAGTAAACTTTGAATGTTGACATTTGGGCTCTTAACTTTTTCCATTTTGACGGGCATAACACAGAGCTTATGTAAACTGAACAGACGATGTGTCTTTGAAGCCAGACTACAAACAGGAGGAATTTGATTTAATATGAATTTGCGAGGGAACAAAAGGACATCACAATAATACAATAGCGACAAAATAAAAAAGAGTTTGAACTTCGAATCTGACTCACTCAGTGTTGAAATCTTTTCCTTCTCCAAACTGATCTGCATCAGCTCGCTTTTCTCTAGATTCCGCACTCTCAGTAGGAGTCAACAGGTAAGTCAAGCTGCGAGGCTTTTAATTCAAGCAGTTAAAAGATAAGACTGTTCAAAAACTGTACTTCAAAGAAATTGATTTTATCAATCAGTGGTTACCGATCGTTGAATATTACTTGATGATCGCAAGAAGATGATAAATTACTTGATGATCGCAAGAAGATGATAAATTACTTGATACACGCAAAGCAAAATCAAAGCACTCTTGCTAAATGAAAGCTGAAGTGGCTTACAAAAGTTGTTTGTGGCATCATAACGTGCAGAAAATTCGACAAAACTTTGCCATTTGCAGCTCTTGCAGTACATCCGCTTCATTTGAAAAATTGGTTTCAAACGTCCTTATGTGTTCCGTAATCTTCTCCCCACATGAATGACGCCTAAAACTGGCGGAGGTGTATGGGCTTTTACGTCGAATCGGTCTACAAAATTCATCCTGATCGGAAACACCGAAGATAAGATCCTTGACAAATATTTATGGCATGATCGACATACTGCTTTAGCTTGCTAAAGAAAGCGTGTTATCTTCTAATGATTACTGTGATTCTCCCCTATCCAGGCTGCGCACGAAAATCTATGATATGAACATAACCAACCTTTGCAGCGGGTTAAATTATTTTTGGCTCTTGACTTCAAATACGATTAGTGTTGAATCTTGAGTCGTGAAAAAGAGTCGGCTCAAACGAAACGCAGACGAATTTATGAAAAATTGAAACTCGGTGCACGCAATTAATGACAGAAATCACAAACGCAAATACTTTGACAGGATTAAAGTAAATCCAGTAGCTTTTATGCAAACTTTATTAATAGCATTACCAACAATAGCTCAGAAACCATAATCAATGATTTAAAGACGGAAATTATCCTGTAAGATATCTCTTTTGCGAAATCTATTTGTGGCACCTTTTTCATATTAATCTGAATCTCTTTGCCGTTCCGCAGTTGATAATAAAAATCATTCTGTGCATTAAAAGATAGCTCGCTTTACGATGTACTTTGACTTGATAAGCAAAAATGAAGGGAAAGATGCATGGAACCCAAAAATAGAAGTAATTCTTTTTCCGAATCACCTCAATCAATCTTTCCTTGAAAGGTGGCGATAATGGGGTATTTTTACGAAGATTTTTCTTGAGATTTGCGATGTACTGTAATTTGATAAGCAAGATTGACCGAACGGATGGAACCAAAGAACTGAAAATTATTTTTCTTAACCATGCGCTAATAAATTCACGCCGACACTTCACGAAACGAAACTTTGGGCGTCTTCATGGACAGACTTAGATACGATCAGTCTCTCTCTTTCACGCTTTAAGAGATTGATATAGGCTACGATGGATTGTGGTTGATAAGCTTGGGTAATAAACAGATAGTCCTAAAAAATTGTAACCTATATTTCAAACACCGTTAATCAATTCATACCGAGAGTACCAAATTTTTGTTTTGTCTTCACATAAAAAAAGATGATCAGTTTAATTCTATGCAGTCTGACGTAAAATAGTGCCCCGACAGGTCCAGTTTTTTTTTTTTTTCACTTACTCCAAAGGTACATAAGTTTTGCGGTGTTTCCTCATTAGGAGATAAGGCTGTTTCTTTCGCATAGATAATGCACGGAATTAATTCTAAAGTATTTTTAAAATAAAAACAGCCAAACATTTCTACTTACGCCTCCGTCGGCCTGTTCCCTTTTTTACTCCACTATCGTTAAACAAATTCCTAAGAACCATTAGCAGAGAGCTTCGATTGCGATTGTTAGAATCAAATCTGATTCAATTATAAGAATCTAGTAAAAAAAAACTTAATTAAAATTGAATCTAGAACTTCTTATCTTATTGTTCGAGTGATATCCCACAGCGTCTCATGCAAGCAAGGGAGCTTGGCTTCAATATCATTGGTTATACGCGAACGACAAACGGAGACCTTCAGTTCAAACCCTTAATAAATAAATGATTATTTGCTTTGACGTATAAATTTATGAAAAACCTAGACAAAACCCATACATTTATTCGTATTATTTAGCTCAGTACACAATGATTGTTTACGCTCCGAAATGGTGAATTAATCTGCTTTTCCCAGCCTTTTCATCACGGCGACAAAGAAAAATTGCACAAAGGGGAAACATTTCTTGAAAAATAGTAAATATAATAAAATTTTTTAGAGGCAAAACACCCGCGCTTAATTGCTTGGCAAACCGACTACAGTGAGATTGTTAAAACGCATCAAGAAACAGGATGCGCGAAAGATCATGCCGGTAAAAATATTGTAGGCGACAAAAGCGAAATCATGGACAAAAGATGAAAAGTAACAGGTCTAAATTAAAAGGCAAGTATTTTCATACGATTCTGAAGTGATTTCTGTAACAGTAATTTTGTAACAGTAATTTTGCGAAAGTGTGAAATAAACGAACAGGAATTGCTTTGTACGTTTGTTAATCTTTGCACCCTCGATGGTTAATCTCTTTACATTTGTGTACTATACCTTAGGGTAATACGGGTTACTGTACACCACAGCTTTTTCAAATGCCGCTCTACATGACAGAAATCTCTGCGCATGTAAATACGTAACAGCCTTTAAGATTTCCGAGGCTGGACACACCTTGTAACATGTAGTAATCAGCTTTGTCTTTTGTGGTTCGGTCCTTTTCACACATACTGACAAGTAACACAGGTAAAGATATCGCTAGATTCTATTAAAATAATCTTGTCTTTTTTAATTACAAATTAAGAACTACATTTCAACTTTAATTTACGGTTCAGAGAAGCACATAATGCGACTGATTAAAGAGTGTCAACATTGTGGTTTAATTTGGGGCTCGCATCAGAAGATTTTCAACCAGTTTCCAAATATGGTAATGAGTCGGAGCTGAGGTTGGTTTTTTTTCTTCGAAACTAGTTTTACACGTTCAGCATATCTTAACATTTTTATAAACACCGATGCCGACTTAAATCAGGCAAGCTTACAAAAGAAAACTACTCTTTTGACAAAAAAGAAGATGAAAATTAGAACGACGCAAACTTTGTTTAGCCACTTTCTAGCAGTGATGATTATAAATAATTAAAATATGTACACAGTTTCATCCGCTTTATAATTAATCTTCACCAGAAAGTTACCTCTTTGCGCGTAGAGATTGTCAGAAATACGTTGAGCAACGAACACATCGAAAAAATTATCGATTATCGAGCAACGTGAGGTCAAAAAATGGCCTCCCCATTTTGCTAATACGAACTTGAGTTTTGGAGATAAATATGAAACTAATGTTAAGGGAGATCTTTGCCAATAAAAAAGAAACAAGCGCAAAGATAAAAAAAAACGAATCTTGAAATGGTCGCTTTTTAGTCGTACAATCCAACTCAGGTATACAGCGTGAAAAATATTCCAAAAACATGGCGGCCTGATAGGTCAGAAGCATGTAAGCTAATCGCCATGCTGCTCTTTCCTTGTATGAAACTGTGTTGTCGTGCTGTTATTTTCAATACGAAGCGCGTCCTTTTTCACTTTTAATTAAGAAAATAACAAAGAAAGCCATGTTTAACTACAAATCAAGAGATTCTGGTGTAACCTGAATCGCTAAAAAGCAATGAAAGGTACATATTTGTTGTAACCTGTCTCGGGTGCGTGTTAATCGAGCTTGAAGCGGAAGAATTAATTTTAGAAGCAAATTTTAGCTTGTGAAGGGTAAGTAAACTCCATTTACTCTCAGAACATGAACAATAAACAAAAGAATGTTCGTTCATTTACACTGAAAATACTGAAAAAGGAGCAACAAGGTAACCTTTTCAGACCCAAAACAACTAAAACGAAAGATTTTATTAATGCACGACAAAACATCAAACTTACGGTTCGTCTTGGAAACGAATAAACCGTACCACTTTCGTTCGCTACATCAACTTCCTTTTCAAAAGAATAGTCGCTCAGGAAACTTGCCAAAGGGGTCGATAATCAAGAAGCGTCCCCTTTATAGCAGCCACTAGAAAGATGTTAATGGATCATCAGGTAGAAGCAGATGGTCATTCATAAACATTCAACAAAGATGTTTGTTAAAGACTCTCTTGCCTGCACGTTTCAAGAAGTAAAACATGTAATGATAACAGGCCGACACATCAGTGTGACGAAACCTCAATTACAGGAGCAGGAAGCTTAATTAAATGGTCGCATATTGGTAACTATAAAACAACCTTTCTAAGGAAAACAAAATTTCAGCGCGTATATCTACGGGGTGTAAGATTATATCTCTTTTTAATTATCCTTCGCATGCTAAAGTGCTCTCCATCAGAAGTTTTTTGTTTGAAGAAAAGCGACATAATCCTTCGTAAACACTTCAAGAAGATTTCAAGAGGACGAAATACACAACCATTTTTGTTTTTTTTGTTTTTTTGCGTCGCTTTCAATAAGGTAAAAAAAAGCGAAATTTGCGTTATAATAATGGTGGATCTCTCACGAAAAAAAAATTAATCTTATATTTTTTCATTTGCAGAATTGTAGCACTTATTAGGTCGCAGTTCATACGACTAAGACCCTGAATTTAATAGTTGAGTTAATGGAGCTTTAAATGCGAATGGAAATTTATGAGAATTGAATATTTAACTGGAAATATGGTGTTATGGTCGCAGTTGAGGAAAACAATCAGCGGACAAATTTTTAAGTTGTGAATTAGAGTCTCCACGCGACCTGAAAAAGCAGACATTCTACATAAATTTTTAAACCTTCTAATGAATAGATGAATCCAAAACCGACGGCAACTCACCATGAATCGAGGGAATCCACTAATGGTCCTTGGAAAAAAAAATTATATCCTTTCCAGCAAAGCACTTAATTAATTACGCCACTTTCCAAAGATATTCCTCTCACTTCTCTATTGGCAAAAGAGCACGTTTTCATTCCCTTTTTTTTTTTTTCTGCAAGTGATTCAAAAGTGCCGAATGTAAACGCAAATGGCGTATTTGTAACAATTTGTGTAAACACCGTGGTCGGCCTTACGCGCGTAATAAAGAAACGCATTAACCGAATCGCTTGGATGGTCATTTTAAATTCGTACTATCCAGCTCATTAGCGGCCGGCACCTTTCAAATTCAAATTCACGGCTATTCAATGGTCTGAGCCTCGTTTACTTACGCGACTCAACTATAATTATGTTTTTATAACGACTGAAAATAAACACGAGCAATTTACCATAGTTTGGCTTGATGCGCGAATTAACGCCAACTCGCCGATTGCTTCTACTTCCTTAAGTCGGAGACAAACATCAAGACAAACGTCGATTATCATTGTGATCGACCTAAAAAATTCCCTACTGTGAGCAGTCGACTGATCTTGTGGTTCACAACCATTAAGTAAAAAAAACTCCAAGGGTTATGAAGAGTTGTACAGCCAGAGAATATCATTTTAGTAGTTAGTTTATGATCACAAACAAAACCTGGCGAGTAGAGCTTATGCACACACACATGGAAACTTCACTTCTCAAATTTTACAACCTGGCATAAATAATAAGAAAAAACCCCTCTTTCTCCTCCTTGGTCAATTTTGTTGTTTATTTGTTATTCAAATAAGTTACCCGAAGAAAAAACCACACAAAACAACATCGAAAGAAAGCATCATTGAAGGAGGGAATGGGAACTTGGTACGATACAAGGGCTTCTAGATCTTTTTAATAAAAATCAATGGGCTTTTCGTGAAGTCGTCTCTACAATCATAGGCGGATGGGGAAGCACTCCTTCGAGGCAACAGTTCCCCAGTTGAGTTCTCCCTCCCAAATTACATTTGTCTCAGCTTCTGTAGTTTAAAGACGTCTGTTAAAACACATCTGTTCAGATAAGCTTCTGAATGGAATTGACCTTATTCATTTGTGGCACATATATATCTACATTAGTCATGGTATATTAGATTATATTTTAAGATTGAAAATGTCAACTCATACATTTTTTTTGCTTTCCGTGGGAAACACTCTATCACTTTCAGAATAGAATTATGTAGAATTATTGTGAAGCGCTCTTGATCTGATGACATAAACAGCGCCACATAAATGTGGAGTTATTATCATTTCATTACTATTGCGATTGCCTAATTTTCCCAGGCTTCTTAGTCAAAAACACTAGACGAAAGTGATATCATTTCAACAGCTTTTTACTCCGTGGCAACACCAGAACAAGAGTTAGAATATGTAACTCAGCGTGACTTCCTCTGAGACTTAAGTTTGGCGTCGTTTTGGTGTCGTTTTAGTTGTTGTTTTTCTTCATTTAACACAACTATTTCAATTATCCAAGGAGAGACAGGATGCCTCCAATATCATGGCAATATCAGCAGGTCTTCGAGACTGTCTAAATTGAATATTTTTTCTTCTTCTTCTCTATAACTAAAACATCACACTTGGGCTGATATGACGTTGGCAAATTTTTTTCCCGATTTTTTCCCGATTTTTTTTTAAGATATGAATTTGATCAAATTCCTAAAGAATCCTCCAACAAAGACAATTAATTTTGAGGAACCCTCAGTTTCATTTATGTCATTCAAATGATAAAGAGTTTCCAACTTGAATATTGATTAGTGTTCGTTAAATATAAAACAGAGCTCACGAAATATTTTTGGTCATTTGGGTTGCCTGCGTCCTATTACTGATGCGCATTAAGTAATTTTTCATTTTATTCAGAATTCATGGCAAAGAGTGAAACATAAATTTTATGGTCCCTCTTTTGTTAGTGTGTAAAACGGTCGTGGAGTGAATATTTTGGCCTTGATTCGATTTTAAGAAAGCATTGGCAATTTGATCTAACCACAAACCAATCTTTGCCAAAAATAAAAGATCATCTCGGAAAAATAGAGATAACATAGCATTGAGATTTAGATATTCATGTTGTTGTTGTTTTTTTTTCTATTTACAGAGATATGTTTTCTCACATCCTATTGTTTTTTTCGTGCCTCAGTGGCTGATATGCGAAACAATTTATTTATGAAACAGTCGATTCAATTAAGGAGTTTATTGTGAAACAGGGAAAAAAACGAGACTTTTGAGCGGCTCCGAAACCCTAAGAAACTTCCTAAAAACCGACATGTCTACAGAATACAGGAAAACAAATTGAACCACGCAAAACGCCCTCGATATAGTATCCTGGCACTAACTGTGGATTTACAGGTTTTTGTTTCTCAAGAAAAATAATAAAAAATAGATAAATACTTACAATGTTTTCAGTCGTGTTCAAGATGCAGAGTTACGACAAAAATCTCAAGCGCTCGAATCTTTTATCCAGAGATTAGTGTAGTTTCGAATAATGTCTTTCCGGTAAAATAATTTCAGCTGTGTAAAGATAATTAGGCAATTTCATGCGCATGTAATGGCCGAATACATACATTTTGTTGGCTTCAATTCTGGTCTGACTGCAATTTTACTAAGATACTGGAGCGGTCATATATAATATTAAGCTTAAAGGTGTACACCATTTTGGCAAAGACTGTGAGTCTAATAATATTATCTTAACAGCTACTTGCCCATATGTAATATAAAGCCTAAAGGTGTATACCATTTTGGCAAAGACTGTGAGTTTCTACACGGTCTACTGATAACAGCTACTTGCTCATATCAAATATAAAGCTAAAAGGTGTATACCATTCTGGCAAAGACTGTGAGTTTTAAACGGTCTACCGTATGAAAGTGCCGGGAAAACATTCCTGCTAACTCTTGGTGACAAAAAGAACTAAAAATAGAACGCTCCGAGCAAAGCAATGATCTAAATGTTTATTCATGTTGAAGAATATCACCTGAATGTAAATATTTTGGCTGAAATAAAACTGGTTAAGCTCTCTCTCCACTATCGTAAATACGATACTGGTTACGAAACGGCAAACAAGATTTTTTTTTACCAAAATTTGAAAGTTATTACATATCAACGTTTGTTTACGACATCTGTCTCGAACACTGTCCATCCGATAACGTTCATGAAAACAAAATGTATACGCGTTCTTTTTTTTTATTTTATTTTTTATTATTTTTTTTCTTTTTACGATAGTAGTTTATTTTTGTGGCTCATTGTCAAATAACCAAGTCTGAGTTTTCAGGAACCAGGCAAAACCTTTCTACATCGAGTCAAAATTCATATTTCTCGCAGGTTTCCAGGTGATCAAACAGGCCCAAAAGGGTGAATAATTTACCAGCCAGACTCCGCTTTCATTTTTCCTTCCCCAAAAAATACTAGACAGAATTTCGTTGATTTCAAAGAAGGGAGTAAATTTTTTATTGTGATATTTTTAGTATTATCTTACTCATTTTTCTTTTCACATCTGCGACAGTAACCAGGTCGTTTCGTTGGATATTTGGTGTCATTTATAACTTCCATTGAGACCATAAGTCCCAAGTTTTCAACGAGGACGTGATAAAACAATAAAAGTAATGAGCAGAACAATAGCACAGCACGAGCGTTTTTAATGCATGATAAATTTCCTATATTTTCTTTGTGTAGTCAAGAGACCTCGACAGCAAAAACATTTGCTCTTAATTCCATTTAGAAATCGACAACGCCTTTACACGATGCGCTAATAAGAGGTGTGCCAAACGTTCTAAACGCACAGTTAACACATCGCGCCCCTAGCAAAATTCTCTACATCATTACAAATGTACATAGCATTTAAATCGAATTTCTTCCAAGGTTTCGCCGCTATGGCTGCGTAAGATTCCGTTAAGTCTATTAAGCAAAGCGTCCGTGCACTACGACGAATGAAAATATTCGCTTTTAAGTTTTCTTGAAAACAATAACAGCATGAATCCATTTTTGAAAAATGAATTTCCCTTAATTTCTCTTCTTCGTCTCTAAAACTTCCTCAGTTCTAAATGCGCTACGTGGCAGTCTGTTAAGTAAGAAAGCGCCAAATCTCAAGCCGAAATTCGAAGAATTTATTCATTCACGCTTAAATGACGTTACTTATTACTGTCACTAAACGAAATACCTTGGTTCGTCAACTTCCAAACTTTTTCTTTATGCCTTCTTTCTGCTAATGCGTCGTGAAGTTGTTTCAGTGTGGACCGGAGTAATTAATCGGCAGCAGAACAGTAGAATTATTTCTACTCCGCTACGTGATTGGTCCGGAAAACTGGCGCCATTCTCTAAACCAATCAGATTTAAAACCAACATTGTGAACTGGTCACTTGCGTTTTCCCATGCTTCACCCGAGAGATCACTGATGAAAAGGCATCACGGGAAAAAATGGGGAAGAAGGACAACTGTTCACGGGCTACAACAGACTTCATACAAAACATAATCAAAACATTTAGACTGAATGCAGCCGTATGAATTCAAGAAAGCGATAATTGGTCTTTTAGAAGGGTTAGGCTAAGGTCTGTGCATGGTGAACGATTTCTTTTAGCCCAAATTTCAAGTTCCAATCCACTTTTATCCTCTCCTTTCCATTCCTGTCAAATTTGTTATGAATTAGCAATCGATCTTGTGCAGCATCCTTTCAACAAATCCTTTATTGCAAAAAGTGAGTTATCAATGCTGTTGCTTTCCCCAGACAATGATGTTGCCTTTTCATTCAAAGATAAGCGGTCCTTGATTTATTAATAGCGGTCTCGCACGTGCTCAGCTTGACAAGAAAGCTCGTTTCGGATTTCAAAACGTCAGCGGCTATTTACGAGAGAAGGAAACTCGACCGATATGTTGTTTAAAGGGTCTTTTAACAATTAGGCTGTCGCCGAAACATTCACACTCTTTGATGTTGCATCCCCCTATAATAAAATTTCAAAAACTGTTGATAACCCCTCGATTAGAAGTCGTTAATTGCGCCTAATGAAAAAAAAAGTCCGGCCTAAATTTTTTAAGTCTGTCATAATATCCTTCACTTTCACTAAGCCATTCTTTTTTTTTTTTTTTTTTTTTGTTTTGTTTTATTTTTGTTTGTGTTATCTCCTTTATATGCCTCTGCAACACATCGCAATATTTATTCAAAATTTCAGTCTATTTCAAGGGCCAGCCTGAAGGAAAACAACAGGTAAGTCGGTACAAGGTATTCATTTCCGCCAGTAATTAAGGTAAAGCGTGATGAGTTTTCCACTGATATTCACAAGCGTGACTGTCGAACAAAATTCTGGTTTTCATAAATTAGCCATTAAAAATCAACCACTAAAACACCACTATCCTCTCATGCAATCCCATCAATCGCAATAAAAACAAATCTTCTTGGCAGGCCGAACAAAAATGTGTTTCAGATGATCCATCCATTTTTGAGGTTTTAGCATTTTGTTCATATTTTCTTCGATTAAAAGCGATAGTGACAGTTTGTTCGTGACTTCTCGTTGACATTTCCGGTAACAAGAGTAATTTGGGAAGTAAAAAAAATAAACAACAATTATGAGTTGGTGCGGTGCCCAGCACAGACAAATTATTAGGAGAAGAAAATCTTGGACTGGACTTTCCAACAAACAAGGAAACTACAACGAACAGCTTTGAGTTAATTATATCACAGCTGTTTTTCTTAAAAAATTACAAAAAATCTACTGCTTCTCCTTCAAAAACCACTGATGGCTTTTCTCACCCCCTGGGAACAAAAGATAGAACATCGATCCCTACACCTTTCAGCTCTATCTGTACATCGTCTGTCGCCAACGCAGTTATCGACAAAAAAACGAAGGACCGTGGAATCGCTGAGGAAGTCCAATAATTTTATCAGGATCTATACGACCAAGCCTCGGGGCAATAGAATTTGCTCGTGGTCTGATAACAAAATGCGGGGCTGTGTAACACATTTCTTTTTTCCGGCCAGACTTGGCAATGATACTAAATAAACAATACTTAAATGCAACAGAAGTGCAAGATGTGCTGATCAATTAACTACCCTTTCTTTCATGTACAATGTACCGTGTCTATCAGAATCATTTTTGCAACGCCATTTGACGGGAAAATAAATAAATGCTGTATGTGTAGTGGATTTCATTCATGGCTGAGGGACAGAAACTTGAATTTCTAACCAACACCGTTCTGCAATTGCAGTCCGGCTGCGAGGATCATTTCTTTCAGTTGACTGTGCGGTATAGCAGTTTCTGTAACTTTTTTTTTAGGAGACAGTGTACAGTATTCTTCCGTTAATTACCCGTTCCAGACCTTGGTCTTTGATCCAAAGGCGACAACATATGATCAGTTAATCGCTTTCTAATCAAGGAGAGATAAGAAGCAATCTTGCAAGAAACACGCAAGCAATTGGATTCACTGGAAGTCTTAGCATAAGCGAATTAGATTATAACGTTGTTTAATACCAATGACCACTTAAGGTGTTGAATTCAAACATCTCCCAAATCAAAGAAACAAGAGGTAAGAAAGAGCCTGCTTGTCATAACTGCACCGGTTAAGTTTTAAGCGGCGTTCTAAAAGCTTGATAGAGTGCGTTTATACACTGTTTCCTCTAATTTGTTTTTGAGAGAAATCCTTTTCAAGAAAGGCTCACATTATCAGAAAAGGAGTTGGTTGACTATATTAACACGTTTAAGTTTTTGATCACCTTTCAAGTTCCTATCGAGTAATCCGAAGCTTCATCGTCGAAACCTTTGCCTGAAACAAAAATTTCTTTTGTTTTAACAAGAAAAATGTTTATCGCTTCTTGTTTACTCCTTTTACATCGTTCATTTTCCGGTTGTATTGAAAAAATCTTGGTGCATTTTTTATTTATGAAACAAGCGCTTTTGGATCGCATCACATGACTCATTCTAATGTGTTCATTTCTCAAATTGAAAGAAACATTTTTAACAGCAGTTTAGCGCTACGATCATGTTCCTCATTCCTCAAGTCCATTAGTCTTGACCATTCAGATGTTTACAGGAATCTCGATTTTCTTTAGGAACGCATAACTTGTCTTCGCCGGTAAATTTGTTGGCGCTGGTGATACTCTCGTTTGCTTATTGACCACACCAACTAAGGAGGGCAGGCAGGGAAAATTTGCTGACATGTTATTCTGTTTTACAGTTCTGTTAAATGAGAGTTATAGGAAATTCTTCGGTTTTCTACGCTGATATCAACTCTTCAAATCTCCTTAGTTGCGTTCGTGTATTAATTAAATTACTACTCCTTAGAAGCAAACAAAACAATGTTGTTCACTTTGATCATTATAACTTGTTGTTGCAAAGAGGAAATGGTAAAAGTCACTTCACAGTTTCAACAAGGTTAAAAGGCGTGAAGCCGGTTGACATGAACACATCTGTGGAGTAACCACCAAAGTCTTTCTACTAACAGAAATTAACCAACTTGTCTTGCTCCGATGTCATTTTTCAAGAGTCTCATTGACTTCCCAATATTCTCCGTCTCATGAACTCCCCCAACTTTCAACTCTACCTACTTTGCGAGCTAAGTCCTCTTGAGTTTATTTCCTCTTTCTGTTCGTTTGAATAAAAACCCATTCTAGGATAAGAAGTGCGCTTAAAAGAAGGTAGCCGAAACAGAATCATTGTAAACTTCAGCATTGAATGTTCTCCAAGGTTCAACGAACGGCCCTAAATCATCTGAGTAAGAGAGAAAATTGTGGTTGTTTACCTCATGTAGCGCAGCAACATGCTTCTCGTGTACATGCAGCTTACCTTGTTCTCTGGTGCGGCAGTCTTCGACACGTCTTCCTTCTGTGTTAACAGAATACGCCACGCATCTTCCGCTTCAAAAGTCTTGGATGAGTAGAGAAATCTGACTGATACTAACAATGATGCGAGTGGAATTTAATCGGCATCACTTACTTATCATCGCAACGATGACAAAGGAGTGACCTCGTCAGAAATTTGAAACAATCAGACTTTGAATGTGTGCTTATCAAAAAATAAACGAACCAGATGCCAGATGATAAACTCAGTGAGTCAATATTAACACTTAAGAGCTAAAAAAAAACTGGGAGTACAGAAAGTGGCAATCACACAAGAATCACCAGCGTGACCGACCCCCCAGTTGGGCAACTTCGGAGTAGGTCGAAAATTTTGAATAGCTAAAATAACCAATTGACATACAGTTGTTTTGTTGTAAGGAACATGTTTTGATCCGACAAATGCGCAATCCTTACTTTTTTCAGAAAATAGAAAGAGGATGAGGTGTCCTGGTGTTTCCGTCCATTAATCTTCTATGTCTACATAGCCTGACTAAGTCTTTAATCCCGAACGACGTTTTAAAAGTTCTTTGAAGAACGACACATGACTCCGGAATGTGTTAGGGCTAGCCGCGTGCATTTCTGCCAAATGCTGTCGGCATCAGTTCAAAATCCCTCGTCTAAAATTGTCCAGGAGTAAATGGTCAAATTGAATTTCAACCAATCAGTAGGAATTGATCAGAGAAGCCCAGAGAGCTCAAAGGATATTCTTGCGCAAGTGTTTGCTGTAAAATTAACGCGATAACAGTGCTGTCTGCTGACTCAACACAAGTTTGGGAAGACAAAGACGAAGTATAGACTCGCTTTAAAGGCTTACGTCGTAAAAGTTGAATCGTAATAAGCTCTTAGCTGCGAGTAAACGTAAGCTGTCAAAACAATGTCATATGTCTTACACAGTCAAGCTGGAGCAAGGTATGCGAGAACTGCTGACTGTAATAAGCGGTTATAAGTTCCCGAACAGAAGTAAAATACTCGAGTAATTTTTATCGTGCTCTCGTTATCAGCCTTTTGCGTTCCTACCGCGGTGTTTTGCTGATGAGGGACCTATGCTTGATTAACCAATTTAAAAAAAATGATTTGAGACGTAAACATGACCTTTGATCGTCGCAAAAGTTAAAAAGGTTTAGACAGGAAAAAAAAAAACACCTATCAATAGCTGACTTGACAGACGGCATACGACTAATCGTCTGTTTTTTCTGTGGAGTCTCTTGATATTGATAACTGCGCATTTAACTTTAAAACTGAACAGTCGTAGATTTGCAGTCACAAGTTTTATTAAAAGTAACACATTTCAAAAGACAAATCGGGCAACAATGAAAAGACGGGTGGAACTCCAAGGAGGATCGCGCGCGAATCACGCGATTTCGTCCTGTGCTATCTCGCGTGACTCACAAGTTTTCTCACTTTGTAAAACTTGACATATTTTGTTCTTGAACAAGATACTTTGACCATGATTTATGGCTTGATGTCGGATTTCACTAGGGATAAATAAACACTCTGTCATTATTTCGCTTGAATGTCGAAGAAAAAATTGGGAAAGTGCTTCATTATTCGTGTTCGCCTTTAACAAGATAATTCCTTTGTCAAGTCCGGGGCGAGTGAACGGGGAGCGCTGATTTTCCTTCGAGGCTAGATCAAAGTAAACTACTGCAGGTTTCAAAGGGGAGGATCCAGTAGCCTGCAAAATATTTTGCAGGTCTGAACCTATCAATAACATCACTGACAAGGTGAACGAGAACCCTCACGAATGAAAGGTCCTAGCACGCGTAACAATAATGACGGTCAAAGAGGAAGAGCAGGGTGTGCTTCTAGACTGAAACTTTTGTTTTCCCGACGGAAAAAATAAAACAGAACAGTGATGTATCCATCATATTGTTCACGTAATTGTGCTGTGACCCGCGCGGTTTACCTTTGATTTAAGTTCAGGTCCCATGAATCACGCGCAGACCACATTTAAGAAGACTTAAGCCGTATTCTACTGTTGTTTTAAAGATATTTTAGGAGCTATTCCACACTATTAAATTACGATAAAAAAACGAAAAGATTTAAAGATTAAAGCAAAAGCAAAACAAGGAAGGTCGAAGACGTAAGAGATAAGAAAATTTTCCACAAAGCGACGATAATTTTTTTTGTCTCTAATATTTTACATGAAGAGATATGAGGATATAAAGTTGAGAAACCTTCAGCCTCTGGTCTGTTTCTTCCAACCTTGCATTCCTGGGAGTTTTCTTTATTATCATTGTCACTATTTCCTTAATTTTTTCGGCGGAGGTATATCAGGTATGTCAGAAACTAGCGCTTTATGAAGGAAAGAGTGGTTCTGCAGTTTCACCCTTTTTAAAACTCTTATAGGTGACCTAGGAGAATTTCTGCTTGAATTATCAAAACAAAACCAAGCAGGCAAGTGATAAGAACAGAAAAAAATGTCAATTAGGAGATTATTAGTTGATCCGATGGTAAGTTCTCCAAACTAACATCATCCGTTATATGACTAACGGTGAGGAGAATTTACTAATAAGATCTTGGGCGTGAAGAGTTATTATTACTTTGCCTTTTACGGTATTGATAAAGGCTCGCAACATTAGTTTGTGAAAGCAGGGTTGTAATTGTATGCTATTCCAATCGACAGTACGGCTTTTAACGATAAGGCAGGACGAATAAGATTTCACCAGCTTATCATGTCTGCTTCTTGATATGACTTAAGCCGGGCAATCATTTGATCGAATTTAGAAGGGCTTAGCTTATTACAATATGCAAATATATTTATGTCTCGGATAACTTCATTTCTAGGCAACGCGCATTGCTTCTACATAAAATCTCAAATATCCTTGACGCCTGCGCCATTAAAATTGAAAATGTTGAGATCAGATTCCGTGCAGCGAGAGAGAAAATTGTTAATAGAAATGTTTTGCCTCGTACTCTGAGTGTGTAGAAAGCGGAATGCAAACATCAAGTTTGCGTATTTTCTGGATGATTTGCCTCTACCTCCAACGTAAACTTCCTCCATCTCCTTTAATACGTTCTCGAAAATATGATTTTCACCCATGGTCAAAAAGGTAAAAGGAAAACTCAAAGAAATTTTGGCGAATAATGCAAGGAAAGGGAACACTAGGCTTTGAGACTGACACCCTCCTAAAGACCTTAATTCTAATCCAATTCCTCTACATTTATTCTTAGATCAGTCCCGTGTAGCGAATTTTGTTCTCGTTTAGATTACATAAAGCGTGTATTCGCGAGGTATAACATATACCTTGCGTGTCCGCCGCGTGTCGCCTCGCGTGTCTCTGTAACCCTGATTCTGGTAGTAATTGAAGAAGGCCAACACAGAACCTCAGTATCTCAGCTTGCTAATCTTATTGCAGCGCTTATGACATAAGGGGTGGTGTGAAGCACCACGCATCCATCCCCACGACACGCATCCGTCAGGTGCTCGGAGCATTCATTCCTTTCAGTCTTGTTAATCAACATAGAGTTATCGTCGTGGAAGATAGTAAGACCAGTACACAATGTTGAACAGTCCGTAAAGAAGTGGAAAGATTTTCCGCGCGTACTGGTCAATGTAATGAGGAGGTAACTGTTTCGTGGGTAGACCGTCCAAAAAGGCATTGCTCGCGCTAGGAGTCTTTTTCCTCGATGCAGAAAGATTTTCGTGAAGAAAAACACCTTTTCTTAGAGACAAGCCTCCTGCGACTCCGTTCAAAGGACGGTCTTTGTTACAGTTGAACGTTTGCTGGTCCATCATCTCGGCGATAGAATTTGTTGGATTTGGTGTTGGAGGCTGAAGAGAAATTATTAATTGAACATTAGAGCGATTTGCAATTGAGTATTGTTAAACCAAAACCAAAGCAATCACAACAGCCAATCACAGCAAGGAAAATGTCACCAGGAGCCAATGGGAAGACGAAGTAAAAACAAGTCACTGCCTGAAGCGCGGGAAAACACGAGTGACCAAGATGGGATTGGTTGAGAAAGTGGCGTGAGTTTCTGTACTAATCACATAACTAAATACAATAAAACCAAACCAATCCCGGAGTACCAGTTCGACACTCAGTTAAAGATTGCTCTGGACTATGATTAGTTTGGTTGATCAAAACAAACTTTACGACCAACAGGCATGGCAACAATCAATCACAGCAATACATCGCTCCATCGCTCCATCGCTCCATCGCTTTAAAGCTATGCATTGTTTACAATTATGCAGACAAAGATAGGTATAAAAGTAGCTTCTGGACTGAGATTTGAAAATAGCGCAAAGCGATGACCAAAGCTATGTCCCCGTGTGAATGAATTCAACGACTGTTCCGTACATTCGAGCCTGATGATCAGTGAAGGAACGTTCACCTGTTATAATTTACTAGACATTTCGTCGAAGGAATTCCGACTTCAAAAGAAATAGTTTCTATCATCTGCACACCCAAATTCCAGACATTAAGCCAGCAACATAGCTGGTATATTTTTAAACACAGACACAATAGGATTTGCGGGTAAGTTAAGTTCTTTTGCGGACAGGAGAAAGTATATTGACATTTCAACAAAGATTAAACAACTGATGACACTCACCGGCGCCAGACTTTGACTCCTCAGTAAGAAAGATGCTGCTTTATCCGTGAAGTTTAAGACACACACATACTCCACCATACAGCACACGATAAAAGTAAGCGACGATATTAAATAGTAATCTACTGCCTTCAGGTACGAGATCCGAGGGAGACTGTTGTTAACTGATCCAAATAAGAACATGGTGCTGAGTATGCACGTGATCACGAGTGAGACACGTGCAGGAACAGCGTGTCTGTCTATCCAGAAACTAAGCCACGAGAGGAAAACGAGGAACGCAGAAGGAATGAAATGTTGAAAAATGAAATACGTTGTTCGACGTTTGAGTGTGAAGGTTGCCTTCAAACTGTCGAAGGACCCTTCGGAGGATAAAAAAGTGTAGAAAGTTAGGCTTAAAGGTTTCTTTAGGCTAGGCGGACAGGGAAACCACCGACACAAAAACCCGACCCCTTCATATCTTCTCCATTTCTACCTATCTCCTCCGGTCCCCCGGTCCCCCTGTCCCCTTGTCCCCTTGTCTTCTTGTCCCCTTGTCCCCTTGTCCCTTGTCCCCTTGTCCCCTTGTCCTCTTGTCCTCTTGTCCTCTTGTCCCCTTGTCCCCTTGTCTCCTTGTCCTCTTGTTCCCCTACCCCTCGTACCCCTGTCCCCTTGTCCCCCTGTCCCCCGTCCCCCCTGTCCCCTTGTCCCCTTCTCACCTTGTCCCCTCGTCCCCTCGTCCCCTTGTCCCCTTGTACCCCAGTCCCCTTATCCCCTTGTCCCCCTTGTCCCCTTGTCCCCCTGTCCCCCTTGTCCCCTTATCCCCTTGTCCCCCTTGTCTCTCTCACCATACTCCCCTTCTCCCTAGCTCCCCCTCCACAGAAATGCTTCAAGCGTCTAATAGCCTCACCTTTGCTATTAGTATTAGCTTTCTTGGATGTAACGATCTGTAGCATATCAAACTGAGCAAGTTCAGCTGCGAACACCTCGATAGCCTTAGAGCCTCGATTGTTCCAATTGTAGATAACATCATCCACAGTGTATGCATCTGCAATAACAAAGTTGGAGCTATCACTGAAATTCTTATCATTCACGAACAAAACTGGCCGAAGAGGATAACAACTATCACCAGCAAGAGAAGGCGATCAACCATAATGGCTTAAAGATGATAGATTTCAAAAGAAACTGTGGTGCTGCACCGGTGGGAAGTAAAACACGATAATTTGGTTTTATCGACCAAGTTGATAAAGTAATTGGCCAGTGCAAAGCGTGTCTAAAGCTGACGTTTCGAGCGTTAGCTATTCGTCAGAGCGTCACCAGTACGGTGGTCTGTTTGAAAATACCTCATTATTATAAGTTTTTGAACAGTTCTTCCTGAAGCAATCTGCTATTATGCTTACATTCCAAAAAAGTGGCTGAAGGTCGCTCTCACCATAAGAAGATCTAATCAGGTTAAATTTTTTTGTACTGTATGTGTTGTTCTTGAACTGTTACTGTTTAGCACTGTTTAGTACGAAGTTCATGTCACTCGCACCTCACCACAATTTAAAAGTGCGTTAAACTGAAAAGTTTACTAATTTCTGAACGCTGTGCCGATGAGAACGTGTATTTTAAAGTATATATACTTACAGCTCTCTATTACTAAATCACAGTTCTGAGTGTCCAGAGGGAACAGCCTTAGATCCATATCACACAGAGCAGTGAGAGTTATCCTGATAGAAGGAGCAAGTGACGAATAAACTTTCATCCTTTTTCTTGGGTGGGCTGCGGGTGGGCTTATTACTATAAGCAGCTGGTAGCTCTGTGGTAGTTTCATTTAGGGGTTCAGAAATTCCAAAAGTACCTTAACCCTTTAACTCCCATAAGTGACCAAGATGGTATTTCTCCTCACAATATCCATACAATATCAAGCAGACGATTGATGAGAATAACGATAAATATAAATTTGGGGATTTATTAGTAGATACAACACAAATTCTCCGAACCAACATCTTAAGAGTTGTATGGCAGACAACGAGGAGATCTTACCTTACCCCACCCCCCTCCACTCAATCCAAATATATTAGAGAAAAAAGATGTTTTAGGGAAAAGTGATGTGCAATGGTAACATGACAACTGGTATGCCTCTAATTGCCGGATGGGCGCTGATGTAAGACACCAATACAAGAAAATGTGGTCTACGCCCTTGTTACTCTACGTTGAATCACTGATTTACCTGGCACTGTAATAAATGCTTCCATCCTTAGAAATCCTCAGTCGCATGTTATCTCTACTGACTGAATGATAATTTGAATTTTTTACGTTTCGGAAATACGTGTCGGGCGTCCATATTCCTTTTCCCAGTTTACTAGGATCTAATGCGGCGTTAAAAACTTTATCTTGTCCATGCGCCAATCGAGGATCTTTCCACCACTGTCTGAAGAATATGTCGATTGTATAGTCCTTATCAAAGTGAAAGATGACATAATTGTTAAATAATTGTTCTATGAATGAAGCCCATAAATGCTACCTTACATAGCTATAAACAAAACAAGGATATTTTTAACTTTCATCTCCCCAAAACTTTTCCACTAATTTGTTCATAACTGGAGCAGGAGGATGGTGGATGCCGATCCAACTTTCCTTTCTGTATACAAGCGAGCATATAACGGGTTACCAAAATACCAGTTCGTCCTGTTTCCGGCAGACTTACTCATGAAAAGCTGTGATGCCTCAATGGCACTGAAGCTCTTTCTAGATTCGTCCTCTTTCGCTCTCACGTGGTACTGATTGCTAGAGAAATTGAATCGCAGTGAAATTTCTTTCAACTTACCATATCTTCTTCTCTGATTTTTCCAAATGCCATTAGTTTAAACTCGATAAGAACTTCAACAGGAGGTCCTACAAAATAAATGGTGCGATGATAACTGTGTTTAAATTTGTTGTGTCTCTTTGATCCCTAAGAGTGACTAGCATATAATTTATCCGTCGAATATCACTCCAGAAGCACACGTTAAGGTCACGAGAATTAAGGAGATGATCACGCGCCAACTAAAGCAGCTCTTGCTTGCTCTCAACAAATTCCCCCTTGTCAGCACCAACAGCAACACAAACCGTATGGAGAATATACATGCTGACGATAGAATGTAAAGGGTTTAGGGATTTTGAAACAACCCTTGACACTTGTGTGGCAAGCTTTGAGGTTTCTAGACAAAAGGAAACGAAAGTACTGAAGAATCTGAAAATTCGTGGACCTTAAACAACTGACAAATGCGCAGGCACGAAATACTAAAATTGCATGTAATATGATAACTGTTGAACCGCTCGTAACGTTAAGAAAATAAGTCAAATATATCAACAAAAATATATATATATATATATTCCAACAAGCCTCACCCGTGTCGTTTGGGCGAACATTTTTATCGTAATGTTTCAGTCGTTTGCCGATAATATGAGATACTTTAGCGTAAGATCCGTCGGGAAACCGGGTTGCTATTCAGAGGAATGAAAAGATGTCGTTATAATCATTTTACGAGCTGTAATTAACTGATGAAAAAGGATGCAGTCCAACTAAAAAATCCTCAAAGATGGCGGTTTGGATGAGGGAGCGGTCATTATCCATCGACTGGGTGGGTGGAATAGGTCTCGAAGGATTTTGGATTTGCCCACAAGGCTTTGTAAATTCCTATGTTCCCTCTTTATTAGCGGTTAACTGACATACAATTTTCAATAGCCTCAACTTAAAACGACAAAAAAAAAAAGGGTACAACTCCCCCCCCCCAAGGCGAAATAAACCAAAAAAAACGCGAATAAAGGTACAACTCACGGGGGTGAGCAAAAAAAGGTTCAACTTACGGTGGTGGTTCCGTGCACGGGTGACGGGTATGGTACCCATGCAAAAAAAATGGTACAACTCACGGGTGACAGGTATGGTTCCCGTGCAACAAAAAATGGCAAAAAGGGGTACGACTCACGGGTGACAGGTGTGGTTCCCGTGCGAACGAGGAATGAGGAAGAATACTGAAATTCCTTTTTCATTCTGGAAAAAAAATATAACTCTGTCTAGATTAAGCTTTCTTGTTATCTTTTTAGCTGAATATACGGTATACCTTTTCTTTTGCTGCTTCCTGTCAAAGTACTATTAAAACTCCTGGGCAGTCGTTTTAAACCAGCTCCTGGGACACTCCTGACAATAAAGTCATAAATGGTTATTTGGATGGGTGTGTAGGGATGTTATCTGTCTGCAGAATAGCTGACAGCCCATTTATTTTTAAAACACCTGCACAAGTTTTTTAGTGAAAAGTTTCCATGCTGACGGTATATCTGTTCAATAATAGATCACAGCTAATACCCAATAAAGTATGTATAGAATACTGCTTGATATTACGCAACTCATCTTGTATCCCAGGCTCTGATTCAGCTTTCAGGTGAAAAACAGTTACAAGGCTAACCACTAATGCTAGCCACCAACGCATAATTGCGGATTGGAGCTCATTGCCTTATTAACACCTCTAGGGACCTCAAAAACTATTGTTAAGTTACATTTTGGATGCGTGACAAAATTTGTTTTTGATGTTTTTGCAGTTGAGTTATTACTGCTTTTGTTGTTGTTTTTTTTAAAACAAGTAAGTCCTGCAGGGTTTAACCGAAACAAAAGATACACCATAAATGTAAATATCACCATGTCTCATTTATAACAATTCATTCACATTCCGTGTTAAAGTGGTCGCTGCGGTTAGCTGAATTTCCAATCCGAGTCCCTACAAATACCACTTTAAAATACAACAAACAATACTTGAACAGTCCATTTTTAGGATTACTCTTAAGGCCGTCACGAATACGTTGTTACTGTTTTTCGAATTCTACAATCAGGACAAAAGTACTTGAAACGCTGAACAATGTAACGACCAATGATAAAGTCCTTTTTACTTCAGAAATTCTTTTTGGATTCTAAAGGTGATCAGAAAAAGAAGTTCTATGGATAAAATTGAACTGTGTGGGAAGGGGCGGTGCAAACGAGAATTAACACATTCCAAGATTTAAAGATTCTTCCGTTGATTCAGCTCCATGCAAAATCTAAATTTGTAGAACTTTATGCGCTTCTCAATGCTTATTTGTACAAAGTGTATTAAAAAAATGCTGACTCAGTTAACTATTGAATATGATAGCCTCCGGCTCGGCATTGAGGGAATCGATGTAGTACAATTCTTCTACTTAATGCAAATACAATACCTTAACCGCACAGACTGGAAACGATCCAGTCAAGTATAAAATACGTAGTCAAGACCATATCATCAGTTTTACGATCTTGTTTTAGGATTGAAATTTCGATAAAATACACTTGCAAAAAATTGCGTTCCCATTAGTATATCTTCAGAATAGCCAATTTTAGACCCAAACCTCCTTTCCAAGGTGCGGAGTGAGGAAAATAAGAGCGGAAGCATTCCCAAAGAATTCTCACAAATAAAATGAAAGAAATGAAAAAAAAACAAAACCAAGAGGGCGGAAAATATTAGGGGCGTCATGAACTCATCATACGTTCGTACCCAAGGATTATCAAACATCATGCTAGAAGGAAGAGATACTGCCGGCTATCTAATCTGAAGCCTTAGAGAATACATCCAACTAAAAGTTTGGCTACTATTTTATATCGAGAAAAAAAAACGTCATCGTCATTTTGCCGAAAAATTTAGATGAATTTTGAAAATTTGCAAACTTAACTAAGAGAAACACGATGATGTGCGGAAAATACCGCACGTAAACCGTGCGCTTATCAGTAGTACGTGCTGGGCCGCCGGCTGCGAATGACCGCGTTCTCTCCTTATACCTGCATCTGTTGTAGGCTTAAAGTTATCACTGTTGGTGTCAAGCAGCGAGATACCTCTTTTTTTGAGTAAATTATTTACATCAAAAAGGTTCTTACGTCATTCAGTTTTGGAAATAACGGACTCTGAATTCACTTCCTGTCCAATGTTTCTGTCATGTAGCCATGTTTTAAATTTTAAGGTTAGTATGAACACAATTCCAGCCTGGGGACTCAATACAAAATAAAATATATAGAATATTGAAAGTGAACAATCAATCCTGGCTTGGAAATTTGATTTTCACCTGATTTCCGTCGGTCTGTCCGTCAAGACGACTGTCCTTTCAAAATTGTAAAGCCTTTTTCAGGCAAATTGCTTTATTGTACTCTCGTGCAAAAACTACAGAATGAAAGCTCTGCTTTTAGACTCGGTAGAATAAATAAAACTGTATGTTTAATATAGGAGTGGTACCAAAACAAAAGTGCATCGAAAAACCGTAACAACCTTACACCTATTTATGAAATTGCTATCTCATATTTTAAATTCAAGCTCGTTATGTACTTCGTCGTATTGATATCAAGAACGAGTAAGACTCATAAGTGTGAAAAAAGGGACTCGTCACTTACTGAGTTCGTGTTGTGATCTGTTGGACTCGTTAGAACTTTATCTTTCAAAATCCTCCATAGTTTTATAGGGAGAAACTCTACCAAGTACAACAAGCCGAAAAATATTTCTTTCCCTTTTCATCAGAGTATTCATTTAGGTGGGAAAAACGTCAGTTAGGTATTCAACAGAAATGGTCTTTCAGCTTCATGTAAATACAAAAGTTTTGGTGTAGCTAGCATGAAATAACATGGAGTGTAAGTTAAACGGTAACTGAATGACACTTTTGTAGCAAGTCAGTTCTTTGTCTGTGATATGCGTAATTGAGGAAGGAAGACAGGAACAAATTCTGCGTTATAAAATACAAAACAATTAATTTCATTTGCAATGATAAACAGTAAATTAATTCGGAAAGAAGTAAATTTTTAATAATCCTCTTTGGTTCTATATTTAGAAATACGTCAAGAATTATCAAAATATTCGCCACTGTTGCTTCAAAAATGTATTTTAATTTAGATTTGTTTTCCTAATCTATTTTCGCTTACGATCAAACTGATAATGGTTATGCCGAGACCTCCCTTTACATTCCCATCAAAAAAATTAACTCTCTTACAGTGGGTGTCCGACGGAAAAAAACCGTGTTTCCGAGGAAGTTTTGTCGTTCAATTGAGATCCATTGATCTCAGTTTCGTAGCTTACACGCCCCTATTCATATTTTTATAATGCAAAATAAAAACACCTAAACTAAACGTGTATGAACCATTTTTAATGTCCTTAAACATCTCAAACGTGCGAGCTTTCTGTGAACCATTTTTTTATGAAAAATCTCCAATTTGAGTACTCAACATTAGAGTTGAATATCAGAGGAGAAAGTTAGATGTGGTTTATAGTGAGAAAGTACGGTCGTTTCGAGGTACTTCAATTTCTACTGTACATTGTTTATGCCATTATGTTACCATTACTAAATTACTTTCATTATGGGTTTTAAAAAAAAGGTGACAAAATACACGAGCGACTGTTGAGTTTTTTTCCACTTTGACAGTTTTGTACGTTCCCTTCAGAGCGGTTATTTCGCATTCAAACTTCATATAAATAGAAAGATTGTTTTGTAAACTTCGGGCATTTTTCTGGTCAGCTTGGCGTCCCACGCTGTTTTGGGTATGACAAGAAAAACATAGTCGAGAATCGCAGTCGGTATTCCTGAACAATGAGCATTGAAAATATTACGCAAGAAGGAAAAGGGTAAACGAAACATTGATAGTTTCTTTAGTGCGAATCTGAATACTTTCAAGGATATTGTCTAGATAATTAAATATATATTCAGTGTGAATTTTTCTCATTATTTACCTTGTTAGTAGTCCGTGAAAGAATGTTATAATTAGGAACCAGATAACGACAGTTCCCTTCCTCGTTGTAAACGAAACTCCCATACTGCTTTGAGCGGGTTTTCTAAGGAGAGATAACAAGGTTTAGTGTAAATAATGTGTTAGTATAATAGAGCGACCGAGTGTTCAATGAAACGTTTTTTTCTAGAGAGAAGCTTCAACTCACTGGCCTCCTATTCTAGAATCTTTCAACAGCTATTAATATCAATAAGATTCATTTTTCGACATCGTTTCCCATTGGCCAGAAAAATTAAACATCCTTTTTCACGCTTATTGGCCAGCAGGTGTAAATTGCCTCAAACACATTGAATTAAAAATAAGTAATGCTACAAGATATAAGTCTATTCAAAAATAATTACTAAATCAGCTCTTCGGGAATGGAAGATTGAAACAAAAAGCAACAATCGCTAAAATGCCACTAAAATTTGAGAATACCATTAAATTTAATTGCATTGTTTACTGCATTGGAAATGTCTCAAATTCGTTTCAGTCAAAACGTATTTGTGAGGTATTACCAATGTTAATAATTTAGTAGTTATGTAGCGTTTGGTTCACAGTTTAGTCAAAGCTTTTTTTCCGCACGATCATTTTAAAAGGAATCGCAAAATCTAGAAAGGTTTGTTTTCGTCGCGAAAGGAATACATTTCTGTTAATATTATTGAAGTAACAGATGCTGTAGTTTGTAATAGACAAACTTTGCAAATCAAATATTTGCCTCGATTAGTGACGAATGATTAGAATATTCTTGAATAAATCGATTTTCGATCATGATTAGCGTCCTGTGTGATACTCTTACCGCTAGCCAAGAGCTAAACACATTATAGGCACACTATCGAACCATTAATTAATAGTGAAGGGAAAAAGATAAACACTTCCTCGAAAACGAATCAGATAAGTACAAAATGTCTACAGAGTCTCACTAGCAATCTTGAGAGTTAGATTAGCGCGTTTTGAATGATGTACTGAAACTCTCCATGAATTAATGAAATGTTCCCCCATAACTGAAGGTAGATCATAGTACAACCTTTGGAATTTAGCGATTCGACAAACATTGGGCATAGATTTGTGTTTACACATGTACAATGACGTCATAAAGACTATTTTATAACAATTATAAAAACATTTCATTTATTTCATTTATTTCAATATTCAAGCACACCTGACGTTGCTAGCTTTTGAGTTTCTCTGGGTCAAATGACGAGGTCATAATCGATTCAGAGGTTGCAACCCAAAGTGTTCGGTTCTAAAGAGTAATCTTGTTCGGTAGATTGAGTTCTGAAAAGCTCTTTAAATGATTATCTTAGAAAAAAGAAAGAATGTTTAATACAAACAATCTTTAGTTCGTGAACAAAATGTCTACATGTGAAGCGTTACTCATGCACATCTACTGGTCTCTCTGCACTTCATTTACTCCGCTTAAATGAAAAGAATGAAAAAACTGGCAACTTAACACTTACTTTAGAAAAATTCACAAAGGAAGATAAAAGCAATTTTTCGAGATTTGCCAAAAACATGAACTCATTTGTTAGCGAAGGTCAATCGCATCTTGTTATCATTCTAAACTCAACCTAAAACACGTTTTTGCACTAATCAATTATGCTTGATTTGTCCAGTACATGTACTTTATCATAAAAAAACCCATTGATTTAATTAAGTCGACCAGTTTTAAAATGCGATTCGCGATACGATCAGAGAAAAAGATTAAACAGCCATTGCTCTTAACATTAAAATAAATTCAAAGGAATGTTTTGGCTCTGTACATATTTTGAATTGTGCAATAAGCAGTTAAATGACATATTTTTTTAAATCTTTTCCCATCTTTCATCAGTGAGCCAATTTACATCGATAATTTAGATATGAAAGAAAAGTCCATTGGTTTGAATAAAATGAAGTTTTTCCCTGTGCGAATTATTCCCAAAAACAGTAAGTTTCATAAAATTACTGAGATAAGACGAGCGCTCTGATTGGTCAAAAACCTATCGTCTATGCACTCAAAAACTTTGTAAATCATTCGCCTCTGGCCCGTACTTTACTAACTTTTTGCATGTTCTCCTAAGATCCTGTGTGGGTCATTATGCCAACAGACTGATAGGAAGTGCTGTCTATTGCTTAATTTAGTTTTCCTTACTCTTGAATTGAACGAGGAAAAGTCATTTAATCAAAAAAATTGTTTACGAAATGAACCGTTGTAATACTGATTTCTAATGGAATAAATATATCTTCGAGAAAAATGATTAAACTTTGGTTACCAATCAAAATTATCAATTCAGAGCATGCTCTCGTAGGAAAATATGCAAAGAACTCCGGCTCTGTTTCGCAAATTTTAAAAAGACGTCATCTTAAAAGAGAAACAACCCATCCGTATGGGGGAATTTCCATATCTCCAAAAATGACCCCTTGTTGTGCGACTTATGCATTCGAAACGAACGGGAACAAAATGAATTACCCTTGAAGTACCTCACACTGAAGATACGCTTTGGCGAAATGGTGCTTCGCTCGCATGGGAAGCCTTTACCCATTTTGCTTAAATACCCCGTCAAAAGAATTTTTTTTGCTAACATAACTGGGTTGGAAAAAAATCCTTGGACGACCATGAAGACTGACGAACGGCTTCACCTCGAAACGTCAGCTTTAGTCCATAGCAAAGAAACGTAATGAAGACATCATTTTCCCTTTTCTTGACCCTGGACATCGCTAGCCTTAATGATCAAATTCCAGATGAAAAAAATTTCGCCCGAATTGAGCTTTTTCGGGATAAACTTGAGTTTAAATTTACAACAAAGCAATTGCTAAAAATCAGAGTCTAACGAAAAAATTTTCCATTTAAAAAAATCTCTACTTCTTCTTTCTCTTGAAAAAGTAGAAACCTTCCCACGGTAGTTACAACTAAGAAGTGATTTGCAAATAAGTTTACAAAACTGAATAATGGTTCGTCTCGGAGACGTGAAATCAGACACAACGTATTTTTTTTTTTTTTGTGCCTGAAGTTAAAAACGATTTAATTGGTATAGCCATTAAAAAAAAAATCACCGTTTACTTTTCGTCGAAACGAAGAAGATTGATACATTGAAAATCTACGCAGGCAAACTTTTCACGCATAGTTATAACAACTTTATATAATCGCCGAATAACCTAAGACATACTGCAGCAATATTCAATAGAGAACTGTCTTTCTTTAGTCTGCAATGGCGAAATTTCCTTAAACCTTTGATTCTTTCAACAAAAAAAAGATGATATGATTTCGTAAGTAAATTGTTAAATACAAAAAGCTCTTACCTCAAAGAAGAAAAGTTTTGTTAGTAGTTTTGCAGTTTTGACTTGAGGCGTCTTTTCGGAGCCTTTCGGTGGTGAGTCAAGCTGAAATGAACTTCAAAATAGCAGGAGATATCAGCTAAATGGATATACCTCACAAAACGATTGGCTTTGAAGCTTCAAAACAACATCAGGCAGATGTCTTAAAAATAATTGCACATGGAAGACCGACTACAAGCAAATGAGAAATACACGCTTTAGCAGTAATGTTTTCGTTAATTTACGTTCATAAAGTCAAGGTGGCTGGTTGTACAGTAACCCAATCTTGGAAAATTGAAAAACTTTTCAGCAATTGAAAAACTAAGTGTAATTTAAATTAAATTTGAAGACACTGTGAGACATTCGCCGAGTCATATTTTCCTTCGAGAGGCATCTAATGAAACATCACGATAAGCTTAAAAGAAGGCATAAGAACTCTTAAAATTACAAGCTATTTACTCAAGTAGATAAAATATTAACGGGAAATCAAAGAGAAAAAAAATGCAATAACCGTTAATTCTAACATCAACAACCTGCTCATTCAAAGAAACCGACCGGGAAAACATCATAGCATACTTAACATTTCATTCCTCACAAATACAAATGTAAAAACATACTCAGAGGACACATGTTTTTAAAGAGAACCAGCGGTCAATTTACCGTAACTCAAACTGAAGATTTGCACTCATATCGTTGTTGGAAGACGGACTTAAAGCGCTGTTGAAGGAGAGGCGGTCTTCGTCTATTGAAGCTTGGCCGATAACATACTAACTTACCTCAACAGAAAGCTGGTTACTAGTCTTGCTTTTGAGACCAAAAAGAGAGAATAAAAGCTTTCTTTGTTTCGTATTTTTCAACGCTAAGCTTTGGGAGGGACCACTAACGGGAAACGTTATAATTGTTGCGGGAACATTATTGATTAAACGACAACCAATGCGTGATTTACTGTTGCGGATTTAAGATAACCTGCGGTTATTTATTGGTGATGTAAACCCATTAACGTGATTTTTAAATGTCAATTTTGCCCCGTTAAAACGTTCAATATTTAGTAATGATTTCAAATTATTTCGCTTCCATCAAAATCGATGTTGTTGTTAGATCACGTATTAAGCACACAGAAGGTTTTTTTTTCATTACAATGAAGCACTAACACGTAGACAAATGTTTATTGCAATCACATAAATAACCAATGTACGTGACCATCGTAGAATAAAATCAGGCTAGATCTCTGTAATAATAGAATTCTTCAATCCCGAGCTCACAGAGCTCTGTAATATTTGCTACTTTATCATTTTGCTCGGTTTCGCTAGGTCAGAAGTGTTGCACCCACTCTGGCAGATCGAGACTTCCTTTTCCTCAACGAAAAGCTAAAATTCAGCTACTGACTTCACTTCAGTACGCACATAACTGGGCGTTTAATTAGTTACTATGCGAAATTAAGATGTTCCTACGTTTGTCAAGAGCCTGCGGCGAAAAGAGCCCCAAAATAAAAACCATTTCCTGAGAGCAACTGGTAAACACCAACTAGTTAGATCACGGTCTGATACTTCATAGATCTTCCTAAAAATCCATCAGGTTTCTTGTTTTACCAGAAACTGTTCCTATCACTACACTGGTATAAAATATTGACAAAAATACTCCTACTTTTAAAATTAAAGTCTATCTACATGCTATCTATGTTGATGATAATTTCAAGAGGCGCCTATGGTATCACTAAAGCAATTCATATAGTGGATATGCGCAAGACTCTCAAAATTACGACGTTTTTCTTTTTGAGATACCTAACTTCTGCGTTTATTTAACATCTGGCGTCATCTGGGTTTTACTTCACAATTTCACATCTCCCTCGAGGGAGTACGTTTCGGCTCCTATATTTGTTCTGAAGGTTGAAAATATACGTTTTTCTGCACTGCTGGTTCCCTGTAAAACCATGTCGAGAGTAAAACATTCACACTCTTGAAGGCCAGGTCTGTTTTCAAATCAACACAGCAAATGAAACTATTGCTTTTAAGTGTTTGTGGCTCAAATTACGTAGCGCTCCTGTTACCCTAGGTCTACTTCGCTCGATCGCTAACGAAACATTCCAACCTTTGATTCAGTCGGTCATTGCCAGTGTCTTTAAATGTACAAACATCCACGAGAAATTGAAACTTTTACCGAGATAATGAACAAGTAAAATTAGTAAATTCTTCTTTCGACATTATTGTTATCTACTTATCATAACGGAAAATCCAGTTACCACAACAGCAATAATCATCAACATTGCATGAAAACCGACTACAATACAGTATCACTACAATATCTACTTCTGAGAGTTTTTTGTTAAGGAACTGACGCTGGATTACAATAAACGTCTTCCACAGCGTGGTACTGTTGCCATTTCCCATCCTTCCGACTGTGGTAGAAGACCTCCTTACAGTCAGGATTTACGGCAAGCACATTGACCTTGGGTTCCACTGGTGACGGATCAAGCCATGATGCAACAGAACGAATTCCACCGGTTTCACAGCGAATCTTGTTCAGAAAGTAACGGTATTCCTCTGCAGAGTTACAACAGCCTACTGTTTATTACCAGAACCCGTGAAATACATCCAACAAATTACAGAGCTTATATGTGGTTACATTGTGTTTGGGGTCATTTGAAAAATTTTTACCAGAACTGGAAACAGAATTTCCAACCAAATTTGATAACGTAAGTCAGTGCTTGGAGCAAACAGAACTAAATAGAACCTCGTTAAAATTCATCTTTCGTTTCTTGTTGATCATTTTGAAAATATTTATAAATAATAATGGAAATAGCAGTTGCAATGCCATCAATTAAAAAATGAAAACCGTAGTTGTGAGTTGACATGTTAACTCAACTTAGCTAAATCACGCACCGCCCCCCCCCCTTTTCCCGCCACTTCTAAAACAACAACAACTAAACAGTGTTAGGGTCCATTATTGCTCAGTAGGGAACTCCAATTTCCTTTTCGTTCATCTATTCCTCTTCAGCCATTTTTTTTTTTTTTTTGCAACGTTTAAGCGTGTTTCCCCCAACTTTTTGCTTAATAACCAGACATAAACACAACATTCGAGTGTTGGCTTGAGCACAGGATTAGGGAGCTTTCCGCACGGTCTGTTTAATAATTCTCTTTACCTGCTTGCTTAACAGGGTGTTAAAATTGGTAGAGGAAATAACATTCTGGTCAATCCTGTAAATCGGAGGGAAAAGTAAAAGAGCAGATCAAATGTTTAAATACCAACCTGTTCTATTTATTTTGTCGAATCTCAGGCTTAATTTCTTTTTCAGCTTTTCCCATCTAAACTCCAACCCTTTCACAATAACTTCGTCCTTGGAAACAAAACAGAGAAGAGTCAGATTTAGAGAAACAACTGGAATCATTGTGTTTGTTAGCTTCGTGATTTAAGATCCTGCGAAAATCGAGGACAAACGAGCTCGAGTGACAACCCAGCTTTGTAATTTTGGAATATTTTTCATTTAAGTCAATCGTTATAAATTCTTTCCAGAGCGAATTGCGATTGAGCGTCGAAAAAGCCGCAAAAAAGGGTCCAAAATGGCCAAACACATTCAGTGTAAGGAAAATGCCATAAGGAACCACTGAGATCTCAAAGTAAAAACGAGCAAACTTCTTGCAACGCGGGAAAACGCGAGAAATCATTTTATTTGATAAGAGGCGCTAATAGGGAGATGCGAGTTTTTACGACCAGTCGCACGGCGAAGTAAACCGCGTTTCCCCGCGCTTTAGGCATTTAGCTTGTTTTTACTTTCATTCTGATTGGCTCCCTATAATATTTTCTTTCGCTCTGATTGGCTGTTATGGTCACTTTCGTTTTAATTCTGCGACACTAAATCGGAAAGCGCTCTAATAGGAAAAGAACTCTTACGTCCGAATCCTTAGGATAGAATTTAAAGGTGAGCGTGTGGCCTTTAATACTATTAGCTCTGCACTTGGCTTTGACGTATGGAGAACTTGGAGCTAACATCAGGGCACAAACGACAGATGCGATTGCCAGGAATACAGTTACTGCAAGCAGTTTTTTCCACAACCCTAAAAAATGAAAAAATACAACATTATGCATTGGTGTCATTGTCCGAACTCTGATTGGTGCCAAGCGTACAACTAATTCTTTCTCGCACTCATTCAGATATTTTGTTAACCCTTTAACTCCCAAAATTGGATTGTCAATTCTCCCCTCTAGCTGCTACACATTTCGTTGTAAATTTGTTACAAGAATTCGGCGTTGGATCATTATAATATCTCGTACCTGATAAGCCTGAGTATTCTCACGACCAGTTCGCTGGATAATGTATGGATATTATAGGGAGAAGTTATAAGTTAATCATCTCTGAGAGTTAAAGGGTTAATATCTACATACTAAGATAGTTCCCTGCCATGTGGTAGAAACGTGATCTCTAGTGGCAGTAGTTTTAAAACAAGAGAGGAGAGTCTTTTCAGAGACTAGAAGGGACCTCACCATGAGATGCTATCATGGAAAAATCGAATCCAATCATCTTTAAGTATAATTAGGTTTGTACTGCGATGTTGAACAAGTGGTGTCCTGTTATCAAAAGTTCCAGACATCTCAGACTTCACGTCAGCTGAAGTCGTGTTCAGTGGAATTTCGTCACTGTTTAACTATAATATACCCTTGGATACCTAATTTAACAGCATTCCCAAACATTTTTGCGTGTCCCCAGAAAGAGGTCACAGGACATTGTTATATGTCATCTTATATCTTGTGCATCTTGAAAATTCAGCCCAAATTTCGTAAGTATGTCATTTGCAATTGGTGTCAATCAAACAGAAAAAAAAAGCGAAGAACACCGTTAAAGAAAACAAGTGCAGGCGTTGGCAACTTTCTAGAATTCTTCCTAAACTTATCAAAGTAATTGTCTCTGAAAAATAATTTTAATGGTGACATAAGGAGCCCTGGATCGTTTATTTCACTCTATCTCTTCTACACCTCTTACCTCTCCAGCCTCTTTGCATTCTTGCAATTCTAAAACCAACTGTATCTATACTAGTGTACAGGTTTTCCCTCACTTCCTCGATACTTAGTCTCATTTGATCCAACGCTCGTAACTGCTCCTGTACACCGATGCTCAGTACTAAAGACACAATGCAGTCCACCTTGGAAACCCCAGGACCAGACGATCCACCCATAGCATAGCCGATCAAGGTTCGTCGATCGTCTCCTAAATGAAAAAAAGGGAATCAAAGACATGTTACATCAAAAAAGGTTGTCGTTCATCGTAATTTCAAGATCAATGAACGTTCAATAGTTTGTCTCACGATGTAAGGGTCAGGCTGATTAATCTTGACCTCTTCAATCGTGTATCAGTTACGATCAATACACGATTGATTAGCCTGACTCTTTCATCGTGAGACAAATTAAACGAATTAACCTTCATTTCATAATTACATCCTTAGTTTGGTTGGTATTGTATACAAAGAAGATAAAAAAAAACCAGTGAAGACTTTGACCTATGTAATACGAATTATATAATAAGGTCAATCATTCACACATTTTGATTGGTTCTTACCCATGATCTATTGGAGGACAACGTCATAGATGACGTCACCATAAACTACTTTTTGCTCCGTTATTACTTAAAACAAAGAGATTCGATATTAACGTGGGTCTGTTCAGTAACAGACCACAGAAAACGTCATAATGTGGAAAGTACATCAGTGACACACCCAGCTGTGTCCTGTGTGCCACCTTTTGGTTCTTACAACATTTAGACACCATCTTTGATCTATTGCTGAACAGACTCGCAGCAATATGGGATCTTTTTGTTAAAAAGTTCGCCGGAGCACCTTGCAGAATTATAAATTGTGCGATTAAAATTGTAGCTAGGCGGTAGCCAATTGCACAGTTTTCTTTGAATCAAGAAAAAGTGATACAAAAATGTAATTTATGATGGTGTATGAACCAGGCATAACTTTAAATGTGGTGAAGGAATTAATATAAATTCTTCTCCAAATTTTTTTTCTCGGATTCAAATTCCTCTTCACTGTCTAGATAGCTCTCCAAAAGGTGGCGGGGTAATCTCCATTGTCTATACCCTCAAACAGAGATAAAATACGATGTTGTTGGTTTTTCAAGTGGTACTGAGCTGATAGAACCTGTAACTGTACAGACAAACCCAACTATATCTCTGTGTTAATTATATCAATTTGTTTTTACCTTGTTCTGGTGTGGCAATTGCCACCCCTGGGAACTTATTACTGGGGCAAGCGTAAACCAGTTGTCCAGGTCTCACTTCGCCAATGACTTTCACTTTAATCTGTCCGATGATGCACACAAGATCAGCATCTGAGTGTTACAAAGATACAGAGTTAGGGACCGGTTATTATTCATCGGCTGGAGGGGGGTTTGGGAAATCAAATGGGTTCCAGGGGGATCTTAGACCGTCCCTTCCCCCCCACCCTTACGTTCACATGGCCAAAGAAAAATATCACAAATATCTAGGTTTAAATTAAAAATAAAAAGACAAGGTATCTCTACGACATTGTAATCATCCCTTCCCCAAAAGAAAAACAAAACAAAAAGCAACCCTTTTTAAAACATACGTATAGCACGATCCCAGGTACAAAAACAGGCGACTAGAAAAGGCCATGGAATTTAAGCCTTCATAGTCTTGTACATCCATAAAAGCGACTTTCGTTGCTAAAATGTTGGGTTTCGTAGTTACTTTAAGTATATAGAGCAACAATCACTGATGCTTACGCGATCCTTTTTATAAATTCGAACTATCGATTATGTTTGCACGACATGCAACAACTGTTACTTACCATCTTCTTCTTCGTCATATTGCCCTGTGTTCCCGACTAGGTACGCTGACCTACTTATTACACCAGCCAGCCGGGCTTCATGAGCATTATCACTGGTCAAGAAATCGATAACAGTGCCTCCTGTTTTTCTTTCAAAGAATCCCACCACGTCACCTTCCTCAAATGGACTTTCATTCTGCCGTTTGACGTAGTAAGCGATGTCGTGGTTCGCTGTTTTTATCTGTTCAACTTCGAGGTCTTTTATCTTAGCTATATCCGCTTCGATTTGTTGGCATATAAAACTTTCATACCGGCTATCTGTAGGAATCGTGAAAATAAATCACAAAGTAATTTTGATTCAATGAACGGTGGAAAAGGTCAGTTCTTCAGCTTAAGCTTTGGAAAAACTACTCGTCTCAAAGGAGCGTCGAAAGTAACACTTTTGAAACCGCATGTTTCATATTAGACCAATCAAATGCAAAACTGACTCCGATCGCCTTTTGGTGTCTCGCTTTCTCCGAATACGTCTCAAGGCACTAGTTCATCTGGAGGCTAGGAGTAAGATCAATAAGAAACTTCAGTATGCCCCAGCTCTAAAACATTTTCATGTTTTGGAGTTTTAAACGTCACTATTGCTCAGGTTATCACACTCCTGGCCAAAAAGCTGTGATGAATGACCAAGTTAAACGTTAGGAATCACATCGGGCGATGAAATGCTCCTCAGTACTCTAGTGACTACAGGAAAAATTTCTAAAACGAAATAGTATTCCTAAGTTCAAACATAACTCCACGATCTTTCTCGAGCCATCACCTCTAACGAAAAGATCATATCGGAAAATGGCTTTCGCTCAAGATTTTCGTACTCGTCTCCTCGCTATCCATACGTCGAGATATCCCCGGTATAATGATCAAATGTTTTAAGCTTATAGGTAACTAGAGACGTAAAATCGTTAACAATTAAGTAATTCTTACCTGGAGGAACTTGACGATGAGAGGTTAAAGAGCAAGCTGTTTGAGGTGAGAGGACACTTTGAGGTTCCCTCGGAACTTTTGAAATAGAATTGAATTAAAACTACTTTAAACGCGGGAGAGGTGATCAGCGTATCTTCAAAGGGCTTAAATGAGGGTTTTGGTATCATTTGTGGTGTCTACAGTAACACAAGAGTGAGCAACGAAACAGTTGTTACCGCAATCCAAAATTTTCAACGCATTGGGTAACACCCGTTGGTAATATACATCTTTTCCTAGGATGCATACATAAACACTGATACTTTTAAGGGATACTCTTCAGGAATTCTAAAACTCCCTCGCATCACTTTAATATTCGAATACCCCACTTTTACCATCAAATTTAACTTTTATCACACAAAGAAAGAAATAACTATTGCAAAATGATGGTTTTTTTCAACATCAGTTACTACCAAAGGTAATTTTCACTTCAAGAACCTTGGAGGTTCGATTGAGTGAACCCACACTATCAAAACTTTCATCTGAACAGTAAGCTTAACAAAAGGCATCATCTTCAATTGCATCACTGATATAAAAGCATCACGTCTACATTCAAGTCATGACAGAATGGTTGGTATACGTGCAAAATGTTTGTGACGAAAACCAAGTTTACACGCCAAGCTGTCGGGAGTTTCCCACAACCCAATGCTAAATTAATTGAGTGTCAAAAAAAAGTCAGGATTACATACGTTTTGTTGTACTTCTCTTTGTGATTGGTCCAGAAAATTTGCGCCATTTTCTCAACCAATCAAATGCAAAACTAGAACCAACGGCGTCTCAGCAACTCGCGTTTTCCGCGCTCTTTTTTCTTCATTTTGAGTTCTCGAAGGCTCTGGTAACTTCTTCCTTAATTTGCTCTGATTTGCTGCTGTGATTTCTTTGCTCTTAATTTTACGGCACTTAATCGAAAAGCGCTCCAAAGTAAAAGAATTACTTGGAATCAGGTGGTCTCAAATTTGACTTCAGTTGGAAGTATCGCGAATTTCATTATTCTAAGTATGACTGCATCACTGACTGAGGAAACATCACTATCTTACGATTATCATCACTATTAACATTTACCTCCTACATTTCCAAGAGGTAGATAGATATTATTTGATGCTTGCACTAATGCTGCGTATGGTGCTGTAAGAAATCTTAGGGGATCCATGTGCTTACCTTTCACGGTCTTGCTGCTCTTTAGTACAAACTCATAAGGGAAAAGGACCAACCTCTGTCCATTGTTTAACTCGAGGAAGACTTTTAGATGGAATCGGTTGTATTCTAAGCCTCTCGTCTTTTCCAGTCGGTAAATCTCCTTACCATCCTCTGTTTTGTACACGGAGTCAAGGTCGATTTTGCAAACGTACTTGGGGTTTTGACCTGAGAGAAAATGTTTTAAGATTTACATACTGAAGCCTTTTCACCACCACCAGTACAGCAATTTTCATATAATGCGAGATCGCATTGGTTTTGCTTTTCAACTATCACTGATCAGTTAAGGACCCTTGCTTAACCCACTCAACCAATCGGAGGCAAAAGTAGAACCAAAAGTGGATCCATACAGAATGTGAGAAAACAAGGTACAGCACTACGCCTGAATCCCCCGTAGACTCCTCATTCTTAAGATAAACCATATTCAGTCATTTTAGATAACTTTGATTAACAATATTTCCAAATACCTGAGGGATCTCCTTGAAAATATCCAATGCTATGCTACAAATTTACTACTGCAGATTTTTGTTCATTCTTCATCCAAGAGGCAATGTGCGAGTTTCACCCGAGAGATCAGGGAAAGAGTAACTTTTGGGATAATTCATCGATGGAGAATTGAGTACTCTAACTCAGTCGATTTTTGACCGAAATAAGCGATCAAGGATCTCAATAAATTTCGCCTCTGTATTTGCAAAGCATTTGGCGCGGTAGTTACTGATCTGTACCTACCAGGAGTATTAATTTCTTGGACATCCTTCTCAGGAAATAGTATCTCTCCTACTCCGTATGCTTTTGGGTCTTTAGCGAAGAGCTTCTTTTCAGCTTCAAAATCACGCAACACATAAACTTCTAGTTGACGAAGAGGCAGCTGTGTGTCTATTTCCATCTCAACCTGAAATCAGCCAAAAAGGAACCCTAAAAAGAACTTATTGAGAGCCACATTGAGCCAGAATTGTCAAGCTTGTTATCAAAAAAATTAAAACAGTGCTTGGCAACAATTTTTACCACTGCATATTTTCAAAACAATTACTCATCAACTCGAGATTTCTATTGCTAAATAGCTAACGAGGACGAAGCCTGAAAAAAAAAATAGAAATCACCAGAAAAAGTACTTGTTATAGTATTCAAGTCTGCTGTTTGTTTAAAACTTAACAAGAAGACAGGGCCGTGGTTTTATTTTAATTTTGTCTATAACCGCATACCGTTATTCTACTCACTTAATTTACCCACTATCTACCACGTAATAGATAGCGAGTAGCATACCCAATCAGATTGTAGTTTTTGATCGATCAAAAAACAAATCTCAGGTTTGCACTGTCGCGAGAAAAGGCTTCAGCTCTACCTTTCCTTTTGCTACTCTTTGCTCTGAAAATTTCCCTCTATGTCCGTGCTTTCTCTGCACTTTGTCGTATTCTGCCCGCGGATTAAGGATCTTGATATTCGCTTCATTGCAATGGGCATGGGTCACCTGAACTCTTCTATCTGAGTATCGGCCAAAATTGGTTCCTCCTTCACGATCACGCGGAAGGCTGAAAGTCTGGTACTGACAAGGCGCTCGTAAATCTGCACCGGACGGTCCAGCACTCGGAATAAGGGGTTCGCAAACGAAGTTCCCATCTGGGAGGGTATCGTGTGTTTGAACGGTGTGAGTTGCAAAGGGAGAAGGTGTGTTTGTTCTTTCGCTGTCTGGTGGTGAGGGGCAACCAGGCTGAAGGGGGTTGAGGTATTGTGGTTCATTATGCATCACTAGCTGTGATAGAAAGTTGGGCGATACAACAGGGCTAGAGTCCGTAGTAACCAAGTTATGATGATCCGAAGGAGAGTCTAAAATGAGAATAAAAAAAAGATATCATGGACAGTTGGTAAAAATAATCAACAATAGTTAAGAATAAATTTCACTCATACTTTTACATCCGTACAAATAATATATTATTCCTATCTGTTCCAAAAAATATGTTTACATATCTATGTCTCATAGTTGACTTTATCGGTAGCTCACTTCGAATCGAGCATTAATATTGACTTTACACTAATTTTCAGCCTTCTTCTTTAACCAGCCTTCGTTTTGTACCAGACTCTCCGGCTATTAGCGGAAAGGATAAGAAAGCAGGGTGAGCAAAAAATGGCACCTTTCAGCCAATCTCCTCCACTGACCTAAAGCCATGCAGAGGTTTTTCATTGTTTTCCGTTCTACACCCTTTAAATCCAAAGCTAAACTAATGATCCAGAGTTTGAAATCCAGTGACGGATATTTGGGTGTAAATGTCAAACCGAATAATAATACAAGTCACGAATGGAAAGCTTTAAGATGTTTACTGTCGACTTTCGAACCGCTACAAAAACTATGGAAGACATCATTGAATTAATCATATTTTAGTATTGTCATAGTTCGAAGAAACAGTGCTATCACGTCAGTTGCAGCAGCCAATCACGTCACGTGTAGTAAAGCCTTGAGCTTTCATTGGTCAACGGCCTAACTAGCCTCGCTTTCGTGAAACTAGACTCGGGCCCTATACCTGAACTCCATAGGAAAAAGTGCCTGGTTCAATGCTGAATGCAAGCAAGAGAGCAAAACGAAACAGCTAAATGAAACACTGTCCAGTTTTGTTGGTTAAAGGCTTGAAACACAAATTATGATGTAATTAACATATTTACTTCAGCCGTCGTTTTTCATCTTCTCGAAGGAGTAGTCCCAGTTTTGAAATGAAGATTTCAAGCTACAGCCACACATGGCATAGCAAATAAATTCGATTATGCAGCTTGACGACCATCAGAATCTCTGTAGAGGGCTAAATAATCCTCTACATGAGGTATATCGCACAATTGGCAAGGAAAAAAATGGTAGAGGGATGGAGTTGGCTGGGAAATAAGTACGGAAATACGACTAGCTAAAAGAGATAAAAACACCCATGTTCCCCTCTATATTGCCCTTTTCTCAGCCTCTGAACTGCAATAACGGTTTTATTGTGTAAAATAAAATCGTTATTCTGGGATCAAAAGACTGACAAACATCTCTGTAGTATCTTACCCAGGAATTCTGCCAGAATCTCTGCTGTATCAAAACGTTGATACGCGGGCTGATTGGATGAGTTCGACATACTTTTCCGCGCTAATAAGAAAAAAACACATGATACGTGTAAACAAAAAAACATGTAAATTGCCAGATAGTAATTTTTGTGGTTCATACAAAGAAAATGATTTTAACTCTTTATACCTTTGACCGTTAAGAGTGATGGGCTTTTAATTTCTCCTTATACTAATTCCCTCTGAGGAAATGTAAAGTTCATGAGAATAACGAAAATTATCACCAATTTAGGAAGCTCGTAACGGTTAAACAAATAATCCTAATTATCCTTATCGGTATCAAAGGGAAAATAGAGAGAACAGTGCAGAGAATATGAAAGCGAAAGGTAAGATGGAAAGGGTTACAGGCTATTTGAGAGGAAGATCTTCAAGAACTTTGTGACCACATAGTATATAAAGCATTTATTCAGGCCTTGAACTAAAAAAGACAACATTTAGTTGTAAATACAACAAATTTTCGAGTATGGTTGTCTTAGTATATGATATCGTAGCAGTTACTTTTTAGTTAATGAAAATCAAACTAAATAAATCCACGAAGGACCAACTATACTAGCGAAGGAGTTTTCTGTCCCTAGGCCAAGAGCGGCCCGCCGATATTCCATCAAATTAAATATAGAAAACCATGCCATTCACTCAGTGAATCGTGCGAAGGGAAACCCGGGAAAAATGTAAAATTAGTCACGAGTTATAACAGATAAAAAGATTAAAAAGAAGCTACGTGCAACAGCCAGCGATGATTCAGTCAATTTGAAAATGACTCTCCTCGATTCAGTATTGAAATAACGCAAACCACTAGGTTTAACCACGTTCCTAAGTCGGAGCAACTCCTCTGTCCGATAGAAATTTAAGATTGTACCCGTAAAGAAATCTTTTCTATAACTTCAGTATTGTAGTCTCTATAGCTGTTCCCGAGTCTCCACATTAGACCTTTTTTTCTTGTTGCAACGAAAACACGGGAACGTCCGCTATCCATTTGAGCTGATACAAAGGACCTTAAGCGACGGCAACGAGGACGTGGCAAAACAAAAGAGCTAATAAGCAAAACAATAGCTTAGCACGTGCTTTTTAACACTTAGTACATTTTTAAGTCGTCCTCTGCAAAACAACAACGTGAAATCACCGAAGTTTACGTGGTTTGAGAACGAAAACCCGGCGGAAAATTGTTTAAGTTTCCATTTGGATCTTACTGCTGCTAACAAACGTTATGCTGAAGTTGAGCTGTGGCGCCGCCTAAGAGAAGTGAAATACATCCAGCCATTTGTGAAACACTTACTAAAAATATAAATTCATTTCCTAGTCGAAGACTTCATCGGCGTTGCTGTCCTGACTGCTTAAGGTCCCTACATACATTACGGCTTCACAGAAATCATTAATAGCGATACGAATCCTGCACAGTTTAACCGCATTCAGGCTCAATTACACCGGAAAGCTAATCGGTGATGACTGAATTCAGAAATTTGGCCATGTTATCCACTCCACCGAAAATTTCGTCCTTGAAAGGTTTTTCAGCGTTAAGTCACCTTGTTCAAAAAGCTATGAACAGTTCAGTTTCTCCCTGACGAGGAAACTTGTCTATGAAGCACTCGCCATATTTTTCTACGTTGTATCTCCAAAGTAAACTTGTGAAAAGTTGCTCACCAGGTTAAGGCGGCTTTGATTTCAGTTTTACATACTAACGATGTTAAATAACTTTCTTGAATTAAAGGTGACACAAATTTACCCGAAATTATAAATATAAATCGTCCTGATGGAGAAAGTAAATATTTTGCAAAGGTCTGTGACGCGTGGCATGTAAATTCTGCAAGACATATTTGCATGTTAGGTTTGACAACAAACGGTATTTAAATTACGATAACTTTCTGACTTCATTGAAACTACGTCAGTAAAAATTGCATTAAACTAGAAATGCAATTTAAACGAAAAACAAAAAACAAAACCATTTGTAAAAGGGACAGAAAAAAAAACTGTTGTTGTCTCTCTTTGCGTTTAGCTGACACTGAGTACATCACTTCCGCCAAGATTCAATATCGCATATAACACAAAAAAAAATACCAGTGGAATATTTATAGTAATTCTGCCACGTTATGCAGTTATTCGTTTGTTTAGCGGCATTTTCTTGGACACACTGTTTCAGTTTAGTTGCAGGTTTGTGTCAGAATCATTCAGAACATTCATCCCCTCGGTGGAAATCGAAACTTCGGCCCCAGGAAAGGAAGTTAATCATAGAAAAACCCCTTCAACCAAACCGCGTCGTTTTTAAGATCAGAAGACAGCGCCGAAATAATTTACATCGAAGCTTACCTGCGTATAAATTCGAGTGATGGTAAATTTTCCGACTCCGCGTTTGGTCGACAATTCTAAGATGTACTACTCCTGAAACTCGACATCATAGCATTTGGAACTCAGCCCGGCGCTTACATCATCAAGGGTGTTTCGAACTTCGGTGATTTTTCAGTTTCGATATTGCTGATCTAATGCATTCGATTGTGTGACTGTCGTATATGTTGTTTATAAATTCCCTTCCTCGGGAAAGTACCTCTGATGAGTTTCACTTCCTCATTGACGATTTTCGGTTTCGCAAACATAAATCTACTATTCTGTTAAAAATTTTTCTTCCATCTGATTAACCTGGTAATTTCCATGCCAGCACAGGCAACGCTGTGAAAAATGCCTTATGGAAAAGACAGCGGTCACGACTTGACAATTAATTTTTCCGTTACCACGATTAGATTTTTACGTCATCAGGAATCGAAAATCGAAAACCAAATCTTCAAGAGTCGCGAAACAAGTCGCAGTCCACTGAAAACAATACTTGTAAAACTCGGTATCTAAATATGTATACTAATATCTTGAACAAAAACGCAGGCCATCCAATTTTTCACGATACGCTTTGTAGAAATCTTAGTAATCTTCACCCTGCAAACTAAATAACTCAATGGGGTGTTGGTTTCAAACGGTAGTTTCTTAAAGTAGAAAGATTGCCACGTCACGCTTTCTAATACTTATGCAATTGTCCAATATCGTTAAAAAACTATAGGAAACCTTCAATTTAGATTCTAAAAAGAAAACAAAAAGTAAACCACATGGTGAAATACAACAAACAAAAGAGGAAAAAGTTTCCAGGTTGACCCTGGTGGAATGCATATCGAAGAACAGCGAATAACGAGGTGCCCAAGGCCTTGGTATGGTCGAAAGCGCGCTTTATATTAATACAAACGTGATCGAAACTTCACTTAGATTCCTGTTTACTCAAGACGACACGTCTCAATGAAATCGAAAGTCTAGTGTTCAATCAACTCAGTGAAATGTCACCGAAATGGAATAAGAGAAGGAAAAAGCCTCCTCCTGCACGAAAGTAAGTGTATAAACATACACTACATGGCTATTGCTTAACCAAAACAAGATGCATCAATATTGGCTCTTCAGATATCGTGGTTTTAATCTTAGCGATTGAGTGTGGATCAAACAATACTTTTAGTGACCTGACAGCTATTAATAGTAATGTATTCCTTACCTTCTGGCTGTCTGCAGTTACCGTGAAGCAGTAAAAGAACTGCGTGCGGTCACCATCTCCGCGTTGGAAGTAAACCAAGAGTGTAAGCATATATATGCTGAAGTTTTTTTTCATTTTTTTTATTTTATTTTGGGTGGTATTGTAACTGGGCCAAAGATCACGGGAGTTTGGAATGAAACAAAGGGAAACACCCTCTATAAGCTTTTTCGAGCAAATCTATCAAATTCAGCATGTTTCGTCGAAAAGCAAACCGCCTATTTAATCCTTGTGTAATTCATTTTGTGTTTTATAAGCCGAGAGATTTTCCAGAGGAAATAAAGTAATCCTCCGAGAGAAAAAAACCTCCCCGCGTTTCCGTGACTTTTATTTAAAATTCAATGTCACCACCCCATCCTCCCGACCCCCCTTGTCATCCTAAACCTCTTGAACGCATCATTCCTCGGCCAATGTGCCGCAAATGACGATAGGACAAAGAACGTAACGCTGTGTCTCACGTGACATTCCTTTACCGTCGCGTAATGGGAGCACTCCTCAAGAAAAATCATAATATAATCTGCTATGGAGCATTAGACTCATGATACATCTAAAATCTTAAACTCACTGGATAATCAACCGAAAAATTGACCCTTTTCAAATATAACGACCAAGAGTTTGGGCGGAGGGGAAATAGGAAAGAAGAAATGATTCGAATGGCACGTGATGAAGATTTGAAACCACCTATTTCAAACTGCAAAAGAGATCAGTTGATTACTTGTTGAAAATTTCAGTTTTCAGGTAAATTCAATTTTCTGCGCTCAAATCCAGCCACCTGTATTGTATGAGATTAATTAATATGCTCTAGGCGAATAAGCTCACTGGAAGATTTCCATGAACTAATCAAGGCATGCAAATGTTCCCGCCAAGGGACAATTGTATGACTGGTGGCAAAGTATACATAGCTGATAATTCAAATATATATGTGTGTTTTAATTCATTAGCATTAATTTTTTCCACGTCTGAAAAACCACATTGGTAAGTCTTCTTCGTAGGTCTATGCACCTAAGGCCTCGGTCAGAAAACGCCATTGATTTCTGTCGGTTGTAACTTAGTCAAGCTGCCCCCGTGTCCAGCCTCTGTCACTCATTTCCCTTTCTATGCGTCTTCTCTAAGTTTCCTTAGAAAAGGCTCTCTTTCGTCGGCCGTCCATCGAAGGGCGACGTTAGGTAGGAATAACAGAAGTATTCGGTGCACGTAGCCGATTAGTCTCCATCTTCCTCTCGGCTGGGTGATGAGTTCTCTGCCCGTTCTTCTGTGCAGTTCATTGTTGGAGATGGTGTTAGGCCAAAAAATGCGGAGACTTCTTCGCAGGGATCTGTTCTGGAAGACGTCTAGCTTGTGGCTGATGGTCTTCGTCATCTTCTAGGCTTCTGATCCACTAAGAGGGTGCTTAGCATATTGATTTTGAAGAGACACATCTTTGATCTATGGCCGATGCTCTTGGATTTCTAGGTACCAAGAAGCAGATTCAAATTTTGGATGGATGCCCAAACAATGAAAAATTCTTCGATGACGTTGAGAAGTAGGATATGTAAGCAGCGAGCAGACGAATATTTCGCCAAATCGAAGGATGACAAAATTAATCGCAAGACACACACCAATCGCAACATTTGCAATAACTAAATTCAATAATTTTTTAATCACTCTATCCCCAAGTTTGTCTTTTCTTAATAATTTTGAGCAAATCACCCTCTGAAATCTCAGGAAGCGACCAGAGGAACGTGGACACAACTACGCATGAGAAGAACATACAGCTTCACGCATGGGCAGGCCAGTATCTGTGAGCAGTTATTAACAAGTTCTTACTGGCGGGCTCCTAGCCAATAAAATGGAAGGAAAATTTATCACATACTTAGGATTCTTATTTAGCTAACTTGAAGTTCAATGTTACGTAGTTTTAATTTTCAGGAATATTTTTTAGGAGGGTCTGTTAGTTAAAATTTTGATTCCAGCGCTAATACTCATATCCATTAAATGATTATCAATGTACAACAACAACTGCGCTACCTTAGAGTAACCACAGCTGTAATGTTTCATGGCAACCAATTTGGCAAATAAAAACTGAATGATGTGACCCCCAGCCTACTATATCATATACATTACACCAAGAGTAACATGCTCTGAACCAATACACTATGTTTTACACGGTGATGTTATCTTCCTTGGCTTTCCTGTGCACTGGGTTGAGCATCAGAAGACTTCTCCAATAGAGGCTTGTTCAGACCCCGTCTGTTTCGTGCAATCTCAATTGCGTAGAACTGGATCCTTGTAACTATGAGCGGGAAAGTGAATAAAATAACTGTTGGGCTTCAAAATGTGGAAAACATTACAGTGCTGAGAAAACAGATAATGCAAATTAAAAAAAAATTATAAATTAAAAACCTACGAATGATATCCTGACCCTAACCTTCAATTTTCCATCCATTTTTTTGAACAGAATTTTGTAATATTTTGATAATTTTTCTTTATTCCACAGTATGTGCAATGAAATTGTGAGTGCTTTTAGTAATTGAACATCACCTTCAAGCGAGTTAAATGAAAACTTCATCACTTTTGATTCATGACCACCATGATAAAAAAGTACCTCCAGAAAGTGCTGAACTAAGTGTAAATATCTTAAAGGTTTTTTTAACTTTTTTACATTTTCTGCCATACAAAAAGCTATGAAGTTTAAAATCTAGGAAAAGACAACTTAAAAATACCACAAAATGAATGTAACTCCCAAAAGTGATTAACTTGTAGCTACTCATTGCAATTCCAATATGTTATCTTGCAACCAAATTATGAGAACAGACAAGCTTATCAGCTACATGGTGTTATCTACTAGATAAATTGAATTCTCCTGTCTAATTTACCAGGAAATGTAAGGCAGTCAGTTGGGAGAATAACTTATTTGATCTTGGGACTTAAAGGGTTTAGCAGGTTCGTAGCAAATATTTCCATTTCCTTCACTATCCTCCTACTGGTTGAGTGTTGTCTTACCTAAGATAGTGTTTTCTTCTTCATAACCTTTAGCACAGTCAATTCTAAGGAGAAAAATAGAAATATAATGAAATTTGTGCCCACATTTCTACTGAAAAAACTGTAGCTGAAAAATATTTTACCTCAACAATGTTGCAAAATTGAAATCATCAATCTTTCCTTCATACATGTTACAAAATGGCCTCCACTTCTGAAAAAGACGATAAAAGTGCAAAGGATTAATAGTCATATTTAATAATACCTAATAATTTTCATGAAGTAATTATACATAAATATTAATGTTCAAATGATGTGTTTATAGTTTTTATATTTTGAAGACTTAAAAATTGAAATACCATTTAGTAGAAATGTAAGTGAAATAATATTTTGAGGTACTGATAGCATGCTAAAGAATAACATTCACATAAGCATACACTAATGTTTTACCCTTTACACCCTTACATCAGTATGCACATTCTCCATACTGTTCTCTGTACAATTACGAAGGTGCTGACATGGAGAATGAGTTTAACAATCAAGAGAGTCTTTGGTTAGTAATCACCTTCTTTACTCTCATGACCTTAATGTGTGATTCGGGGGTGATATTGTAAGGAGAAATTGGATGCTGATCACTCTTATGGGTCAAAGGGTTAAAAGTGGAGACACTGTGGTCTAATCGCACATGCAAGTGTGGTGGACTCTGGGTCAAGATGTCTGGGTTCAAAACCTGGCCAGGTCATTGTGTTAAGTTCTTGGGCAAAACAGGTTACTTTTACAATGCCTCTCTTGACCCAGGAATATAAATGGGTACTGGCAAATTTTCAGGAAAGCCTGATCAAATGCTGGGGGGTAACCTTTCAATGGACTAGCATCCAATCCAGGGGAAGGGGGGTGTAATACTCCTTGGAAGAAACTTTCCCTAAAAATTTCAAGATTCATTAACGTTTCTAGTGAATTGATCTGCAAAATTTCAGATGAATTCAAACAATGGCTGCCTCAAAAATTTGCCAAATGTGGCACAAATTTTGTTTTGGTCCAAAATTTGTCAAAAAAGGAACAATTTCATTGAAATTCCTTGACAGGCATTTGCAATAACTGGAATAAGCTTCAATTAGATGGGCTACTTTACTTGAGTACAGACTTAACCTACCTGACCATTGTTTACAAGAGGGACAAAAACACTTCAGAAGAGAGTAAATCTACCTATCTACTGAGTGGAGGCTTTTGTCTATCTGATGCTCTCAATCAAGGAAACTAACATCACCACTGGATACACAGTTAGATTCACTTTGAGCCTAATTGTTTGATCAACTCACATACAAGTAAGCCTGTTAAAAAACTTTTCCTTATAACACAACATCAATTTAATTTGATCACTTGAGACAAAAACCTTACAATGAAGAATGAAGTTTTGGGGTGTCATTTCCTCCATACTCTCACTGAATTATGCTTCATAGAGAGAAATGGGTAATAAACAGGATAAAGTGTAATTATCTCTCAGCAGAGACAAAACTGGTACACCTACCACTTTGGCTGCTTCAGATTTCAGGTCATCTATTTTGATCACATCCACCTAACCACAGTAAGACAATGTGTAAAGTCAACCTTTTAACTCCCTTGATCTAACAAGATATTCTCCCTAATAACTTCCATACATTGCATTGTAAATTAGTCGTAGGAAATTGGTGGTAGGGCAGATGACAACCTCCATATGATAAATTTGTCATTTCTCACCACATATTTGCTAAATACTGCATTCATATGATATGTAGACATTTTACCTTCGACAATTTTTAAGTTTTAAAGGGTATCACCATTAATCATCAGATAATGATAAAAAGATCAGTTCTGGCCTATTTTGTAATGGTAGTAAAATAACTTCTTCACAATAATTCTAAACTGCTTGCACAATGATATACATGACAGTTTAATTTCCATTTCCCTTTTTCCAATTCAAAACACAGTTAGTGAAGGTGAATGATTACAAAACCCAACAGATTTCTTCTTTTATGGTTTTCTTAGATATCTCGCACCTGACTATGCATAAAAATTAACCATTTAACTCCCTGAAGTGATTAACATGTAACTTCTCCCTATAATATCCATACATTATCCAGCAAACAGGTAGTGAGAATACTCAAACTCATCAGGTACAAGATATTACTTTGATTGAACACCAAATTCTTACAACTAATTTAAATGGAAATATGTAGCAGCTAGAGGGTAGAATTAACAATCAGATCTTGGGAGTTAAAAGTTGAGTTACTTTTTGAATCACTTTGAACTGAATAACCAATGGACACTTTCCATCTACATATCCAGTCAGAGTGTACAAACACACACACAAAATAGTAGTATAATTACAGTCAGTTAGAGAGAGCTCCCAACCTAAACCGTAGGACCTATGGTTTCATCATGGATTTTGCCTTTTGAAGACATTACTTAACCTAACTATGATCCTAATGAGCATTTAACTCATCCTATAAATTACTAGATTCACACTGAACTTGGAAAGTAAATTAAAACAATGTTTCCCAACTACACAATATGAAGGTTAGTTGATATGAAGCCTGTGTGGTAGGTGCTTGCCAAAAGTCAGAGTAACACTCCCATAACAGAAGAGACAAAGCAGTAATACACAAGACCTATTCCTTGCCTGCATCTATTGTCTCCTATTACCAACAGGAACAGTGTAATACACAAGGAATCCCTGTAACCCAGCATCTACACAGTGTAATCAATTTGTTAACTTGTTAACTGTACCTTAAGCATCTTGAAATAGCGTTTAAACTGCCTGTATATGTCGTCATCATACCTGCAACAAGACCCCAGTTGATTGGTAAAATCAAAAGGGGAAAAGACAGCTTTGTAGATATAGTAGTACATGCATGGAGCATGCTCTGTCAAATATGTTTAATACTTCCTTGCTTATTTAAAGCCATATTTACTGCTTAACTGTATTTGATCCTGATCCTCTCTCAAAAACCAGTAGCTGAGAGAAATTGCATTTTGGTACAAAGTAGGGTACATTGAACTGCTGCTTACAAGCCCTGCAACTTTGTGAAGGGGTTTAAGGTTGGCTTAGAAACTGAGAGGAATGTTAAATGTTAAGGGGCTTAACACTGAAATTGAGAAAGTACTGATAGAAAAAAGGTTTTGCTTTTGCAGGTGTTTAATCAAGCATCAAAAAATTATTATAAATAAAATTCATTGCCATACATTTCGAACAGAAATAAATTAAGTAACAACACAAACAGAAACTGGAACATAAGAAAACAGAAGTTCAGAATTTTCCTTCTATATTCATCTGTGATAATTAAAAGAAGTAATAAATTGGTTGTTCTGCAATAATTTTTCAAATTTTCTGTTTCTGGGGGGCTTATGGGCAGCAGTTTATGGTAAATATATGTGACATTCTATCAGCTCTTGAGTCTTGTTTAATGTGAGCTTGAATAAAAGAAAAAAGTTTTCATGAATAATAATTTTTTCCTCATATTCAAGTTCATATTCAAAACAATGCGTAACATGCTTGGTTTTGAAAATGGTTTATAACAGAACTGATTCTCACAAGTGTCCTGTAATCAAAGAAATTGCTGAAAAGAAGCTTGCAAAAATTCAGTCTTTGATGGTATTGGAACCTGTGCCTTCCAGATAATAGTTAGGTGCTACTACCAACTGAGTAACAAAGACAAAATTAGGAGAGAGGCAAGTTAAGTACTAGGTACGTTGCTTCTACAAAAGAAACTTATCTCTGTTATATGAAATAAATCATATTAACCTGCAGATGAAATACAACTGATCATCCTTTCTGAAATGTTTCCCTTTTTTCAGCTGTAATCAACTTACTTTGTTAAACGAAGTCTTGAGGCATCTACTTGGGAAATGAGCTGAAACAACACACAAAAATTACTAGAAAGTTACTATCAGAACAAGAGAAAATTGCGCTCATCATAGCACTTTCTATTTTACGCCCATTTTATTTTAACTCCAGAATAAATCTTACAGACAAGGGGAAATAGTTTCTGACAAAATTACTTCATGACTGACCATGAGTGAATGCCTGTCCCTATCCAAAAATAACAATGAAACCAATGATAATAGAAGCATGAAATGTGCTCACTATAATCTTAATTCTACAGTAATTCTACAGTAAATGGTTTGGAGTTTGGGAGTAACATTTGATTCTGAAATCTGATCACCCATGCGAGGGTGCATTAAGTCCTGAGAGGGACTTTTATTAAACTCATTCATCATTTTCTATTGTTTTTAGGGTTCTGATTTTATAGTGTTAGAAATCTCCTTTATCCCACATGACCAGGCTACTGATACCAAAATATGAAAGCATTCTTTGACAGAAAATAAATAAATAAACCCAATATTTGAATTTAATTTGATAAAAAATCACCATGTTAACTTTAACTATCCTTTGAAAAGGTACAATACATGACTAAGTGGCTGTTTAACAAAAAAATCGGCACTTAAACAAACTTCCTAAACTGTAAAACCACTCACCTTGAAGTATGTTTCAGCATGGTGATGAGCCTTAATGGCCCAGAGCATCTCTGTTTGAGCCTGCAAGAGAATTTTAAAATAAGACTTCCCATAAAATATTATGATGGTTGTCTTAACAGTCCACTTTACAGTTGCATACTTTGTTGCCAAGCCTTTAAACAGGAGTGAGGCTGACGGTGACCTTGTTATGTTACAAATGTTGCTGCTTTTCAAATGTAAATTGCTTTGTTATCATGCTCACTAAATACTGGTCTCTATCACAACAAGGTCACCTTCAGCTTCACTCTAAATCAAAGGCTTAGCAACCAAGTACATAACTGTAAAATGGCCTACTGAAAAAAAAAGAAAATGGTCATCCTGGATCACCAGCTAAAGAAGCCATTTATTGTTTAGGAAATTCTCTTTGTTAGCACCTTACAAATATATCTAAGCTTACAGAAAAAAAACGACAAATTATAAGGTGAAAAATTCCATTTCCTGGGGTTTGTTGAACACAATATGATCCATCCAGTGATTGCTTAATGAACTAAATAACTACAGGTTTAGAGTGAGAATGATTAAGGATTTTATGAGTATAGAACTATTAAGAGGTCACAACATTCTCATCCATTAAATGGATATTGATTATCAGAGGTAATGAAAACTGTATGCAGGTCAGCAAAATATCATGTTTATCAGTACCAAGTAGATAAATACTCTGACAAAGTGTTGAGGTATATGATTGACATACAAGACACAATTAAACCTTTACCTCTCATGAGCAACTAAGACAGAATATCTCCTTACAATATCAATACAATATTATGCAGACAAGAAATGAGAATAAAGAAAACTATCAATCAATAAGGGGATTATTAATTGATCCAATACCAAATTCTCCAAATTAACATTGTAACAAATAGGCCTTGGAAGTGAGAAGGTTAAATCGTGATTATTTCTTGATAATTAAGTTCATTAATTCAATTTTCAGTTAATCATTGGATGATTAAAATCATTCAATAACTGGGTTTGATCTTCATAATTATGTGTATGAATCGCTGCCTGAGAGCTCTGGGGTAAAATTTCCGCACAGCCCCATACTATTGTAAAACAAATCTGTTTTCCCAATGGCAATCTATTGTTTTTGTCATTGTTTTCTCAATCCAAGAACTGAATGCATAATGTAGTATGGGGCTGTGCGGAAATTTTACCAGCTCTGGGAAGCTATCTTACATCTTATATGGATAGAGCATGGTAATAAATACACATGAACAAGTAGAATATTCCTTGAAGAAAATGCATTTCAAGCGTGTTACCCACTCAAAGACCAGAAAAATTACAATTTGCAATTCGAACTTTTCTCGTATCCTGTGTATTGTGCTACGGCTATTCTTTATTGTATTCGACATTTGACGTTTTTGGGGTAATTCTATTATAAAAAGAAAGACAGTCCGAATGTATGGAAAGCATGCTTTTGCAGTTGACATTGGCACGTGCAAGTATTAAGTTGTACTTACGTCGTTCGTGTATTTGTCGGCGTCCATATCAAAACCTGCTCCACCAGTCGAAGCTTAAATACTTCTCAATACAAGTAGCACCAAAATTCGGTTCTAGAAAGAGGTCAATTCCAACTATTAATAATTTCCTTTCCTTATCTTCCAGTTAATCTTCGAAGATGTCTGCTCAAGTTAGTACGTCATGTAAAGGCAAAGTATTTTTAACTTACTGCTTCCCAGGCCTTCTCTTCTAGTTCTTATCATTTGTTTGGCGAGTTGGAAATAAACTATAGTGATAAATAAGTTCAGTTCTGCCAATCATTGCTCAGAAAAAAATGAAGTAATGATGACAAAAAGAGAATAGATTGCGTATTTCCTTAATTCGGATGGGTCAGTTTTGTGTAGATGACCTCAGACAGGCTCAGACACATACCGTCATTAGGCACATCGAGAAGGCTCTCGACTTCTCAGCTCAAGTTGCCCCTAAATCCCCAGCGGGTACTCCCTAGTTATCGTCCACTAGGAATATCCCGCTGGATGGGGTCGCATTCTTAAGACTTGGTGTACTATAGTGGAGTTGCATTTTAGAGAGAGGTGGCAAATTTTCGGGGTTTTGAGGTTAATTAAAAAAATTCTGGTAAGTGGGGCTTAAAAATGGAAAGATTCATCGTTATGGAGTTGTTACCAAATTACCAAAATTGACTAAGATGGGGTCTATAATTGGCCAAAAGAATAGATTATACTTATAATTGGGGGGGAGGGGTGGTGAGAGACCAGCGGCACATATCCAGCAAAGATTAATCCAAGTATTAGACCCCTGTACGTACCCCACCCCTCCACCCAGACATCAGGCCGTGAAAAAAGTCTTCTCCCGGACTACTCTCACCCAGACGATCAGTGACAGACGATCATTTATTAAAAGAATCGCTCTAGCAACGATATGTTTTCGCATATGAACATTTTACAGCGCGTAAAATCCTTAAACATTGCGTGGTATCAGCAACTTTTTATTTTCTTTTCTAATTAACTCAGCGGAGCTCGACATCCAAAAAAGAATTGAAATTTAATAGGCAAGTTCCCATTGTCAGCTTCGTCGAAAAAGTCATTAAAAATAGATTCCGCGGTGTTTACAATGCCACAAAGAAAGCGTCTGGAAAAGCGGGACAATTAACATACTCGGTGTACCGCGTCGCTGGTCTGAAGGTTGAACTTATTAACTGTCGACTGTTCCTCAATTGCCCTCAAACCATGATGTGACAACTTGTATCATGATAATGTGAAACCGCTGATTTTGTTTGATGTCTGCCAGTTAAAAAACACATAGATAAGGAAAGAAGAACTTAGATTCCGCTGTAATTTGGAGGTAAATTTTTAGTTTGCTGATTCATCATAATGTTTGCACACTTATTTAAACGCTTTAATTTGGAGGTAAATTTTTAGTTTCCTGGTTTATGATGTTTGTACACTTGTACGTATTCTGAGAACCACTGAAAGTGCCTATCGCATTCATAGCGAAACGTAGCCATATTTCAAAGCTTTTGAACAGCACAATCCCCCACGGTTAACCAAATGCAGTGAAGAAAAATTTCAAGATTGCATAACTAACGCTACTTCCTTATGATAAATCACTATTATTCATGTTTTAAAGAGTAAGAGTGAAGTTCGAGATTTTTGATGAAGCGCTTCGTATTTGCAGAGCTGTATTTTCGTTTTTGTTCTATCATCAATTAATTCTGTATTGTTGCATGCTGTGTACGTCAGTTTAGCTGAAGCCAGACATGGAGTTACGGGAACAGCTTTTAAAACAAGTTTCGTTGAAGCCATTCCTTGAATTAAGGCTACGTAGTTTTTGTTAACAGAAGCTGTAGTAATATGAATGTATATAACCAGGAGCTTAATAAGAACGACTGAAGCGCGGATTTCCGATTTATTATCTAAAATTTATGATCAGTGCCGTTGTACCTCACTTTATTAGGCAATCATCTGGCTGCTTTCGGTTACAGCTCTTCTCGCTCTTAATGTTTCCGCAGATAGTCTTGCTTCCGTTTATTTAATTTCATTTTACTCCTTTTTTTGGACAACGTTCCCCTTTTTTTTTTTAATCTCCACAAATTTCTCGATAAAATTGCCGAAGAAATGTCCTTCTGATAGGATTTCGTGAGAGGCTTTCATGTTAAAGGAGCAAATGTTTTCCTAAAGCTGCCACTCAATCCCAGTCCCCTTACGCTAACAGAAAGATCAATAAATATCATGAAGTAATTCCTTACAGCTGCTGATGTTGACTTGTGTGCGCGCATCAGGGAAACGTGATTTCATCCACACCAGATATATGGTAAGTTTAATGTCTCTGTCACCAATTTTCCTAAATACTTAGCTGTGTTCCTGACTTTAAAATTGTCAGTTGAAGTTTGTCTGCGTAATGCTTAGGCCTGGAGGGCTGTATTGTGAATTTCTACGATTACTTTCGGTTTCGATGATATGGCCGCTCGAACATTAGCTATTTTCCACGGCGCCAGAGACTAATAAGGACAAATTTAATAAGATTTTTGGAGAGTTGTTAGCTGAAACTTGCTTTTTGTGAACAAACAAGCTACCAGACGGTAAAGTGCCAGACGAATAATTATAATGTAGGTGTTTACGGCATAAAGTGATTTGCATATTTTTTAGTGCATATTTTATGTTTCTAAGTGTTATTGTGAAGCGAGCGATTTTCAGTTTCCAAAATTTGAAAAGTAATACTTTCATTGAACTTTGATTGTCTGATTATGTACAAAGTTCAGCTGGTTGAAGGAAATTCTGCCGTCCAACTTGCGACACTACATCATCTACCTTATCTCGTTTGAATATTTTAGTTTTAGTGACGATTCCCTCTAAGGTGCTAAAGCTCTGTTTATGGGCAGTTTCTTACAATCATATCTTTCTTTTATCATTGGTTTTCGACATGCCTATAAGTAGTTTTCAAGGCCAAAAGACAGACGACTTACAGTTGCCAAAACGAACAGATTTTCAACTCCTCCTTCCGGACCGTCTATTGGTGTTTTTCTTATTACAATGGCTGAACACACCCCCAACAATCCCACAATTTAATTGTTTGGCTCAGCATGTGTCCCCTCTGGGTTAATCTTTATCTTTTGAAGACGACATAACTTTTTCGCCAACCCTCATCTTGGGGCGATCTGTAGAATTTAAAATTACCTGTATCAGTACTTTTATTGTTTCCGATAAAGAAACGGTCAACTGCAAGTTAGTCTGATTCGGCCATATTGTTTTCAAATTATTTTACGTGTACGCTCGAATAAGTTTATTGGGTATTTTTTCCATAAATAGTGCTTTGATGAACCAGGATCAACCAAAGTATATCATTTACATTATAATCAGTGCAATTCACGCTTTGAAAACAGGATATTAAGCAATATTTTCCAAGTTCTGTTAGGCAACATTCAACATTGTACATGTTCCTATGATTTTCACGCTTTCACCTACACAAACAAAAATCTGCGCCTCAGTTGATATCTTGAAGGAAAATCGAACGATTCCATCTCTTTAACTCAGTTCTAAAGAGCAGCAAAAAATATATCAATTCCCAGCTTTTAATATTAAATCTGTTTTAGCAGTTATAATTATTTTGTCAAAAATATATATCAGAATTCGTCTTAAAAGTTATTATTAACATGCATAAGGCTCCTGTAGATGTCTTTTTGAAAGTCCTCTTAGAATGTGAGCCCACTGGTTCACTGCCATTAACCCTTTAAACTCTAAAAGTGACCAGCCTCTAATTTCTCCTAACAATATCACCCCTGAATCAAACATTAACTCTTTAACTCCCAGAAGTGATCAACATGAGACTTCTCCTAGTAATATTCTTACATTATCCAGCAAACAGGTCATGAGAATATTCAAACTTATCAGGAAGAAGTTATTATTTTGATGTAACACCAAATTCTGGTGATAAATTTACATGGAAATGTCTAGGAGCGAGAGGGGAAAATTAACAATCGAGTCTTGGGAGTTAAAGGGTTAAGGTCACAGGAATTGAAGAAATGATCTGCAACTAAAAAGCTCTTGATAGTTAGACAAATTTTCCTCATCAGCATGTTAGGAATTGTTCAGAGAACAGTAGGGAGAATGTGCATACTGATGTTAGGGTGCCAAGGGTTTAGAGGTAAAATTGTAATCTCCCGCTAAGTAGATTTTTTCTAAGACCTTTATTTGAAGCTGTGCATGTGCCAGAAATTTACTAGTAACCAATATATTTTATTTTGTTTTGTCTTGGCAGGTATTGGTACTAAAACAAATCACTGACTGGTAAATTTGAGAGGACTTAATACTCCCATAAAAACCATAACCTCTTACAAGAGGGTAACCGTATGGCTTCAGGAAGTGAGCCTTCTTGTAAGGACCATCCTGCAGAGCTTGCCAAGTTCTTGTGTCAAACCTGTAATGATGTAGTCTGTAGAAACTGTGTTGTTAGGGAAGGTCACAGAAACCATAAGTACATGTCCATTCAAAATGCAAGTGCTAAGGAAAGGGAAGCAATCCAACAAGGCCTTGAAGACGCAAAGCAGAAATTATCTGGTCTTCAAAGATCAATTCTCTTAGTGTCAGAAGTGAAGAAGCAAGTAGAGGTGAGGGCTTCGGAGTCAGGAAGGGAGGTTGATCATCTTATTGATGAAAATATAGCAACCTTGGAACGTAAACGAGCACAGTTGAAAAGAGATATTGCTGCGTTGCGTGATGAGAAAGTCCAACAGCTTCTAAATCAAGAGAAGACAATGAGTCTTGCTTTTGAGGAAATCCATAATAAGGTAGAATGCACTGAACATGCACTGTGTCAAATGTCTGACTTGGAGTTGCTAACCAGCAGGAGCAAATTGTCTGGTCTAACTGATTTCAAAGAAGTTGTTTTGCAAGGGGAGCCATGTCGCACCAGTAATTTTGGCATAGACGTGAATAAATCCTTAGTGGTTGAGCTTATCGTTGACAAGATGGCTTGTGTTAGGGATGAAGATAGTCAACAGCATGATCAGTATGTTCTCAGCATGCTGGGAGGAAAGAATGGACAGATGTTTTCTTCCAGATGTCATCAGAATGCCTACTTCATTGTTTCTGTCAAGGACAGCCAAGGAAGGAACTGCAAAGTTGGAGTAAACCAGGTGAAGGTGAACATAAAACTACCAGGAGATGGTGAGTTACAGAATGCCATCATGGGGAGAAAAGCTGAACACCACACCTTCTCTTACCACCCTAGTGTGATGGGAACCCACACTATACATGTGTATGTGGCCGGGCATTGCATCACCAATGAACCAGTCAAGTGGAAGGTGGAATCTTCATTCTACATTCTTGATTCAACTTGTGCTACTCTCCCGCCAGAAGTATATGACCAGGACAAGGAGTCCTTGACAGGGTATTGGTTCAAACGAGGTTGCCATTCCTGGCAAGTGCGAATTCTTACACCTGACAAGCTCAAAAGATCTTCTGACCACCATGTCTTTGAAGTGGGTGTCACCGATGGTCATCGTACTTGGCGCTGGAGTAATGGTATGAAGTACTACCCAAATTCCTCAGCAATTGTCAGCACAATCAGCAACTGGCAGTGCGGGGATTTGTTCTTGTTTTACCTTGATTTGGATTCGAAGCAACTTGTGATCTACAATCAGCGTTCACATGAGATGGATCACTGGGGTGGAATTCATTCTCCTATACGCCCCTACATCAACCCACAGTCAACTGACTTCTTTGGATTAAATTGAATCAATAATAATACAGGAGCATGCATTCACACATTCATGTCCCCAGACATTAACTCATCTCCCAAAAGAAACCTCATGCATTTTAGACATTAAAAAAGTTGGAAGGAATGGGATAATAAGAATGATAATGAATTATGGTATTTGTTTACTGTTAGTATAAATTTTAATTAATATCAGAATTATAACTATGTGTTGAGTCATGTAGTAGCTATAAATATATATTGTATTCATGTTAGTGCGACACACGCTTACATATGCAAGAGTAGACCATTCACCCCAGATGACACAACTTTTCCATTTCTGTTTCCTGATTCCCATCCCGCACTTGGATGGGAAGCTAGTCCATAACAGTTCATGTACCCCAGTGTTTCATGTCATGAGTTGGTTTTGACAATTTGTTGGTTCTGTTTTTTAATTTTTTTAGATGGAAAGAGTCACTGTCAGAATAAGGTGTCTTGCTCAAGAAAACAATGACTCTGATCAGGGGCCAACTTTTCAAAAGCATTCCTTACAAGTCCTTAAAAGTTGTGTCTTGGTTGCCAATATGGCATTCTTGATAGTTTTAAAATTCAAACCTTGAAAATATCAGGAAAAAAATTACAGAATGCACTGATTTTTGTGATAAGAACCGCATTACTATTTCTTAGATTTTGTGTGGCTTTTTTCCTGTAAATTTACTGCAAGACTCAGTTGTAAACCCTTTCATCTTGTGTACAAGGTGCTAATCATTGGCCTGGCCTGTTTTCTCAAATCATTATAATATCAGTAATGTAATAAATTTCTGTCAGCAACATCAATGGCATGTAGTGTCAAATAAGCCTTGAATGATTCTTATTTATCTTTAGTTAGTGCAGTAATGAATAGAATGCCTACATGTCAAACATGAAGCAGTACACCATTTTAAGATCTATTTTGTGTTCACCAGTTAGCAAGAAACTTCCATTAGGCTGCCTTTTTTAAATATTTACATAGTTAGGAGTTAATTTTTTAAGCTCAATATTTTTTTAAGTCCTCTTAACTTAATGTTTAAACCTCACTTAGGGAAATCTTGTGTGGAGACCACACTTAATGGCTATTAAAGGACTGTAAGTATTCATTTCTATATTATATCCAAGTTTCATGAGTGAATTCATGTAAAAAAGAAAGCTGTAAGAGTCTGCAGGTATCTTAAAGAGTGTCCATTTGATGCAAAAAGTAAGGCAAGTGTGAAAGGGTGATGGTAAGGTGTTACAGAATATAGCCATTAAAAAGTGATGGATCTATGAGATCCGATAAAGTAGCAAGGTTTTGTTGAGTTTGCTGTTTAAACTGGGAGCCTGATTACCCGGTACCAAGTTTGCCGAGCAGAAGATGAATTGTGTGTGCTAAGGGGCAAACTAAGGGGGGGGGGGGTCCTGGTGCCCATACCCCCCCTCCCCACCCATTATTTTAAATCAAGAATACGCAAACCTTATAATTCAGGCCTCAGTTGTTTAATGGATGGATAACACTATCAACTGGGTCATATTTTTAAGGGCAATTCAGTACAACTGCTTTGCATTCCTAATAGCAATGCAAATCTGCAATGCTTTCATTCCACATAACAGAGCTTTGATAATGGATTTGGCTCTGATCCTTAAATTCCACTCTTCATTGTGACAAAAGGGTGTATGGAACAAAAAAATATTTCATATAATTGACAACAGTTTGTTTTAAAAGACAAGTTGTTATCCTCACTCAAAGGGAATCTTGATCTAGTGGGTAACCCACTACAATTTGTCAAAAATTATCTGCTAGATAGTGTTTTATCTGCTGGATATTGATTTATTGGTTGGATATGACCAGTCCTTTGCACCACGTGAATACGAACCCCCTGATAAACAAGCTAAAGCAGTAGTAACAGCCTCACTCAGAAAAATCCCAGCTATGATCTTAGTACTAATGTTCTCCAAAGATATTCTAACAGTTTAGGTTAGAGATGTTTGAAATATAGAAGCAGCAAATTAGTTCAGATACACATGATGGATGAAGTCACCTAATGGAGGTCGCTCTTCTCCTTAGAGGGCCAGACATGACAGATGTCAGATGCATTTCGTAAGTGTATGTGAGTCAAAGCGAATTGCTGATCGGGAGCCATGATAGAATACCTACAGCCCTCTCTTGGCCAAAAGGACAACCCCTTTGGTACCTCGACACAGATTCCGCAGGCTTTACTCGCCATATTGTATAAACGAAACGGCACAAAGTGAATTTGTTACCGAGGGTGTAGCTAGACCTTTTTTAAGTGAGAGTAAGGAGGGCGCGAATGAATGTCATAGGAGTCTGAGATACGCCCCTCTCTCAATTCAAACGTACACAACCAAAGCAAGGGACTAGTTTAGTTTAAAAAAGGACTTGCACTTCACCGTTTATGACACAATGTGCGCTTCCCCCTGCAAAACAACTAACAAGCTCAAGTTGAGCTGTACTTTGCGTTGATTTTCTTAAAATCTAACAATTAGGAAAAGGAACTCTAGTTTGATGTCTTTTTTATTATACATAATTTTTTTTCAAGTCTACCCAACGCTGTTATGCTTCTATGAGGCTGCATTCTTGGCTCCCTAAAATTTTTATATGTAGCTTCTACTGAATGAGGAAAACCCGATCACCCTCAGTGAACGTAGTCTGTCCACTCTTGGTGCAACTAATTAACAATAAAAAACTAGAAATAAGCAACAAATCCAAACTATAATAGACTCTAACGACTTCCTTCCAAATGAAACTTAAGCTATGCTTAAAAAATTATCATCTTGTCTAAAACTACCTTTAAAAAGGACACTTACTGTTAAAAATTAAATGTTGTCTTCTATACAACGTTAAAAACAATTACTTCCTAACTCGTCATAAAGAACTCCTTCCATCGATGGTATTTAGTTGCTAAGCAACCTTTTTTCCGTATCCTTCGAATAAAACAGTCGGATGCTCAGGTCTTGTGCTCCACTAAGACAGTTTTTTTCCTATTAAAAAAAAAGCGCAAAAAAATGCAAGGCTAATAAATTTGATTATCCTTACGCGCGGGAAAATCTTGCACCTAATTGGTTGCAATTTAACAGATCAAAGGCAAGCGCTTTTTTATCTAAAGCAGATTACAAAGCGACATCATCGGCTAACTGGATGAAAACAAGACGGGAAATTTTGACTTCCAAATTACTTAAATAATTATAATTGCTTAATTGCTAAATTAATATCACATAGTACTCATTCTCTTGACGCCAGGTTTGCAAAATGGTGTTATTTCGTCTTCATCTTCCTCTTTGTCTTCGTAGACACTGATTCGCATTTTCTGTGAGGCAAGCTCTCTTTCTTCCTCTTCATTATCATTTGGTGAATTGAAGTCGTTCAACGCAAATATATCCTTTGTATTTTTAAAGCCCTCACGTTCTCTTCTTTTTTGGCTGATTTTCTGGTAATTTAAGAAGAATGGAAGAAATTTGCATTCAATAACATGTTCTTCTCCATAATGTTATCACTACATAGCCAAAGTACCCCTCTCTAAAATAAAGACCGTTCTCTGTCTGTTCTATATTGATGTTTATAGACTTCATAGATCCGATTATGAAAAAATTCTATACTTGCAACGCTCACGTAATGTTTTAGGAAGAAAGCGACAAAGCTGCATCATATGCATAGGTGGATCGTTTCCGTCCGAGGTAACTTGTCCGTCCTTAATCAAAATTTTTTTGGCGTTGAGATGCACCAACTAAAAATTACATCTCTCTCCCCTTCACTACTTCAGTATATTCTAATTCGTTATAACTCTCTTGCCTCATCTCCCACCCTGCGAATCTAACGGTCAAAGAAGCATTTGCAAATACTAACCTTGTATATTACGAAGCCAATGACCATAACTACCAAACCCCCAAACGCTGCGGCAGCGAACACTTTTAAAGGAAACTCATTCTTTCGTGGCTGTGTCCCTTTGACAGCCGCGACGCCATCTTCTTCTTCTTCCTCTGTCTCCATCTCAAACTTTCCGATTTTTCCTCTCTTTTCTGACAAGATTTTATTAAACTCATCCGACGTTGCTGAAGATTCCAATTTCGTGTGAATAAGGTAATTACATACGATGCTTCCTTTCGTAAAGTTAACAACTTTTACGAAAAGAAAACCAGATACTTCTTTGAAAATATTGTCCAACGCGTCTTCTAAATCACTTGCTAATTTCGCAAACTCTTCCGAAGAAGGATCGGTTAATCCCTCAGTAAATTCCATGTTTATGATTGTAAGCTTTGCTCTCCACACTTTACTGGGTGTTGGACTGATAGGTTTTTCTGTACCACTGGTACGAATCACCGTCGTGGTCGATTCAACGTACATCGATGTAGTTGACGATAATGAAGGAGATGATACAAACTTCTTTGACGGTGCTGCCGAGGATGATGGGGATGGTGTTGATGAGAGAAGACGTTGTAGGAATGAGAGGGGCAACGATGATGACCAAACAGATATCGATATCATCGATGATGGAGATGGCGACATTGATGATGATGATGATGAGGAGGAGGAGGAGGAAGATGACGACGACGGGAGAACAGACAGCGACGAGGACATTGACAACGATGCTGATGACGAGGAAGATGACCAAGCAGAAATCGATATCACCGATGATGGAGATGGCGACATTGACGATGATAATGATGATGAGGAGGAGGAGGAAGATGGCGACGACAGGGGAATAGACAGCGACGAGGACATTGACAACGATGATGATGACGAAGAAGATGACCAAGCAGAAATCGATATCACCGATGATGGAGATGGTGACATTGATGATGATGATGATGATGATGAGGAGGAGGAGGAGGAGGAGGAAGATGGCGACGACGGGGGAATATACAGCGACGAGGAAATTGACAACGATGAAGATGACGAGGAAGACGACCAAGCAGAAATCGATATCATCGATGATGGAGATGGTGATATCGATGATGATGATGATGATGATGAGGAGGAGGAGGAGGAGGAGGAAGATGGCGACGACAGGGGAATAGACAGCGACGAGGACATTGACAACGATGATGATGACGAGGAAGATGACCAAGCAGAAATCGATATCATCGATGATGGAGATAGTAACATCGATGATGATGATGATGATGAGGAGGAGGAGGAGGAGGAAGATGGCGACGACGGGGGAATAGCCAGCGACGAGGACATTGACAACAATGATGATGACGAGGAAGATGACCGAGCAGAAATCGATATCACCGATGATGGAGATAGTGACATTGATGATGATGATGAGGAGGAGGAGGAGGAGAAGGAGGAAGATGGCGACGAGGGGGGAATAGACAGCGACGAGGACATTGACAACGATGATGATGACGAGGAAGATGACCAAGCAGAAATCGATATCATCGATGATGGAGATGGTGACATTGATGATGATGAGGAGGAGGAGGAAGATGGCGACGACGAGGGAATAGACAACGACGAGGACATTGACAACAATGATGATGACGAGGAGGAGAAATGCGAAGACGAGGATGAAAATGGCGATGAAGATGTCTCTATCTCAAACTTTCCGATATTTCCTCTCTTTTCTGACAAGATTTTATTAAACTCATCCGATGTTGCTGTAGATTCCAAGTTCGTGTGAATAAGGTAATTACATACGATGCTTCCTTTCGTAAAGTTAACAACTTTCACGGAAAGAAAACCAGATACTTCTTTAAAAATATTGTCCAATACGTCTTCTAAATCATTTGCTAATTTCGCAAACTCTTCCGAAGAAGAATCGGTTAATCCCTCAGTAAATTCCATGTTTATGATTGTAAGCTTTGCTCTCCACATTTTACTGGGTGTTGGACTGGTGGGTTTTTCTGTACCACTGGTACGAATCACCATCGTGGTCGATTCAAGGTACATCGATGTAGTTGATGATAATGAAGAAGATGATACAAACAAGAAGGAAGATGATGAAGAGGAAGATAAGGAAGGTGAAGAGGGCGAAGACACGGACGATGATGATAATAAGGGGCCGAAGGAGGAGGAGGAGGATGGCGAAGAACTGGGCAAGGATGATGATGCAAACGAGTTAAAGGAAGCTAAGGATGATGATGACGAAGAGGCTAAGGTGAAGGTAGAGTTGAAAGATAGGGATGGCGACAAGAACAAAGATGAAAACAAGAACGGTAAAACTGATGATGACGATGATGATGTTGAAGATGAGTTGGAAAATAAGAGTGACGAAGAGACTGGTGTCGGTAAAAATACTGTTGGTGAGGAGAAGGAAGAGGTTGCTAACAATGATGAGAGTAAGGGAGATGGAGAAGATGATGATATCGATGTTGACGAAGAAACCAATTGAGAGGGGGAGGTTGACGAATAGGAAGACGAAGGTGATGGTGAGAGGGACAAAGATGAGCTTAATGACGAGGAGATATCAGAGGAGACGGGGGAGGAAAAGAAAGGGAAGGATGGCAGCGAGAATGAAGATGAGAGAAAGGGGGGGGAGTAGAAGGACGAGGGGAATATGTTTGATGACGAGGAAGATGGAGATGATGAGAGGGACGTGAATAAAAACGATGCTGATGGAAAGGATGAGATTGGAGTGGTGAATGGGAAGGAGCGTAAAGGAGAGGGTGAGGATGGGGATAGCAGCAGGGGGGTTGAAGAGGAAGACGAAGAAGAGGAGGAGGTAAAGGTGAAGGAGGAGGGGTAGGTTTTATCTTCGGTGGATGTAGCCTCACCATTCTGCCAGACACTTTTTAAGGCTAAAGATTCGACTTGAATTTTCTGTGTTGACTTGCTAGTCACAAATGGTGCATAGCTTTTTTTCGGCCCTGCATTCAAGCTCGATTTTGGAATGAAGCCATCGTTGTAAAAATTTGTCGTATTCGCTGACTTCGACCCAACAACTGACGAGACAAACAAGAGGTTTTCAGTGTGGTCGGTTGTGAGGGATGGTGTGCTTGAGCGAATTAATTGGGTTGTGGATGGCAGTCGACTCGAAATTCCAAGCTGTCTACTTTTGGGTTCAGTGGAGCCGGCAGAATGAGAATGAGAAACCAACGAACCATCTCCGCCAAAGGCGGTGACTCCTATAAACAAGGACAGCGTAAATTGGTAGATCGGTTTTCATAATGAAATCAAACAAAATCATTACATAATCTGCAAAAATGACAATCTTTGTCTTTCTCTCTAATCATGAATAAGTTTGGTCGTCCTAGATTTAGAGGGAACGTTCCGGGTTCTTTTACCAGTGGTCTTATTATAATTACCGTGCAGAACATATGAATGAGCTATTGTCAAGTGGCCATTAATTTGCATCATAAGTTCCACGGACAAGTCACGATTGTTTTAAGTCCCATACGATAAGTAAATAGACATTTTTAACTTAAGTAGTCGGCAATTGCGTAATATTGTTTCTGTCTCACCGAAGACTCGAGAAAACAAAGCCCCTTTGGCGTTTTGTCTATGATTGAATAAAAAATAGATTAACTGACACGCAAGTTAAAATTTTTCTCGTCTGTTTTTTACTTACGAAACCCGTAGTTTCTATGCGTTTCTATCCCTGAATTTTCGTTATGATGTTATGTATCTAAGACAGATAGTTTGAGTGAAATTATAACCGGTTTTCTCTTTAAAAAGTATATTTATCAGACACTTAGCGTCCTAGACAAAAAAATTAAGTATTGTTTTTATCGCAAGTATAGAGCAAGGATTTCATCGCTTGTGACGTGCAGCTCACTTGTGCGAGGATTCGACATGGCGATCTCAGCTGAGCGACTTAAAGAACAAGGCCGGAAACTAACTTGGTGAGAATATTTTCACAGCTAACCTCTGAATTTAGTAGTCTGGCATTAGACCACGACACAGAATTATAGTCATCAGGTAGACCTAATTTTAGTTCAGTCAACGTAAAAAAAATCATCTTACCAAATTTATCATTTCGATTTGATTCGAACCTTTCTCTTGACACAATGGGTCTAGTCGTGAGCTCGACCCGCCCGACCTTAATTATTTTTCTTATTATTTACAGAAAACTCTCTCATCGACGTGAGACCTTTTTGTCTAGCTGACTATCTTGACTCATAAAGCTACTTAGCTGGTAATTTACAACTGCTGGCTGAATTCCTTTTGCATCTCTTAAACGACTGAAAAAAAGATCCTAATGTATTAAACACAGTACTTCTACTGAGCGAGACAGTTTTCAGGAATCTTACCTCTAAAAAGGATTAACAAAGGAATTGCCATATTCCACAGCGACCAAACGAATTTTTCCATTATTAAAGGAAGATCAGATCCGTTGTCTTTAACAGTCTAATCTCGCGATCAGTGAGACTCGTAAGTTATTTCAACGGGGCCCTGGAAGACAAAATTCAATCAAGACACTTCCAAGTTTTCTCACGAGATTGTAACATAAAGCCGCATTGTTTGTCTTCTAACGCAGCAGGGATCAATTCAATCTGTTGACGAACTAAGATCATTAAGTTGATCCGTTGGCAAAACAAATCATACTGAATAAATCCGTTTATCTATGTGAAATCCGATCGATATTTTCTCTGTAAGTTTTACCGTAATCTGAACTTCCTTATTTAAATTAACATGCGGAAAGATAACTTCGAGGTCATATCTGGACGGGTGCCAAGAAAACATGTGTGAAGGAGGGAAACTATTATATCATAGCTTAGAAGTGCGTTTCGACGCGATAAAATTAAATTAATTTTACATCATGGACTTCAACATGATTAATTATCTTTAAATTACCTTGAGCTTGGCAAGTGGCTTGGCTTTTCTCAGAGGAGTCAGTTATTACTAAGAAAAAAGAGTATCTACTCCAACTGCGTGTGGTGTTTCTGCGCAAAAGAGAACTTTAAGTCGCACTGACTCTGATAAGTACTGCCCCTGGGTAGTAATTGTCAATTCTGGGCGACATCGTGGAGCCTGGACAATGATCCGTGTTTATAATTGCAGTTAGACCGTAACAAGTGCTCGAAAAAATGCAATGACCCGAAGTTAGGTGCAATGAGGGCACCGCGTCAGTATTGGCAGTAGTACAACAATTTGGTTTTTTTGTACGATGTTCCATCTTTACTATTTAAAGCTGTCACTCATCAACTAATCAACGGTTAAATTATGAGATAAATTCTATCGCGTGATACCTGAAGAGGGTGATGCCCAAATTAATATCACGCAAAGAAATTGAGAAAGAATAAACTAATTGTTTCAATAGAAATGCACCAAAAAATAAAAACAGGCTCACGTTTTGATTTTATTGCGTATACAACCATGATCTTTAACAGAATATATAGCGTAGCTAATCAGATTGCAGCATCTGTAAGTGAAAGCTCGTAGATTTATGCTAAATTGGTGTAAGAATATTAAGAACGCCTCTGTTAATTGACGGACTCATGACTGAATGACGTAAAAAAACTTTATTACTGTGACAACGGGTAATGCAATTCGACTAAGTTCAGAGCCACCTCGATGGGAGGTTTAAAATTTTCCGTTTTTACTTGTGGCTCCGTAGGCTTGGTTTGCCTTGCATATACAAGCACTGGTCTTGAATCTATCTCATTCCTCGATTCTAGTGCCTTCTCCCGCCCTAATCCAAGCCATATGACTGAATGACCGAAACCAAACTCGTTAGGTAGCATAATTCAGTTTCATTCTGGCTTAATTGCTGTAAGACCATTTTTGTTACTGGGATACCTGTGGTAGCCCAGTCATAAAATGCCTTTTTTTTTGTCGCCACAAAATGGAAAAATTGTGCAATAGTACCCAGTGGTCATTGGGCCCTCAACACCATGACAACTAACTGTGATCGAATGAGGTGTTCACATGCTGATCACGCGTGTTATCTTGATGATGATTGACGTTGTCATGCACGGACAGGGCCGGGTCACATGTCGGTCTTTCGTCTGTCGTTTTGTATTTCAACGTGTATGGATTACAACCACCTAGAGCATTATGGCGCAAACGCTCAAAATACTGACAGACGCATACACAAGTCGTATTGTTCGCGGTTAATCCACACTAAAAGATGTTATTGACCGGTAATTTTGGAACGGATTGAGTCGCGAACGCTAGAAAGCTATGAAAGCCTTGAATGCCTTGTATGCCAAGTATGCCAACGTCTTAGTTGAAAAACGTACACTTGTTGTAAAAAGCAAATTCTGAAATCTGAAACCAAACTGCATATACTCTATGCAATCTACTGAACAACACTACTACCGTGAGACTGAAGAACAAAACTCTAATGGATGCAAACTGCTTGAGAAACAAGCGACTGAATACAGGAATGGCTCCGACCTGTGATTGGATGATAAAAATAGTAAAAGTTAATAACTTATATCTTAACTCCTTACACGTGAGTATGGTTAACCGCGTGTCTCGAAGCGGAACAATGAAATATCAACGTGAGAACACCGATGAGTCAAACAAGAAATGGCTACTTAATGGCATACATAATGAAGAGAAGGCAGAGTCTAGCTTGTTCAGCGAGGTCGTTCAGCGATATTCCGGCGATGGAAAAGTCATCTGCTGACTAGCTCCGGTGACTAAATTCATTTAGTCAGTTCACGCGCACGACCAGAGACTGGAGCCATTCCTGTATTTCACCGCAGACAGGAATAGCTCCAACTCAATTTTAATAATTTTTCAATAATTTTTCAATAATTTTTTAAACAGTTTTTAAAAAAAAAAATTTGAAACGTAACTAGTGAGCAGCGCTATGCGAGCAGTAGTTTTAAAACAGATGAAGAGCCCGATGAATGGATTTGTCCTTCATGTGAACAATAACCTAGAAAATCAGTTTTCCACGAAAAAAACTCCCTCGATTGTGGCTAAGCCATATTTCTCCAGCAGAGCATACTGTAAATTAAAAACATCGGTCGCAGCGTCACGCAACATTGCGTGATTTTCCAAACGTAAGATGCAGTTGCTGCATTATTTTAAAACTTAGGAAGCCCTGTAGTAAGAAAAGAGGGCTTCATTTGCAAGCACTGTAGACTTCAACTTAAGAAGAACCTAATAAATCGCTCTTTCAGTTTTTATCTCAGTGTATGAATTATTTAGCCAGAACGAAAAAAAAAATTAATACACGCATGAGTTGGAGCCATTCCAGTCTGCGGTGAAATACACGAATGGCTCCAGTCTCTGGTCGTCCGCCTAAACTGACTAAATGAGTTTATATATATATATTTTATAAAATAATTCAAATAGTACGCGCGCTCTGATTGGCCATAAAACCATTTTATATAAGCGTATGTAAACACGGTTTTCGTTCCTCTTTCATTAGTTATTTTATAAAAGAAATGTAAAATGGTTTCCGTGTTTGCATAGCCTGATGTAAACACTTGGGAGGTTGGGAGAACACTCGATGAGCTGGAAACCACTCCGCTTCGCGTCGTGGTTTCCTACGCTTATCTCGTGTTCTCCCAACCTCCCGCGTGTTTACATCAGGCTATGTTAACACGGAAACCATTTTACATTTCTTCAATATTTCACGATCAGAAAGGTTAATCTTATGTTTGTTTTCATTGTAGTTGTATGGATATTCCTTTTGAATAAATACATGATCCAAAATCCTGTGTTTTTTGTGTATAATGTTATTATGTTAAGTATTGTTTACGCAATCGCTTGTCACAGGCGGCCCATGCTCACGCCTCGAGAAAAAGCCAACGATTAATTCATGAACGCGTCACGCGTTGTGTGACTCAGTGTTAAATTACGAGAGGAACCGTTGAAAATTTGAACACGTTATAAAGAATAGTATAGGAAACGAAATATAGTCGATTTACAACGATAAATATTTCGAAATATGAACATTTTTCTCGTAAAATCAATAAAACTTACTCATACCCTGTGTATCCGTTGTAGTTTCTGGCGATTTCTGCCGTTTTAAGCTTGCTTTACCATCACTGTTATTCACGTAATCTACTTTTATTACGTTGGTAAAATCTGTACAGACATCACACCAACCAACTCGCGCGCAAAGTAAGAAGACTGTATTGAAGGCTTGAAATTATATTACAATCGATTTTCATCAAGAAACGGGCCAGGAATTTTCCACAATAGTGCAAATAATCGTGAAGGCTGATCGCGGAAAAGTGATTGCGTGACGCTCGGTAAGCTGCAAGATAACATGTTATTATATACCAGACGTAAAAACTCTTCAGATTCTCAGTCTGCATTTTGTACCGACTCTGCATTCTGTAGTCTATATTTCGTATCCGGTCTGCTGTCTGCATCTTGTACTAACAGGTATCCGTAGCACCAATACAGTCAATTTTTGGTTACATTTATTCGCACAACACACTCAATCTACCACAAAATACCTGTGTGTAAGGTAATTCGACATTTTCGTCCTTTCCGCGTTAATACTCTTCTTTCCTTTTGTAAGAATGTAGACCACTTACAATATTTCAAGTAATCCACCCAGCCTACAAAAAATAACTCTTGCATGCATAGCATGCCTATGTTTTGAAATAGATGTATGCCCTGTGGTTGGTCGGTGGGAGACTTGAGCTGGGTTGAAAACTATTTCAGTATACTGAGTTCGACAGCCCCGTCAGAGTATCACTGGGCACTTGATTCCAAGGATCCAGTACCACCCAGGTATCCCAGTTACCTCGTTGCTGGGGACAGGGGGATTTGGAATCTAGTTAGGAAAGGCCGCTTGTAGAGTATGCCCTTCTGGACAAGGTTTTAGTTTTATGAGTCGGAGGTATCCCAGGTTACGAGAAAAGGTTTTAGTTTTATGAGTCGGAGGTAGGTTACGAAAATTGTGATTGTCGTCTTTGCTCTGTCAGCTGATGATGCCTATATATGAGCCCGTAATACATGAGGTGTTCTGAAAATAGGCGTACACATAAGGTTGAAGTAAGTAACCGCTAGTCCAAATGCGAGCCTTCAGCTCGTGTATCCTTGATGTTTCCACGACCCTTTGTCGTTTTATAAAATTTTCAAAAACGTTTCGATTCATCGCAGGTTTGAGTACGTTACTCTTAATTCTAGTTAGCTAAGGATATTATCTAAAGGTATGCCGCGGAGTAGAAGTCGTAGCCGCTCTCCCCGTGGCAGAGGTAAGTCTCGAAAACATCAAGTATTTTTTTTTGTTTCTCAACTGAGAAGAGGAATTATTTGTAATCGTAATTGAAAGAAATAAAGCTCTCTTCAGCGTTATGCTTTCATATCCTACTTTGACAGTTTTTACAGAACGTAGACGTAGTCGATCACGTTCAAAAGAACGAAGAAAAGATGGTAAGTACCCAAATTGGATAGTTCTGCTTAAGATCTGCTCTTTGGACACTCGAGCTAAGTTCTTTTCTCAGAAAGTTAGAAATGTGATCGTCATTTTGAAATTCAAAAAGGAAATGGGTCCTTAAATAAGGGTTAAAAAATGTAAAACGTGTTCACCCTTAAACCCCTAAGAGTTAGACCAGAATCTAATTTCTCCTTACAATTTTACTGCTGAATCAATCATTAAGATCACAAGGATAAAGGAAAATGATCACCAATCTAAGAAGCATCATTGTTAAAAGAATTCTCCTTGTCAGTACCAAAGGAAATGTATAGAGAAGAGTATGGAGAATATGGATGTTGATGTTCAAGTGTAAAGGGTGAAAGTATAAGAATGATTTTGGACACAAGAAATCTTGGTTAATCTTCCTTATGTGAAGTATTTCTAGAAATGAGGAATTGAAATTGTTTTTGATGTTTTTTTTCAAGAAATTTAAAACAAGAAACAAGGGCCCTTAACACCAGAATTGAAATAAGACATTTGTTCCTTGAATGGCTAAATCTAATGTTAAAGTGAGATTTTAAAATTTCATCTTGTGGATCAACACTATTTAAATTTACCTTGCTTACATATGGCCATTTCATTAGTAGATCGCAGACGAAGCAGATCCAGGTCACCAAAGCGACGAAGACATCGTTCTTTTTCAAGGTGCAATGACAGATGCATAATTTTAGTTTGTCAGCATGACAAAAGCCTTGGATATTCAGATTTTCATTTCCTGTGTTGCATTAAACTGTTATCATATACCACCATGAAAAATATCTTAATCAAAGATAAACATTAAACACAATGTGTGTTGTTAATTAAATGCAATATTAGGAGTAGGCTTCTGTAAGTTAATACCCTTGCTGTCACTCACCACTGGTCATTTTCTATGAGAAGTTGAACTGAACATTGTAGGCTCTTAATTTTAGGTCATAGATTGTTTTCACTTTGGAGTCTAATTAATTTTCAAATGCATGTGTTAACCCTAAATACTTTATATTTTATGGTTTCTGAACCAGTAGAACATCACAATGAGAATCCCATATCATTTTGAAAGGCTTATAAAATTATCTTGCTTCTTGGAGGTTAAGACAGTTAGACAATTTCAGGCAATGGAGATAAATCATATGGTTGGATTTGCAAGCAGGCATGATAAAGGGAATCTTATGTTTTAATTGGCTCACAGAGTGCCCACCTAATTATCAACATTAATCCTGTTACCTACATATAGCTTAATCACATACTTCAAAACTTTTGACCAACTTTTTTTTATCATGTGAAGAAATGTTTTGGGCAGTTTGGGTAACAAAAGAGTCTTAAACACATCTATGTATATCCAAATCAAAGAAAGCTCTAATGTGTTTGATATTATTTTTATAATTGGCAATTATTTGGTGAAATATTTTAAGCAAGGTTGTCAAAAAGATTTGAAGTAGAAGGAGAATGTAAGAAAGTAGGCAGCACTGGGGGCCAGAGGCCTCCCATGCTAGGTGGGGGGTCTGGGAGCTGCCAAGGCCCCCAGCAGGGTACAGGGGAAGTGGCGCCTGAAGCAAAACGAATGTAGGGTTTTTCCACCAGCTGAAATTGCCTCTCCTTGAAGCAATTTTTATATGTTTGCACTATTCTAACTGGCAACAGTTAACATTCCTTTTACCACTCTAAGAAGATTTAATCATTTTTATTAGTGAGTTCAAAAAAAGAATTTAGTAGTCATGTGTCAGTCAGTCAGTCAGTTTAGTAGTCACATGTGACACACGGCACAAATTTTTTTGTGAAAGAAAAAAAATTTGGAGTACCAGTGCTTTCCTGCAAAGTGTACAGTTAGTGTAGAATTGAAAGAGACTACTGGTTTCAAACAGGATTCCATCTTCTTTCGATTTTTCCTATGACTCAAAAATACTGTTGCTATCTTGCCATTGGTACAACTTGAAATCTTTATCGTATTTTGACCATGAGAAATTATTTGACGTGATGTTGCTTATCAAAACGACGGTGAATTTCAGAATTGTATTAAAGTGCAAATGACTCAGAAAGTGCTAGTTTAAGATTATTTCCCATTTAGTTTTTAAGCGAGATACCAAATTAGTATCAAGCATCAGTGAGTTCACAGAAAACTACAGGCAATCATTTTGCATCTAGTTGTGTTGGCGGGTATCGGATTACATCTCGTGAAAATCACTGAGAAGCGTTCTGAAATACAAAACACTACAGTATTTCCGATTCTTGTTTTGTTGCATTTTCTTTTCTTTATCATTACTCCACAATATGAGGCACTTCATTCTTGGTTTCAGTAGATTCAAAACCTTGCTTTTTTCCTTATGTTTTCTTTCTCCTTTTTTTTTTTTTAACTGACAAACTGTAGCCGGCACAAATGAAAAAGTAGCCGGCGCTTTTTGACAACCTTGTTAAGCATGTTAAAAAAATCTTTTATTGACCAAGCTTTAGGAATAAATGTTTATCAATAAGGGCCTCATTCCCTCTCTCTTTTTTTGCATCTGAATGGATGTAGGCTAATAGTATCATGGTTTTTAGAGACAAGGACACACCATTTTAAATGTTAAGATCCATATTAACCTAAAAAGCTTACTCGTAGTGCACATAAAAGTTTTCAGTCATGGTCATCTCTGAGGGGTATTTAATAGGAGTTTTTTAACACAGTGTATTCAAAAGAAAAAATTGTGATTTGGAAATGAGGTAGTCACTTGTAAAAAGTGGTAAAGAAGAGAGGTTTGAATGTATGTTTTCTCCAAATTAAATCTTCTTCCTCTTTTGTTTTAGATCCCCTTCCCCAAGAAGACACAGAAGGTAAATACATTTTAATTTGTAGTTGAATACGACTTTACACTGGCAGAACTACATATAGAATCTCTTTCTGTGTAAATCTTTCCCTTTTTGTCTTTAATGGAGGGAAACTGGAGATTCTAAGTAAAACTTATCACAGCACAGATAAAAATGAAGATGGTGCTTAACCTAGAAATGACTAAGTTGAACCCCAACCATGTAAGAGAGAGGCAGACAGTCTTGCAAATCCATCATCTCTCATACTGCCTTCATTGTGAGTTTAATATCTTCAAATGCTGTCCTTACATGTACCATGAGGTATTAAGTCATATGGCACCAGGTCCTATGCTGGTTGTTTTTTACCTAAAAACTACAAAACTATTAGATAAGTGGAGGATAAAATTATGCCAACTTGCTACCTGGAAGAGTGGAAATGAAAAGACTGGCAAACAAACGATATGAATTCACATTTTTGGATCAAACCTTTGTAACTAGTTGCATTCTTCAGGTTGCCAATTAAGTTAGGTTATCTTGAACTGAGTGCCTTACACCTTTTTTCATTCTCAGATATTTTTTGCCAGATATGGGACATAAAAGAAGGAATTGTACTTTAAAAAAGTTCCTTTCCTGAATTAATTTTCTCTAAATTTAACCTTATTGTTGCAACTGGCAGTTTACTTTTAAGCCAGCTATTCATATTTAACACTGAAGTATCTCTTGATTCTTCTAGCCACTTGAGTGGCTTACAACAAGTGTTTAAAGCCATGAATATCACCTACGCCATGGTTTTTCAATGTGTTGATAATGCTGTCCATCAGATATCCACTTGGTATGTTTTGAAGAACAGACAAAGTATCTGCTGTTATGTAAAGTTTTTTCACAAATTATCCACAAGTTGAGTCAACACAGAATCGGTCATTAGGGAGGGGAGAGGGGGTGTGGGTTGCCCAGTACTCCTCTTTGACCTACAATAGTTTTTGGTAAAGTCAATATCATGTTAAAATGTTTATTTCAGGTTTGAGGACATGGGCAAATCAGGTTAATCTAGATGGCTTTAATCTTTTTCAGTGCTAGATACAGCGGTAAATTGAAGACCAGTCTTTTTTGTAGCATGACAGCAACCCCTTTGTGAATAATTTTAGGTTTACCAATGGAAATCATGGCTTTATGATGGTTCACATGCTGGACACAGGTTTCAGAGATTCACATTCAAGCTCTGACTGTGTGATTTGTGACTGTGTGATTTCTGACTGTGTGATTTCTGACTGTGTGATTTACTTTAAATTCTGCCATTTAGGAGTAGAAATGGAAACCAGGAAACTATCTGGGAAACTTAAAAAATTCTACATGGGTTCCATGTGATGGTCTAATACTCTATCCATTTTCTGCAATGGGAACAAGGATACTATACTTCTTGCTTCTGAAACCAGGCTGAGCTCTTGATCAGCAGTTATGCAAGACTAAATCCCACCACTGTTACAAATTTCATGTACCAAGTAATAAAAAAAAATTACTCATAAACTGGCTTGCAATATTAGTTGATTACTAATTCTTTGTTACCCTATTTGCAGATCACAGTCTCCAAGGAGAAGGAGGTCCAGGTGAGGCAAAATATAAGACCATGCCAATAGTCATATGCTAAAGAAAGGGCCTTGAAAAGTTAGGAATGAAGGCAACCCTTGGCCATAGGGAGACAAAACTGAAGATATTTTACACTGATTTTGATTTATGTCAACTTCATATTTGAGTATATTGATTGTATTTTCATTTTATCATGCTGGGGGAACGACTTCAAATCCAGTTTTTTGACTATATGACAACAACTTTTGCCCCTGAGATGAAGATTTCCAGGAAAATTTCTTTAAATATTGGGACTCATTCATACTTTTTCAGTTTACAAATTGTGGTTTTATGATTCTATTAGATCATCATCACCTAGGCGCTCCAAAAGATCACGTTCAAGGTGAGTGTTTGACAAATCTGTGTTCCTGGTGCTTTAAAAGCCCCTATATTATATTTTTTGTATGATTGTATCAAAGTGATATTTACCTATGTAAAGTGTATTAAATCGGAGATGTACAAGCTTAACGGTTAACCCTTTACACCCTAACATCGGTGTGCATATTCTCTATACTGCTCTCTATACATTTCCTAATGTGCTGGCAAGGAGAACTTGTTTAACAATCAAGAGGTTCTTCAATTAATTATCATTTCCTTTATTCTCATGACATTGATGTTTGATTCATGGGTAAAATTAAAAGGAGAAATTAGATGTTAGTCACTCATAGGGATTAAAGGGTTAACATACTGGACTCAGGGTTGAGAGGTCTGCTTTGGAGACATAGCGGGGTCATTGTGTTGTGTTCCTGGGCAAGACACTACAGTTGAACCTTGATTATCCAGACCTCGATTATCCGGACTATTTGGTTACCTGGACTTTTTTCTCTGATCCCAATTTTTTCATGAATATTAATTAGTTGTGATCTTGAAAACTCAAAGTCACAAAAAGCCCAATAATCCTTTCAAAAGACTGTTGAAACAGCGTATTATCCTGTGCACTTTTCAAAATTTGAAAGTGCAACAAGACAAAGAAATGTTCTGTTGCGTTCAGCTGATATCTGATTGGCTCAATTGTTTTGTTGCCAAGGGAATTTCATGCTTGATTAGTACCTTCGGCATGGGTTATGTAAATACACAAGCAATCAATTGTAAACTCAAATCAGAAACATGTCTACGAAGTGAAAGGGAGCTGTTTTATCAATTAAAGATAAGCAGATAATTATTTCATGTTTGGATAAAGGAGAGAAAGGAACAAATTTAGCTCAAGAATTTGGCATCAGTAAGCAGCAGATCTCAGACATACAGAAGAACAAAGACAAGATCCTAAAATTTACTGACCCCATCAAGACAAGCTACAAGTCTTTGAAGCAAACAAACATGTTTGAACATTTTATACCTGAACTGAAAGTTTTTATTTATAAATACATACAGACTGTGTAGATTTCACAGTTAAAATGATGTTTCCTTTGCTGTACATGTCTATCTCATTAATATTCATATTTTCGATTATCCGGACTCTCGATTATCCAGACTATTTACCAAGGTCCCAATGAGTCCAGATAATTGTTCGACTGTACTCTCATGGTGTCCCTCTCCACCCAGGAGTATAAATGGGTATTGGACAAGCATCCCATTTTGTGGGAGAAGCAATGCTTAGAATTGCTTCATGCTACAGAATCTAGGATGATTAAGCGCTGGCTGAATGAGTTACTTGGCTCAAGTGCAGACTGTACTGTTAATGAGTATTCAAATAAAAATTATGTTGAAACCCATTAACTCACAGTGAGCGGATTTTAACCTCCTGCTTTAAAATAACAAAAGCCGATTTTCTCCTTATTGTTACCTCCTTATCTAATCTTTGTTTCCCCTGATCTGAGAATAGCTAAAGTAGTGATTCTAAATTGGATAATTATTTCTGTTGTGGTCAGGTCTGCAGAGAAAAGGAAGACAGATAAAAATGATACATCAACAGAGGGTGACAAAAGAACAGAAGCCACAGTAGGTATGGACATACTTTTTGGTCAGTGATGCGAATGTCCCTTTGTAGGTGATTTTTTTAATTCTCTACCTGTCTGTTTTTTACAGATTTTTTTTTCAAATTATGGTAATTTTATCACAGACTTAACACTCCTTGAAATGGAATTGTTACAGAGTTGTCATTAGAACCCAGTAGATTGCAGAAACTGCCAGCTGTCAGACCAATTATTGCACCAGCTACTTTGTAAATTGTGATTAGACAGAAAATGAGTACTTTTGAACTGATTCTAACACTAGTGTCTGGCTTAAAAAAAGTTACTCAAATATTGTCCAGGATGCTAGACATCACACTTTAGAGAGTTTCAAATTTTACATTTTTTTCAGACCCCCCTAGACAGGCATTTTGCTTTGCAACATGCCATGCTTGCTACACAAACATAATTCAATTAAGCCACCTACTCAGTACAGATCATGCATCTATAACATTGTTTGATGACAACCCTGTGTTATTCAATAATAGTATCATTTAATGTAACCAGGACATTGCATAATCTGTCCTTCAGTTGGCATTAAACATCAGTGATCCTTAACACTTGTCATTATGATTATTTCCCATTTATGAGTTATGCATCTCTTTCCTTCTCAGATGTTGAAGAGATTCCTAATGAAGATGAAGAGGCCATGATGAAAATGATGGGATTCTCCAATTTTGATTCAACTAAGGTTGTTGTGATCTTCAATACACCAGTTGTTTTAACTTAGTACCTAATAGGGTCAAACCTCGATTATCTTGACTTGTGGGGACTGGGCTTAAAAGTTTGGATCATGGAGAGTGCAGTTAGCTTGAAAATATGAATATAATGTTCGTAGATAATGGGACCAGAGCAAGTCCAGATAATCAAGGTCCAGATAATTGAGGTCCGGATAATCTAGGTTTGACAGTAACTAGAGGCATTTCTTCACAAGAAAGCAAACTAAAAGACTTAAACAATGATTGTGTGTTTCCTTCCAGGGTAAACATGTGGCAGGAGCATGTAATTCAAGCTACTCCAGTGTAAAAAAAGCTAACAAATACAGGTAACTGCATACAAGTATAAGTCTAATGTCTTCTTATTTTAATATTTTAACCCTTAACAACTGGCCCGTGTGTTGAACATGTAATTTCTCCTTGCACTATCAGTACATTATCCTGGAAACAGGTAATAAGAATGCTGAAGTTCATCAGAAAGAGGATTTTACTCTTGATATAACATGATTCTGTTGCAAGTAGAAGAAAGAATCATGAGTCACATTGATTGGGCAACAATAAATCCTTTTCACCCTAACATCAGTATCCATATTCTTCATACTTTTCTCTATACATTTCCTTTGGTATTGACATAGAGATTTTTTTTTTTTTAATCAATAAAGGCTTCTGACGTTAGTGATTATTTCCTATATTATCATGATCTCAATGAATGATTTGATAAAAGAGGAAAGAAGTATAACTGTAAGGAGAAAATACTACTACTGTAAGGAGAATTTATGTGTTGGTCACCCCAAGGGTTTCAAGAATTAATATTTCCCTTGGTAGAAGAGAGGATCATTGCAAAACAAATATTTGGCTCCCAGGAGAATGGAGCAGATTTTTTTCTACGCATTTTTCAGAAGGTTGACTATATCATATTCATTTTTTGTTGCTTCTTCTTCAACAGACAATACATGAACAGAAGAGGAGGGTTCAACAGACCACTAGACTATGTTAATTAGTTCTTGTTTTTTTGTACATCCAAGTCACTCAGGGCAAGCAAGTGGGTCTGTCATGAGTTCCATCCATATTTCTCTTTTGACCTGATGCTGTAGTTAGGTTCTAACTAACAGAAATCTAGGGCATACTATCCTCGATCCTTTTTGTATTTCGAATATGTTTCATATCACCTTTTCAAAATATTTTAACCCTCAAACTCTCTGGAGTTTCTTCCAAATTTTCAATGTATTATGGAAGAACAAGATAGTGAAAAAGAAACAAACCTGTCAGCCAAACTGTACTATGTTGTATCTTGATCTAACTTTCTTGATTAATTTATAAAAGAGAAGTACTGCATGTAGTCAAGTTTTTTGTAGTTGAAGGGTTAATGTTCTACCCTTTTCATTAGCTGTTTTTCAAAATCCATTTGTTTTTTGTTGTCTCTTGTTTCAAACTGTGGTACTCATGACCACTTTTTCTTTAGTGACTATAGCTTTATGCCTCATTTCCTTGTTATAAAATTTTCAAGGCCAGAGTTGTATATAACTGTATGTTATTTTAAAAAACAAAAAATAAAGCATTTCTGAAAACTCTGATTCTTAATCATGTCTCTGGTGTTTCGGTCAATTTTGAATGAGGTAAGTAAGTGAAACATTTGCTGTTGAACTCAGAATACTGTATATTGTGATTACCATGTCATGAGCAATTACACTGGAAATCAAGACATGTCAGAGAACCACAAAACTGTATTCTAGTTATTGTTGCTGCCTTACAGTTTTGTTATCTTGGGTCTGATCAGCCCCTTTTCCATACAGCATCAATCCAGAAATAGTTCTAGTGTCTAAGGATTTTCTGGTCTCCTTTGGGCTGTTCTAAACAGCAGATAGTTTGCAAAGGTTAACAGTTATTTCTTCCTGTGGTGTTCCTGCAGTGTCACCACACCTGAAATTTTTCTTTTTTTAATTTTCAAACTGTGATGCATGACATTTCTTAATTTACCTTTAGTTATCAATCGAAATTAGTTATTTTTCTCTCCAGAATAAATGAAGGTAGTGATAATATGTCACTCTTTGCGGTCACTCTTTGTGGAGAGAATGGCCACATAAACTGGTAATTAATGTCTTAGGGGTGAAGGGTAAAAGAGTTGGAGTAAAAATCCTTTTTACTATTATGATCAAAAACGGCTAAAAAATTAATGTTGACATGCTCTGATGGAAGCTTTCATCAAAAATAAAGGGCTGGTCATATAATTCACTTTCACCATGACAAACTAAGTTTACTAATGATTTTAATAAAATTACTGAAATACTTGATACAAATTTTTTTTGTAAATAACAAAAAAAATTAATGATTAGGAAAAGAGTGGCGCCATGTGACAGAAAACTTGCTCTGAATTGTGGTTGTAGGCATGTGTCAAGGTCTGTTAATATAAGATTCCAACTTATAGAGTCTTTTCAGGCTAATGTTTACCTAACAAATCTAGTGTCCTTTTTTCATTTTTGTTCCTTATTTTTATCATATTTATACAAGGAAATGGAAGAAAATGTTCGGTGGTGAAATGGAAGAAAACTGCGATTTAGTTCCCAGTCTCCTGTCATATTACATTGGTTATCAATCAAATATTCATGAGTTTAGACATAGGAGAAACTTCAAAAATGGCGATGGAAGCGGCTCCAACTTCCCCGCAACTGACAAACTATGCTGCGCAGAATACCGCGACAGTCACTCACACGGTCCCTGCATCGCATACAACTGTAAATCTCATTCAGCCTGATCAGGGAAAAGGTCTCTATATCGTCGATCCTTCCCAGCAACATGCCTTACAAATGTTCGGAAGTCCTGATCAGAGAACGTTTATGGCGAACCCCGTTGAATTTAATCCTACGGCCGGAACAATAACCACAACCGCTGTTTCTAATGGAAATGGACAAATAACCATGGTAAGTACTGTTAAATAGCTTCTCACATTCAACAAGAGTTTTAGGCCAATAGAAATCACGTCGGAAATGGCGAGGGAAATCGTCGACTCGTGTTCGATCCTTCTCCCAAAGACGTGGTACTGTTGTTGTGCGCCATTTTGAGGGCTAGCGGCGTGAATTCTTCGCATGGACCACGAATGAAACCCATCACATCACTAATTTTTGTGAGCTTTAGAGTTTACCTGGTCTCTATAAATTGAACCTGTCGCTGAAAGTCGTGAATTTAAAACCGTCCAATCGAGAAATATCGCCCGAACTGCGCCCCTATTGGTCTAAGCTCTGGCAATGTGCATGAGTGGACTTTTGTTTGTATTGAAATGAGTAAACGCGCATCTGAAAAGGAACTTACATCGATGGATTTTCACATAATGATCAAATGTAAGTGATTTCGTTGTACTGAGGGAAAGAAAATTTTCCCAGTAGACCGCTCTTCATGAAAACTGCCCTCTTATCTTTCGTGAATCGTAGTTTTCGTGCCTTGAATTTAATAAACGGAACAGCTGTTTTTTGAATGTGAGCAATATACATGTGTATTTTTGTTTTTAGGTAATCCCAGTTTATCGCTCTCTTATCGCGTAACGATGATTAAAATATCGAGGATTACTTTAATAAGGTTTAAAATACATTTACAGTTTTCCGTACTGACCATCGATAGAAAGTTGTCTAAAAAGTTTTCGAAAAATTGAACGAACACTGTGACTCTATCTTAATATCAGTTTGTCACAAAGGACCATCGGGAAACTTCTTTGTTATTTTCGCCCTCCTAAGTCAGCTTCACTCTTTAGTATTGCTGGTTAAACTTGCTTATAAAATTAAATTTACACTTAAAAATATCATAGAGGCAATACTATTATTTATAGTACATTTAAGCACGGTGGAATTGTGAATATATATATATATATATATATATCATACTAGAAGTTTTGGTGTGTAGTATCACTGTATTTTTACAAGTTGTGCTGTATTTTGCCAAGCCTGCAGGGTAAGTCAAAACACAAACAGCGAGTAAAAAAACTTGGCGATACTACACAATAAAACTTCTAGTATGATATATAAATATAAATATATTTTTTAAGGGAAATATGTATTTGCTGGAAGGGAGAATTGACAGTCAGATTGTGAGAGTGAAAGGGTGAAGAAACTATGGAGCTGCATTGGTGGGGTATTACAAGTTTATTTGGTTTGATCAACAGACTTGATGATGTAAATTGGCCACTGTAAAGAGTTTCAAAGCTGACGTATTATGCATTAAAACTCTGATGAAAAGCTCCAAACATCAGCTTTAGAAACTATTTACTGTGGCCAACTTACATTATCATATCAGTTGATCAGACCAAACTATCTAACTCTTTTGTAACTTATTGCACTAATTTTTTGCTGAATGTACACTGCAGACCCATGTCTGGTGAAATTTGTTATTGACTCCAACTAACTGGTTTATTTTTTAAATGGTTACTGAAATAGTGAATGGCAAAAATTAATAATTTTTTTAGAGTATGTGATAATGTTCTGATGCAACTTTGTGCTGGCTATGAAATGATCAGTCTGAAGAAATGAAGCAGCTTGAAGAACCCTGGAATGTACAGATTAAGATTTCCTTTGACATGTTTCCAAACTTCTCTTTATTTTGTTTGTAACAGATGAATGGCCAGGCTCTTGGAGCTCAGAGACTTCCAGTTGCCATGGAAACTTTGGATGAACCCCTTTATGTAAATGCAAAGCAGTACCATAGAATAATAAAAAGACGGCAAGCAAGAGCAAAGCTTGAAGCTGAGGGAAAAATACCCAAAACTCGAAAGGTTAGCTTGATCTAGATCTGTTGCTGAACTACTGTAATGCCTTGACTCCCAAAAGTGGTTGACATGTAACTCTTCTCTTTTAAAATCTATTCATTATCCAGCTGAAAGATCATGATTGAGAATAATTAAACACCAAATTCTTGGAACTAATTTACAAGGAAATGTGTAGCAGCTAAAGGGGAGATTCAACAATCAGATTTTGGGAGTATAAGGATTAAATGCAACTGACATTTGGAGCATCAGCTCTTTGTCATTTGCTCTGACGAAGGGCTAACACTTGAAATGTCAGCTTTGAAACTCTTTTTGGTGGCCAATTTGTGTTATCATTTCAGTTGATAATACTAAATTACTCTCCCACCAGCGCTGCACTACAGTTTCTTTAGATAGTTTTTAGTGACTGTAAAAGTGTGCATTAGATGTTTTTTTTTTTCCTGACTTGATCAAACCACTGCACTGCACATAGCATGTTTTATTTTGCTGAATTTATTTTTAGTTGGTTCTTTCATGTGAGCAATTGAAATAGCAAATTGTAGTTAATTTGAAAGAACTTCACACTTGTGTGTGATGTTTTTATGACCACAAAGTAACTGTAAACTAATAAAGAAAAAAAAGTAGTGCAATGTTGCTTAGCTTCAAAAGTTACTTGTATTTGTTAGAAATATCTCCATGAGTCAAGACACCAGCATGCATGCCGAAGACGTCGCAGCAATGGTGGTAGATTTATAACAAAAACAAATGAGGATGGGACAATCGTTCAAGAGGAGGACACCGGAGAAGGTCAGGTTTATCAGGAAGGGATGGTTCCAACACAGGAACACAGTGCCCAAGAACATGCCTACAGCAATGTTGTTCCTGCTCCTGAATCAAACAGAGTGCAGATGACCCCCCAAGGCCCTGAGCAAACAGAATAAGGTGATTATTAACTTTAAACTTCTTACCTCTTAGAATTGCATCTGTTCATCAATTTTCCTTGAGTTTAAGGAAACTTATTGCACATTTCTCCTCTCAACAACAAAGAATAATGTTTCAAGAAGTTGGTGAGAACTCATATAGAGTGCATGTGGTATATCTCAGTGGACCTCTCGTGCTTGTTTGTTTTTGTTTACCAATTTAGGTCTCAAAGGAATTCCAAGTGTTATCTTTTGTAAATTATGCGTATATATGCATGCGAGTTAGAGGAAATCTGAAAGAAACATTTCTCTAGAGTATTATCAAATGACCTGAAAAGGGTAAACAAAACATTTCTTACCATGCTGACAAGGAGAATTTGTTTAAAAATCACGAGCTTCTATAGTTGGTGATCATTTCCTTTATTCTCATGATCTTAATGTGTGATTCAGGGGTGATACTGTAAGGAGAAAATAATGAGATGCTAGTCACTTTGGGAGATCAAAGGGGAAAGGCAGTGAGGTTCATTTAATTTAGTGCTTGAAATTTTGTTTTGGCTATTGATTAATGTAAATTTACATGTAAATGCATTGTACATGCATTGTGCTTGTTTATATGTATTTGGTAATGTGACAACCTTCCTACCATTTTGACTTAACTGTGACTTTTCTGTTTACAGATGCTGTTTTTTTCCACAGTACAGAGTACTAGATGATAGTTTTATGGATTGTTTTCATTTGATGTATAGTTGAGTATTGTGCAAGTGACCCAGATTTTCAGAATGTAAATACCAGTACACTTGAGCTTGTAGCTATCAGTTATATAATGTAATACTAAAAACATCAATAGGAAGCCACTGTGTACCACAGGAAAGCATTGAACTTAAAAGTATTGTTAAAAACTATGAACTTAAGTCAGCTTTAAGGTAGACAAGAGTAGATATGGATGTCCATCAGTTTTTTTATGATATGAATAAACCTTAAAAGCTTTAACCCCTTGAGGTGAATGACTTATAACTTTTCTTTATAGTATCATTATGCTTAGTTATCCTTGTGCAAAAGGCATACTTTTCTGAAAGAAAACCAGCTTTTTAAAGATCTTGTAGCCTCTCATTTGATTAGTGAATGCAGGCTAAGTCATGTTGTGACTTGTTTCAAGAAACAATTTTAAATTTCTTCAATCTGTTTGTTAGATGGATCTGTTTATTAGATTTATCTATTGTCAGCTAGCAGATGGAAACAATCACTGGCCTGTTGCCCAGCACATGCTAAGCTCACAGTTAGTTGTGATAACTGAAAAAGTTGGTGAGCAAAGATATATCAAGGGTGTGGAGAAAAGTGAGAAAAACTTGACATGTAAGAAGTTTTTCAAAGGCACACAATCTCCTGACTTAGCCTTTGATTGGTGTATTTACATCAAGAACTTGTACTATCATCATTCACTCTGCCTGATTGGTGAGAGTTAGTCAAATGGCATGTATTTTAGCACAACAACTGGCTTTCCTTTTGCAGAAGGGCAAGGTGAAAAATAAATTTCCAAATCAGATACAGGCTGTCTTTGCTTGCCCTCTTTTTAGGTTGACTGCAGTTACTAAGATAAAGGGGGTAAGGTTTTTTAACCATTTCATTCCCACAAGTGACCAAGAGATAATTTCTCCTTACAATATCAATACAATATCAAGCGGGCAGGTGATGAGAATAGAGAAGAATATCAATCATGGGATTATTAGTTGATCCAATACCAAATTCTCTGAACTAAAATCATAAGAATTGTATGGCAGATAGTAAGGAGAATTACTAATTAGGTCTTGGGAGTGAAAGGGCTAAAGAAACTATGTTGCTGCTTTGGTGGGGGGATTACAAGGTAGTTTTCTTTTACCAACAGAGTTGCTAAAGAAATAAATGTAAATTGGCCATTATAGAGAGTTTGCTAAGCTGATGTTTCAAGTGTTACTCCTTCTCTTTTTACTCTGACAAGAGGCAAATACTTGAAAAATCAGCTTTAGACACTCTCTACAATGGCCAATGTGCATTATCAACTCTGATGATATAACAAAATTATTGCAGTTTCTAAGAGCCTGACAAAGGCTGTCTGTTGTGAAGTGGCATCATAGATTTAATTGTTTAACTAGTCCTGATTCAGAATAAAGGATGGTTAAGATGGATAATTCAAGTTGATGGTATACAAGTAAATTGATATTTTATGTAAGTAGCATATCACCCTATTTATTTTCCAGGAAGAAACCATATTGACTATTTCAGTCAAATCCATCAAAATTGGAGTGCATGTTTAATTCAAAGTCAGGCTGTTAACAACTATACATGACTAAAAATAAAATTGTCTCTCTTTGCTTTGTGCGGTTCAGTGATAGTTTTGTACAGACTGTCTTCCTTGTTATTTCATGAGTGAATGTTTTAATCAGTACTTTGTTTTTCTTCACAGATTGTTTAGTGTTTGTATTATATTTTTGCCAAGTTTATCAAAAACACCCCAGATAAGATTCGAGGGATTATTATCCACTTCTTCAGAAACAGCAAATCTTAAGAATATCCTTAAATTAAAAAATGCATGATTGGATTTTGGCTTGTGTACTTCTTAGCAGGGGCTTTTAGTCTGACGATTTGGGAGACATCGGAATTTAAAGTGTAGGCCTTGCAGAGAGGGAAGGAAAACTGAAAGATGAGGGAAATGAAGGATTCAGTTCCTCTCCTGAATAATATTTCAGTTCATAACTCCAATATCACATCATCAATGACCTATTACGGCAGAACTTTGTAGCGTTTTTTCATGCTGCCCGGTTGTCCAGTCTAACAATTACTGATTTAGAACCGAATGGGGTCGAATCAAGATTGAACCACGCCCATTCTCTTGCACTGGTTTTAACTAAGAGGGTCATCAAAAACTTTCTGACCAGCAGTTACGTATGCGGCAGCCTGGGATCAAACCTAACACAGGGCACGGCAGAGAGAGTTCAACGACCGGAATATAACTCCTTGTCACTTAAAGTCTTATTAAGCCCCAGAGAGCGGCCTTACTATTATACTTAGCATACTCATACTCATACTTCTCACCACGTCTCGTTCTTAGATTGGGAAGAAGAGGCATTTTGGCATTGGTACATATAATGTAACATATATAACGTACATACCTAAAAAAAGAAACATCCAAAATGGTGCCTGCTTTGTCGTGCTTATAACCAAAAGGAGTTCTTCGTTTAATTGAAGAGTACATCGTCGTCGAACCTAGTGTTGATCAGTATTGGAGATGAGAAGTGAAACGAGGTATGGAGGGTTTTCAACAGTTCTAGGTCTCGCGAATTTTCCAACCATTTAAAACATATGACAACCTTGTCCGGAAGCTAGGTGACATGATGTAGTTGTGTTACTAGCAGTGACCTTGAAGCTTATTGTGACATTTACTGTAAAGTTTTGGGTGGGAATTTATTTCAGTTTTTCTCGTGGATATCTCGGGGATTTTACCTATAATTATGAGAAAAAAGAAACGCGAGCGACAAGAATCAGACTGAATAAATAGAAACTTTATTTACCCATGGTATCTATCATCACTAAATGCTCTACCAAGGAGCCGTGCACTACAACTACGATTAGTGAAATAGCACTCTAATTATCATTACTTAAAGACTTCATTTGCCTAAAAAATTTACATTAAAATATATTGCAAAAGATTCTATTCAATTTATTATTGAATAAAAGTTGTTTTGACAAGTGGCCTGTTTAGCCTCATTTATTGGGGTTTTTCCGCTAAACCGAAAACTTTTTAAGGGCTTCAGTGTTTGGTCTTGCAATGAACAGATCCAGCTGTGAGCTGCATGGCTTGACTTCATGGGATAATCTCATTATACTGTTAGACTACATGATCATTTTGCCTTTTAGAGGTCATTGAGAACAAGGAGGCTCCAAAATTACAGGAAGAGTTAGTGTGTGAAATACTTTAATCTACTTTCTAGGTAGACAAGAGGGTAAAATGTCCAATGGTGTGCCACTTCCATGGACGATACAAATCAGCCATTGAACAAAAATTCCTGGAGCAAGCAGAGGAAGAAATAACAAAGTTTTGTAATTCTTGTGGACTCCGAGATAACAGTGTTCTTGTCTTCCCTCCATTGGATGCTCACTATCGCTTCCTTATTCACCAGCTTGTAGGTGAAAGTTCTAGACTTCAGACAGTGTCAGTTGGGCAGGGGAGACAGAGAAGGATTGTGATCTACTTCACCTCTAAAAGGTATTCTTAGTGTTCTCCTTTTCAGATGATGATGAGTAAAATTAACTGTTTATTAGTATACTACCTCTTATTACCATCTGAAATCACTTGGAATTCTCGAAAATTCAACTAGTAACAGGTTTTTCTGCTTTTTTGAAAATTTCTTCTATCTGTTGTGTTTAAAATAAAGGAGAACACAATGTATTCTATGAAATAAACTCAGTTGGCAAACAAGATATGCAAATGAATGTATTTTGACTTTGAAAGCTCACCCATGGAAGGGTATGCCAGAGCAAATACCAAACAAAGACATGAGCTGTGATGAGATTTTAATGGGTCATGTCTCTTTGCAGAATTGTTATGTCCTCCTTGCAATGAGTACCTATTTTTTAAAAAATTCGTGCCTTTTAGCTGGAGGTTGTCCCCTTAATGTCAAACCAAATTCTTATAACAAATTTATAAGAAATTTATAGCAGCTTGCATGGAGGAAAGGATTTGTCTATCAGATCTTTAGAGTTAAAGGAACATACTTTACTAAGGCATTGCTCTAAAGTGACTCAACAATTATCAAATAAACATAAGTTTTTGTCATTATTTGATCTCTCTTTAGTTTTGTATGTATTCTAGGACATATTTTTAGTAGGTTTATAGGTGAATCCATTTCACTGCAAGTTTGCCCTATAACACCTTTGTGAGTTAGCCCCATAATGTGAAACAAGCCCACCCCACCCTTACCACACACTTCACCCCCAAATCTTTTGACTTGTTTCCCTACCACAGAATGTATAATAAAACCCTTAAAAAGTTTCAATCAATATGCAAATTCCAAACCATGTTAAAATGCACAACAATGCATGAATAATGCTAATCTGCCACAACTCCAGTCTTAATCTAACAGGTTTAATGCAATTTTGTGATTTGGTTTGCAACAGTTTCTAAGAACTGGTGATTTCATCCTACCTTCAAATTTCCCCCTTGGACCAAAAACTTCAACAGCATTGCATGAAAACATTTTGGCAAACACTTCTAGTTATTGAAAGTTGTAAGTCTCCACCAACTTAGACCCTGACAAGGCAAGCCACTTGACTTAGTTTAGTTGAAAGTGAAACCTTTGTTCATGTTAATATTATTATCTGTACATGTTTTGTAATTCAGATTACAAAGATTTACAAATTACAAAAATTTACAAAGGCAATAGGGGCAAACTTACTATGGAGCAACTTCACCAGTTACCATATGAATATTTTTGTCATATCATTGCTCCTCTGGGTTTTGAGGGCATTGTTGATTTATTTGATGTTCTCTTTCTCTGGCTCATCTTTCCAGGGTCACCACAGAACTCTGACCATGTCATTTAAACAAATCTAGCAGACATTTCAGTTGTCTCACATTACAAATGGATCATTCTCTGTATTTTACAACACTGGATTATGTGATAACAGAAACAGCTTTGCCCTCAAGGGCATTGTGTTGCTTTAAACACAAATCACCAACTGGTGAATGTATAATTTTTATGAAAAGCACAATTCTATTGTGCACTATAAAGTATTTTTATTTGGTTTCTAGAGATTCTCATAAGATGACTCAACCCCAGTCAAGAGCAGAAAAGACCTTCTTTGGAAGAGGCAGAGGCAGGTAATTAGAAATTGGTAATATGCTAATTTATTTGATGTCCTTCTCTAAACCCAGAATATTTTATGAAATACTTGAAATTGATACAGCTTGTTGATGAACAAAGATTCTTCTGCCCGATTGAAAATGAACTGAGACATGAATTGTACAGCCTCATTATTTTTTGAAGTTTCCATGACTTACATACATTTATTGTTGAGGAACTAGCCAACACAACATACTGATATCATTCTTGTGCTTGACATTATCTCTGTAGGAGGACCAAGAGGCCAGATCAGGCACTGTATGTACCAGGGGCACTTGGAAAAGCAAAGAATGACCAAATGAAGGAGAGTGCTTCTTCAGAAATTTCTAAGATAAATAGTGACATCAATGATGGTGTAACCCCATGTGCTCCAAAAGATGACAGTCACCCCAACAAGGAAAAACAGTGCAGTCAAACATGTGAATCCAAATTGAATGATACACTATGTCAGGATATACCTCTGTGTACTGAAGAACTGGTGGATGACATTGCAGCAGGAATAGATAGTACATCTTTGAAGGGTAATATGGAACATGCACGTACAAACATGGCATCAGATTTGTCTGTAAATGAGAGATTGCAGAATGTTGGTATTGGGGATGAATGGGAGAAAATAGCTCTGCCCTACAGCGGTAACAAGATAGAATTTCCTGAGAGCTCCAGTGAAGCTTATGACAAAGAATCAGTTGATTCGTTAGCAAAAGTAATCAATGAAAGTGATCAAACTTTAGACACTTCCAGCCAGAGTAGGTCTTTCAGTCAGGAAAATTGTTGTGACAAAGATGTTGGTTTGGAAAATGATCTTTCCCATGCATTCACTACAACAGGTAATGGAACAGTTTGCAAAGAAAGAATTGGCAAATGTATTGTAGACACTAAACATGACAGTTGCATTGAAATGGAAGAGAAGATTGTATCAGAGCAAAATCAAGGTACTGTTTACTCAACAGAAAATGATTCAGACGATTCAAACCTACAGAAAACTGAAACTCAATCACTTAAGGAAGACTCTATTTCTAAAGGAAATTTTAATGATATTCCCTTTGATGAACAAAAGGCAGAGACTAAAGGTGGAGTTGAGGAAAGACGTACTGACTTAGATTTACCAATTGATGACCTTGAACCTGCAATATCTATTCTGAGCAGAGGTGATAATGCAAATGAGGCAAGGACTGGAATATCTGCACTTCACAGTGAGAGTGATAGTGTAAATCTTGATGATTCTGTAATAGAAGAAGGCTACGATATTTTGTTAGATCCTGGTAGTGATCAACAACAGGAAAAAGTAAAGAACAAAGAATTTTTGGATGATCATACTCAGCCAGAAGCAACCTTAGAGGATGTGGAATCCAGTTCTGTTGTTGGTGAAGGATTATCACAGCCTTGTGGTGCAACAAGTGATATGCCTGTAGCAAGAACTGGCCCACAGACATATCCAACAAATGTTCAAATTGATCACCAAGGTCTGCCAATTAGTAATTATAATGCAGAACTAGATGAAGATGCTACACCAGTGGAATTGGGTAAGAGTCAGCCAAGTATGAGTAAGGAAGAAAGACTTGATGAAGCAGGGATAAAATCAATGGAAATGACTTCAGCATCAGTGTGTGAAGATGCTGAAAATTGTGAGAATCAACCATCAGGAACATTGGATGTTAGTCCAACCTCTTTGGTCCTTGAAAAAGATTCAGCATCACAGAGATTTAAATCAGATGTAGGAAATTTAAATGAGAACGCTGAAGAGTTGCATACTCAAACTGAAATTACTGGTGAGGAAGCCCATGAGGTGTACAAAAATAAACATGGTGTTTCAAATTTATCAGTGACAGAGTTGAATGAAAATGTTGGTGAACCTGAGATGCAGCACGATAAGACATTAAAGAAGAAGAAACGAAAGAAAGATAAGGATGGTGATAAATCAAAATCCAAGGAAAAGGGTGAAAAAACAAAAAGAAAAGAAAAGAAAAATTCAAAAGAAAAAAGTGATAAAGATGAAAATTTAGATTCTAAACAAAAGGAGAAAAAGCATAAAAAATCAAAAAGCAAGGAAGAATCCCCAAAGCAAGGGGATACAGAAGATTTAAACGCATGTGGTAAGGTAATTGAGAGAGAAACTACTACTCAAATAAAGCTTCAAGCAGGATCGTCTATAGAAAAGAAGGACAATGATAGTGAAGATGATGATGACAACTGGGAATCAAATTTTAGTGAGAGTGGAGATTGTCTCAATCCAGAGCACTCTGAAGAGGTATGTATTCGTGACAGAAGGTAATTGATTGGAAGTGGAAGAACATTTAGCCATTTGCAGTAGAGTAACAGAACTTTTGGTCTTCTTAAATTAAGAGTTCATTTAAAAGGTTTTTCCTGAATGGTTGCTTGATTAAGGAAGTTACAATATGCATGAGCTTTTCTAGCTTGCAGCTAAGACTTGTTTGTTGTAGGATTTAGTGTTCCAAAGTTCTATTAATCTTAACTACCAGTTGTTGTTATTTATCTTTAATTATGGCATGTGTCAAAATACAGGCCCTTAATTTAATAGTATCATTTACTAAAACTACATCTATTGGACCTAACATTTCAAACTTAATTATGCTATTTTCAAAATAACTGGCATTAATACTAAAATCATTCAAAGTAATATCTTTCAACCTTTTTGTCAATCTATTAGCTAACAAGATTGACTGGAATAGCTAATCCTGAGGTTCATAAGACTCAGTTTGATGTTTACTCCTTTACGCCAAAGGAAGTTGAACTGGATGATGAAGGTTTGTGCTTTTTTTAAATTCCACTTGGATTTATTATTAGAATGAGTGTTGACACCAATGGATCATGATGTGGCTTCTTTTGTCAAACAGGGAAGGTGAAAAGTGAGCTTATGGGCCACAAAGCCCATCTTGCCAAGCTTATCCCAGTTTGAGTAGCACTCCATCCCAAGGTTGCCTCCCAATAGTTCATTTGGTTTTTTTTTTCATTTTTCAAAATTCTTTGGTGATGAGAGGTATGGTGACAGCTAAGTGTCTTAAGATCACAAAACCATGACCCAGCCAAAACCTGAACCCAGACCTTCTTGCCACGACCCAAGCAAACCAATCACTAGTCTGCAATTTCCAACACCATACTCATGGATTGTAGCACAGTGTAAAGCTATTAATAACACTTGACATTTCTTTGTGTATTTTTTTTATGTACGGTAGTTCTTTTAACTTTGATCAACTGTTTCTTAGAGTTTGGGCACATTGTGGAAATCTACAACTTTTCCCCTGATTTAAAGACTCAAGACTTGATGCAAGCTCTAAGTTCTTTCAGGTAATTTGCATAGCTCTATCCAATTTAAATATGGCTTTAATAGCCAAGTGAAAATGGGTATTGGCAAATATTTTCATTAGTTTTCCCACCTTTTCAGGCTCAAACAGAAACCATACTGGGCATTTACAGTGGGAAAATTTCCTTGCTAAGCACGTGGTTTTTGTTGCATACGTAGCAAAGCAAAAGACAAGCCCCATCAAAACCAAACTTTATCAATTATATCTCAATTAGTATGTGTGATATTGGTTAGTTTAGCAAGTCATATTTCACTGTATGGCCTGCTGAAGTGAAAGGATGATTTTAGTTACCTAAAATCTTCATCCTCTATTTGAACCCAGAGATATTACAAATATTCTTACCTTGTTCTCATTAGTATCTTATGTAAGTTACAGAACCTTGTCCCTTTTTCTATTATTTAATTTTTTACCAAATTGTACAAATGTGTAGTAACTTACCATGCATATCTACCAGAATTAAGAATAATAAAACATAATTATGTGGTTTGATTAATTCTAAACATCTCAAATTTGTATTGGTATGGGTTCAGAATAACTCCAATTGGTTATAATTCAGTTTTAAGCTTTAAAGTACGAAATAACCCTTATTTTCAGAAGCAAAGGATTTGACATCAAATGGGTGGATGACACACACGCTCTAGCAGTGTTTTCAAGTCGGCATACGGGTTAGATTTATCTACAGGGTGATTTGGTATTATCAACTGAATTGATAACATAAATTGGCCACTGCAAAGAGTTTCAAAGCTTATGTTTCAAGCATTAGCCTTTCATCAGCAAGGGCTGAATGAGTGATTGTTTTGCTCCAATGGAGGGTTAATGCTCAAAACATCAGCTTTGAAACTATGTGCAGTGGCCAATTTACATCAGCAACTCTGGTGATAATACTAAATCATCCTGTTATAATCACTCACTGACACAGCACCAGTTTCATTAGAAACTTACCCCCTCTATAGATTTATGTACACCTTCACATTGGTATAACTTGCTCAGTCTGTATTTCCCAAATGTAATTCCCTGGCTTATTTATTAGAGCCCTCCTTCTAATTGAAACTGTATCAGTAAAACTCCCTTCTCCTCCATGGGCAGTTCTCTTAATACTCAGGCCTTTAACTGAGTTCATTTGCAAGTTTGCTCTCTTTGATGCTATCATCATCAAAATTTTACCAATACTCCTGGGGTTGGGCTCTGTGAAGAGGTTTTGTAAGCAAAATTTGGGAAAATTAAAATCTGTGGTTGCCACATGTTAGGAAAAAGTCAGGGGAAATAAAATCTCTAAGATTAGGGAAAAGTTTGGGAATTTCACCTAAGGTTAGATAAAGTTACTTCAGTTCTTTAAAAGAAGTCAGAGAGAAGTGAAATTTCAATTAAATTTGAAGCTGTTCATTTTTTCTTGGCCTTCTTCATAATGAAAGATGGTGACACTTTTTTTTATATTGATGCTACTCAATCCATTTAAATTGTTTAGTGCAATTAATAGAATGAATCTTGAACACCTAATGAATGATTTTAATATCTATGTATTCATCAAATTGTAATTGTAGCTCAAGATGCCATAAAGTTGTGCTCAGGTCCACTAATGAAACTGCGGCCTGTTTGTGAAGGAACATCAGAGTCAAAGAAGAAAGCTAGCAGGTGTTTTGGTAAGTCACAAGATATTATGCTTTCAGTAGAAAATGAATATGTTCTGCTGCAAGGAAACAAGCTGTAACATTCAGGAACAAGCTAGTTAAGGTGGGGGGGGGGGCTTGATTTACTTCAGAGGACAAAATCGCAAAAGTGGTTAGTAGCAAACTTGCAATGGGGTGAAACATCCATAAACTGCACTTTCTCCCGTTTCTGTTCACAACAGGGAACGAACTGCTATTTTGTCCATAATCTTCACACTAAAAGTACACATTACTAACTTCTGGAGTTCAATGACAAATCTTTCAGACCTGCCGCAGCCATATAAGGAAAGACCACAGACTAGTAAGCTGCTAGCTGATACACTGGTTACAAAAGTACTTGGAGTGAAGTCGAAAATGACCAGAGAGGAGAGGGCCAAGGAGAGAGAAAAACTCAAGGAAGCAAAAAGTGAGTTAACGTATAACATAAAATTTAAAAGAATTTTGGTTACTGTGGGCTTTTAAGGATAATTGTTTTGTGCAAAGGAGATAGGAGAACTATAGAAATTAGTTTTCGTTAACATTTCAACTCTGTCTAACTCTCAGTTTTTTCCTCTCAGTGGATCTTTTCATGTACTGCAGATTGCCTCTCACCATGATCACTTCATAACTTGATATTTCTTCCATATTCTCCAGCAAAAAGACAAGAAGAAAAGATGCGACAGGCTGACATATGGGGAGACTGATGTTGATAAAATCAAAATTCTCCCAATCTTTTTTTTTTTTTAATTTAAATAAATGTGGTAAAATGAGCATGTTTAGAGTTTCTAAAGCTTTCTTATATTTCCTGACAACTTCAGGACTTCCTTGCCATGTCAATTGTACCATGTAAATGTAATTTTTTTATCAGAAGGAATAAAATATTCAGGAACAAGGTATCAAAGGTTTCTTTGGGTACTCAATAAATAAATTCTCCCTCATGGGTACTGAGAATTTTTTTCTTGGTCCCACACTTGTAACAAGGTGTTGTAGTTTAAGGTTTTTTTCTTTTTCACCTCAGATCAGGAGGGTTTGAGAGAATGGGCTTGATACCCTTCCACTATCAAGATCTCTGTAGTAATTCTTCTTACTGTCTGCCATACAATTTTAATAAAGTCAGTTAGGAGATTTGGTATTGGATCAACTAATAATCCCTTAGTGAATTAGTGACTTGTGTACTTTTTACTGTATCGATATTGTAATGAGAAATTCTGTCTTGGTCACTCATGGCAGGTTAGGGTTTAAATGATGCATTGACACAAGGGTTTGAAAATTCCAGCTAATCATTTGAATTCTTCTACAAATAAAACCCACTGAATACAACAAAAGCTACCTTTTTTAATTCATTTAAATAATACAGAAACATAGAGTAAATGTTGTGTTACATATCATATGTGTACTGATGACAATAATCTTTTTTTCTGTTAAAGAGCTTTATTACAAACTTCTGAATGAAAGCATGAAATGATATTTCTCCACAACAGTAAGACATTTCTGCAAAAACTTGCACACACACTCATGTAGATATTTACAAGGAAAGATGGTGATTATATCTAAAAACAAAGTTAGAGAGACCTGGTCCAGTAGTTTGAGTCTTTTCATGATATTCTATCCAGTGCTTCCATTATCACAATACTGTTTCCTCTGATCACCTGGAGAGGGACACACAAACATTTAATGGTAACCTCTGAATGGATAAAGCATTTAAAAACATTTAAGTGTAATTAAAAGATATCCTGGAGGCAGCATTATGCTTGGTGATATAAAATATAAAAAAGGGGGTAAGTTTCTAAAGACACTGTGATGCTGCATTAGTAGGGAGTATAACTAGATATTTTCATTTTATCAACTGAGTTGATAATGTAAATTGGCCATCATAATCACCATGTATTGGGAACTAACTGAAACATTGTTAATGGCCTTTCTTGCTCTGATGAAGGGCTTTAACTGAAAATGTTAATTAAAGAAACTCTTTAACACAGCCACTTTACACGTACATGATCAACTCAGTTGATAAAACCAAATTTATCATACTTGTGCAGAGCCACATAATCAGGGGTTTTACTAGCTTTTACCATACATGGCTGTGGATGGTGTAATAAGCAGCTGTCCCCAGAAAAGGGACTTTAAGGGAAGACCCAAACACGTTAACCTGTTCGCAGGCTAAAAACAAGTGGTAGGAGGTTTTATAGACCATGGTAGACTGCCAGTAACCAGCTTTTAGCAAAACCCTGCATGCCATATTTGGTTTATGTATACTGAATGGCTAAATTTACACTCGTTTATTTTCCCACCAACAAGAAAAGATTGCTTCACTATGGTAACTCATAAATTGATTACTGGTCTAACCTTAGTTACTCATCACTTACCACCATTCCGATGTTATGTTTTTCCTGTGCTGATACCTCTTCCACTGCCTCATCCAACACAAGGTTCATAAAAGGATCAAATCCTCTGAGTACTCCAGTCACATGTCTGCCACCATTGATTTTCACTAAAAATTAAAAATTTTGTTTGAACCCCATGCATCCAAACCTGTTCTACCTCCTAGTGAGTCAACAGAAACTCTCATTCTCTAGGTAAGGAAGATTTGAAACTTGCTACCATAACACCTGTTGTATGTCCTTCTCCACTGATTTTATTCATCATTTATTCATTCATCTGCAAAATTATTCATTGGGTGGCCACTGCTTAAGAGTACACGAGTGCGATTGATTGTTAAACATTTACACCCTACCATCAGTATACATATTCTCCCTACTGTTCTCTATATATTTCCTAAGGTAATGTTATGGAGAACTTGTTCAAAAATCAAGGGCTTCTCTGGTGGGTGATCATTCCCTTATTCTCATGACTTTAATGTTTGAATCAACAGTGATACTGTACGGACAAATTAGAAGCCAACCACTCGCAGGGATTGAGGGGTTAAGGCGCCAAGGCGCCATGCAATTTCTCCAAAGCCCTCCTTCAGTCCATTCTTATCCATACCAACAAAACGCAATACGACACGAGATCAACACCTTACGCATATCCTGTTAATGGCTGCAATAATATTGCCTTTCCTCTACCTACTGTAGCATAGAATGTTATTGCAATGAACACTGAACCATTATTACTTATCGAGATTAAACCATCGAGATTTCTGATTTATCCTGATTCTTAACGATTGTACAACAAGAAATTACATTGTAATGATGCACTTACAAGATAATCTCTTGTCCATGTACCTGAAAAGAAGCAGATAAGGTTCTTTGGTCATGATAAGATTACAAACACAGAAAAATGCACTAATCACACATGTCAGAGCACACACGCAGCTTGTGGCAAATCTTGAACAAGTGAAAACACTCCAGTCGCTTCCAAAAGAACAAAAGCAAGATTTTGATTTTTTAGGCAAGCATTATAGCTCTAGTCATGAAAAATTGGCTACAAGCTATGTCAATCATTTTCAACGAAAGATCAGAGACAATCGACGCCGTCATCAACCTGAACCTGGTAACGACGCACATTTGTCTTTACCTCGCTGTCACATTATCACAAAATCTGACATTTTCTGGACTAAAGAACATTCAGATAGACAAGAGGAATCATACAAAAACATACTCACTTCTTCAATTCAGGCGGATGCGTCTTGCTCATGGCTGATTCAAGCGATTTCAGCTACGCGCTGAGTGTGTTGTTTCTAATTCAAGAACGTTCACAGACGTTCTTGAGCCGACAGGCTCAACGTGTTGCGGTAATTGTACGTCGCAGCGCCTGCGTCATGTCATTGCTCCGAAAGCAACCGTTCGCAGTTTTCAAATCAGGCTGTACTTTTTACCAATTGTTGGTTTGTCCTTCAGTTTATTAATGGTTCATTATGGATGCGTCATTTGGTGTTTATCAGAACCTACCTTTTGGTCGTAAAAACGCGAAGAGAAACAACATATGTTATCAAGTTCTTCGTAGATCTTTACACGTGCATGGATCCTCCGTTCGAAGAGATCTCAAAATTATTCGATCTATGGTACAGAAAGAAGGCTCTAAATTTATTGAAGTCTGGAGAAATAATACTAAGCATCCTGTTGGATTCGACAGTCAACATTTGTTCTTCGACAAATTCAGGACGTGCTACACCACGTTTGGTTCAGAAGGAAAACCGGAGTTGCTTTACAAACTCGACGCTTGTGACACTTCTAAGAAGATCGAATCTGCGCTTGTCTTTGAAAGCCCTGTTGATCAGCACTCGTATCTGAACTGCACTAAATATCAGGGTTATAAACCTTGCTTGCTAGCAGTTACTGCAGACGGCTGGTTAGTCCGTCATGATTTAAAAACCGGAGATGTTTTACAGAAAGTTTATTTGTCAAAAAACTACAGATTCAAACATCTACTTTGGGAGTCTGATTTGCAGCGAGTTGTGCTAAAATCAGTCCATGTCCTCTCACAGAGCAGACCTTTAATGTTTTTATCAATTTTCTCCATGGCTCCTTTAGAGTTCCAGGCTCTCATGCCTGTTGAAAAATCTATCTTCGGTCAGGATATTGTTGATGCAGCTGCAAGTAATGGATTTTTGGTGATTATGCATCATTCAAACAGAATTAAATTTTACAGTATGCTAGAAGTCATAGAGAACTACAGTTTCGTTACAAAACTGGGTCAAAGTATTAAGTCATCAGAAGGATCATCTATCGTTGGAAGTTATCCAGATGGGCTCCCTGTAAATGTATCATTTAGTTCAAAGCCAGTGGTCTTGTTTGAGATTTCTAGCAATCAGCATGTCATCTCATTTGGAGGATATCCATGGCATTACATTTCTTGCCCTCAGCCTCACAGCAGTGCATTTCATGTTTGTTCAGTGAGAGATTTGAAACTTGCAAAGAGAGGAATATTGGAAATGAATATTTTATCAGTTGAACCGGACCAGGCATACTTTCATGCTGATAACAGTGGACGTATTCTTCACATCGGTTCCCATGAAATAAGGTAAGAGGAGAGGGCCTGGCAACCTTGTTTACCCTTAACACCCTAACATCAGTATGGATATTCTCCATATTGTTAGAGGGAAGGCTAATTGCTCTGACAAAGGGCTAGCACTCAAAGCATCAGCTTTTAAACTCTTTATGGTGGCCAATTTACACTATCAACGTGGTTGATAATACTAAATTACCCTGTTATTCTCTCCCACTGATGCACTGATGCTCTCCCACTGATGCAGCACTACAGTTTCTTTACAAACTTACCCCTTTTACTATTATAAGTGCTCTTTAGTCTCAAATTTTCTGGATGGTGAGTCCAAGGTTTCTCTTTCAACTTATAGGTTTCTCTTTGATGGCAAAAGTTTCTGATTAATCCTCGTGGCATTGAAAGGGGTAATAATTGGGATTAAAAAGAGGGCTGGGGACAATTGCTTATTGCTACCCTATGAACTAACCTCCTTCCCAACTCCTGAGAGTCACAGACTAGCATCTTATTTTCTCACCAAATGTAACGGGTGAATCAAACATCTGAAGTCATGAGAATATAAGAAATGATCACCAACTGAAGATGCTCTTGACTTTTGATTGTTGAAGAAACTTCCTCCATCACTACTATAGGAAATGCAAAGAACAGTACAGAGAACAGTCATGCTGATGGTCGGGTGTAAACAGTTACGAGCATAACATTTTTATTTTTTTTTTTTATGTTGAAAACTTGGAAACTTGTTTCAAATGGTCAACCCATGTTGTATAGTGCTAGACTGCTATGTAGGAGATAAAGGGTTCAAGCCCCAGGCCGAACTAACACTCAGGTCTTAACCCTTTAACTCCCAAGATTTGATTGTTAATTCTCCCCTCTCCCTGCGAGAGTGTTAGATCACAATAACAAATTCTACCTGATAAGTTTGAATATTCTCATTAACTGTTTGCTGGATAATGTAAGGATATTACCGGGAGAAGTTTCATGTTGATCACTTCTGGGAGTAAAAGGGTTAAATCAACTGAGGAGAATGTGCTGCCTTTGCTATGACATCTGCAAATGGTTAGACATTTTAGTCTTCTTGAATGTGGACAATTAATGGTAGGCCCTGTCTATCTCTGTACTGTACTGTGTTCTCACAAAGAATAAGGAATGTAGCTCCAGATGTTGTCGTCTGGCCTTGTTATCATTTATACAGGCCCACATTCAAATCAGCTTTAAGCTGAAATGGGCCAGCCTGTCCAACTACTGCAAGTAAATCAATAAAGTAATTGTTTTTATTATTATATGTCACAGGTGTTTGAAACTGTGTCAAACAGAGCCCATGACACCAGGATTTGAACTCAGACACTGTTTTGTGCTTGATCTAAAAAAGGAGGAAAGTGCAAGTGAAGGACCCAAGTTCACTTCTTCTGGTCGGGAAATTAAAGCCAGGACAGATCAAGTTTTCAACAATCCTGGCTTTGAAACAATTTTAGACGTGGATTATGAAGATGAACTGGATGTTCTGGTTGTTCTCTCTGCAAATGCATCAAGCGATACACCCTGTGGAGTTATAGGACTCTATGATAATCAAACTGGATTGCTTATTCAAGAAACGACTGTCAGTAACTGGGTAGAAGATGCTGATCATTCGATCATGATGGAAAAAGACACAATAGTTCATATCATCAAGGACTACCAGTTCTGTTCAAGGAAGTTTTCATGCACAGTTTATAGGCTAAATCCCAGCTGAGGAGTCATTTCTCTTTTCTTTTCCATGCAGGGTAGTATAAAACTGTTTATCATCAGACAATGTCTGATAGTGTCAGACGTGTCCAGGCAAATATTTTACCAACTAATGAGTCAAATGGGAACCAGCTTGAACAACAAAAAAATGCATTTTTTTTCTAGTAGCAAGAGACTTGTATGAAAGTGAAAAATTGTAGTTAAAAATGCCTAACTATATTTGCTTTTGGTCCAACTAAAGGAAGACTTAGTCAGACATGTGTCCTTGTGAGAAGGAAATACTTTTTGAAGCCTTGTCTGATATCAGGTTATGAGAGCTGTGTGACAATAGTTTTAGTGGTTCAGGGTGTTCCATAGGCCACAAAGATCAGAGAATTCTCTAGCTACCACTGAGAATTCTCTGTGATGATGGCATTAGGTAGTTTTTATTCAGACATGGAGCAGTTGTGCAGTATACTCTTCTGTTACTTTATACTTTTCTTCTGTTTTGACATTTCTCAGTGGTAACCCTTGGCTGATAATTTTCACAGACTCCTGTGTCTTATTTAAAAAAGGAACCTAAATAAATCAATTTTCATTGTAGAAAAAACACCAAATAGTTACATTATAAATCAGAAGGATTGAGGATCAGGTTATGGATGCTCAGACAAAAATGTACTTGTAGCTTAAAGTTTTGTTGTTTTTACAAATTTGTGGAAACTGATTTTGAGAGATTGCTTCATTTTTGACAGCTATTTAAGGAATTTTTGGGATGTCATTCAACAATTCTCAATTCAAAGACATCTCAGGAAATGGCAGTGAAAAAAAGTTGTCCAGTGTTTAGATTCATCCAAATTTTAATTTACATATTCAATACACATTTAAGTGATTTCTTTCAGTTGTGTTTGTGGCTTCTCACCTTGATTCAAATCAGGAACAATTCACATCACTTTAAGAAGGATCTGGTTCCTTACCAAAAAACAAAAATGAAAGAAAAGTATGAAAATTGATGATTATCAAGCAGTGAACATAGTAAAATGATTGTCTAGTGATTTCTATAGTCTCTGTTTATGTATATAGTTATTACCTCTGTTAGAGAAAAAAATCATTTGCAGAAGATAACTGATCAGAAGGATCTCTTCCTTGACAAATGGTTGTTATTTTATCTTAATTTTTCCAAAATGTATCCCCACTTCATCTCCACATGAATTAAAACATTTCCTTTATACTTCAACATATATTTTGAATTCCAACCTCACCCCTTCCCCCACAAGGAAATTGTGCCCTTCAATGGGTAGTAATGGTTGATTCTAGAACCACCTTTATGATTCACATTTTGAGTGTTATGAGCATTCGAAAGTGTAGAAAAGCAGAAAAGGCAATTTCCTTTCAAACACTTCAGTGTTATATCGTCCTGTCTTATCTACATTTATTACGTTAGTAGTTTCTCTAATCTTTGCCTTCAGCGTAATGTTATAAAACTGTTAATAACTGTCCAGGATCTGGTATTTTCTATTTTTGAGCTGAAGTCACTATATTTACCATTAAGTATTTTGGGCTGTGCCATTAATTGAGTCAGACCGCTTCAATACCATTTAGTATTTTTGAGCTGAAGTCACTATATTTACCATCAAGTATTTTGGGCTGTGCCTACTTAGGAAAACACCCTAATGAGATATTGTTAAAGAGGCGGTCTGACTCAGTTAATCACAATGCGTATATATGATGTTTGAAGTGTTTGGGTACACAGACAGCATTATGATTTTCTTCACGAATATTTTTTTTTTCTGCGCGAAATCGTCTCTTTCAACCAGGATCTTGCATGGAAGATCGACAACAAGAAAAAAAAATACAATTTCTCCCTGGAAAACGATTAAATTCATCTTCATTCTGCTCTAATGTCATTATTGTGGGGGTGTTCAGAGATCTCAGGTCACGATAAATGTCCATAATCAGGCTCAAAGGAAATAAGTTGCGGTATTTACGCCTACTCAACTTACCAGCCCGTGAAATCTGATTTCCCGAAGACACTGACAAATATTTTACTTCTGATATTGAAACCATCCGGATGAGATCCGTTTCCTAATCGAAACTAAAAGCTGGGTTTTTGTTCTTTACTTAATTTTATCGCATCATACTTCTAACTTCGGCATCGTTTTAATATTAATAAAAATGTCAACAGCTAATGAAAATGACAACTTCCGGTTTTCGCGAAACTTCTACGAGCATTATTTTTGCTTCCAGGCAGATGAGCGAAAGTGTCGCGACGAAGAACTGTCGGAAGCGTTTCCCCCTATTTTAAGTGAATTTGACCTGGGTTTGGACGAAATTCTTATCCCGAAGGTGCAAAGTTTTCTTATCTCTATCTGCGAAACAATCCCTGAAGTGAACGTCGGGGTAAAAGATTTAAATGCATTTCTTCAAGACGACTTTTATAGCAATTGCAGCTTCACATCATTATATTAAAGAGGAAGTGTTTTTTTAGAAGCCTTTTGTGCCATACGTTGTCATAGTTTAGTCAATTTTTCTTTTCTTTTTTTCACACTGCATAATGATTTAAATGTAGAACATTAATTCGGTGCACGATTTCGATGTCTAGATTGATCTGGAAAATTTCGTTACGGTTGATGAATAGAAGGCAAAGAAAGCTGATGTTTTTGCTGTCAGATGTTATTCAGGATATTTCTGATTGAAGTGGTACATGTCTAGCACCCTGTGTGGTTAAAGAGAGCTTTCTGTAACTACTTAATCATTACGCTGTCCACTTCCGTCACGATCGTAGTAAATTGAAACCACCAAAATAATTTTGACGCCTAGATTCCACATGAAACACGTCATCACAGCCTCATTTACATTTGATGAAGTCACAGTTTTCGAAATTCAATAGGTTTGGACACTGGCGAACGGTTTTCTTTCGCTCCGTCAGTTTTAATCAACATACGAATTACTAGCCGCCTTGAAAGTGTTTACTATCTATAGAGGTCATGGTCTAAAGGGAAGGATTGCTTGGTAAGTTTAACTGATCTCGTTGTCGAGTTCAACGCGCCATTTTATATGTGTAATAGTGAAGGATCGATGTTGTAGGTGATGTCATTTCCCTCGATGAATTGAATCTGTGACCTCCGGTAAATTTTTTTTACTCCACATTGTCGCAATTATTTTGGCTTAGAGAAGAAAGGCAGTGGCTTTCCTTCAGAGTGTTACTGAGCTCCGTTTGAAGGACTGAGTAATTGTTTCTAACCTGCAGAGGAAATTAAAGGCGCATCCTCGAGCGGCTGTGTTGTCCGAGAAAAGTCCTCGTCGTTTTACTGGTTGACGCAAGGTCTATTCTTGAAAAGAAAGGAGGACGGCTCTATAGGCTTCTTATTTGACTGGAATAAATGAAAACCTTGTTCGTTAGCGTGACGATAACTTTACAAAATCCATCGAGGCCTTTAACAAACAGCTGAGAATATTAAAACTGAAGTGCCAGATCTAGATCTGCGACCTTTGATATTCTGAGACGGCACGAGAGTTATTGCAGCTTGTACGTAATAGCTGACGCTCATTTGAATAAATAGAAAGTGTTCCGCTGGCGTTTATAATTCTTCTAATTGAAATCTAATCACAAGACTCGTGTTACTGTTTAAGGTATTACAGTACGTGTAAAGCCTACGGATTTACAGTATTAAATTCGATCTTCCATGACTCTGCTTTCTCGTAAGCCAAGTGCATGCTTAAGTGATTTTGTCAGCCTTTGGTGGTGAAAATCATATTAGATACCGCAGAAGAGTTCTTGACTTGTTGTCAGTAATATTCGCTTTGCTTGTGAAGATCCATTCGACTGTTCTGTTCGGCAAATGTTAGCAGTCGCTCCCCCAAAAGAATTCGGAGTCAGCCAGTTTTTGACAAAAGGCCGCTAATTTTCAACCCTCAGGCTTGTTTACCATGTGAAGAATATATATTTTTGACTGATTCAATATTGAACGACTTTTGTAGAGAAAATATCAAATAACTGTTAGAAGCGAGGATTAGGGCAAATTTAGATATGGTGATTCAGTTACTGAAAGTGGTTCGAAGACATTTCTTGAGTGGATGGACTAATTTTAGACAAGTGTTTTGAAGTGATGATTAAAATGTATACTTACATCATGATTTAATTTTTAAATTTTGTTATAAGCTAATTCTCCATTCGGTTAGACTGCTTCCAGCTATAATGAAAATGTGTCTTGGGGATAACATTTAGTTTCCATTAATCTTTTTACAGATCTATAAAGTATGATTCTTTCCTAAAATGTGAGTTAAAAGCATTTTAAGAATTTACAGCTTCAGAAGCCATACATGTCATTGCATGTATCCTCAATTAAAAAAAAGGTATATTACCATCATCAATACAAACTGAAGAAACCATTTCTCATTCAATTGTTACTTAATGTGGATGTCATTGTCCAATACATTTAACAGATGTAGGAATGCATATTTAATTTCTTTCAAATTTCTTTCAAATTGTTGTGAAATGCAGATTTCCATAAAAATGTGAGGTTAGTAAGAAACAACTTTGAAATTGAAAGTTTCTATTTCCATCTAAACTCATGATTGCTCCAGGGAGGTAAACATGGTATATGTTTTTTCCTGAACAATATTATACAATGATAGTATTTTGAAGGGATATAGATATATATGTGGACAATCCATTTTCATTTTTTTTGGCCATTATTAACTGTACATATTAAAAAAAATATCCACCTAAATCACTTTATATCTGTGTTTATAGAAACATGCTATTGTGAGATACTTATTGCATAGAATAGTATTATCAGCCATTCAGACTGCTTGTCAATGATATGGAAAAATTATATGGCTAAACATGATGTGTCTCTTGAGCATTTTCCTTTAATCAAGCTGGAATAAGAAATTCACAGAGCAAATTGACCTACCAGAGCTAAGTTAATGACACCAAATCGCAATATATGAATGGAATCATTTCTTTTAACTCTGATTTTCTTAACATACTGAAATGGACTGTTAAAATGTTTTCAGCCACACATT